AGAAATGCCGTAGGTGTGTACTTGTGATTATGAACCTGTTTACAGTACAAATGTATTGTTGGTAAAAGGAAACATAGACTATGTTTTGTAGAGTCCTTATAGACAAACATAGACAACTGTTCAAATTCTGAGTATTTGCTCAGTGGGTTGGCCTCGTTTCTGTTTTGTTGATCATGGTAAAGCATAAGCTCTTTTACATGGCAAGTAAATGGAATACGGGCGTATCAGTTATCTGTAAATTTCTCCATTAGTTTCTGGATTCAGGTTCAAAACACAGATATGCCTAGTTATGACCATCATTGCATGTTGCGAATAGATGCTGGAGTTGCCTGCTTCTGCAGGAGTAAGAGATGGTGCGTTTTCGAAAAGGTATCTCTTGGTGGGAACGCTCTGGTTAATGCGCATCTGGCACGTGACGCGCTGAGTACCCGCTATGTACTGTCTTCACGTGTGTGCCGTGCGAAAATTGGTAGTTTTGCCCATTAGTGTCTTCTTTGCCATTGAGGGGATGCGTAATTTCCTCAATAAGATCGAAGTTTGATCAGCAACCGTTTGTCAGTCTTTGGTCAATTTGAATATATTTTGTTCATACCAGTCCCGGCCTCCTACTTCCTTCTCTACAGACTTTTGTAGAAATATGTGCCATTGGGTGTCTGCCTAGCGGAGGATTTGGAAGCGTAAGATGGAAGGTGACATGGGAGTGTCCACCAGTGTTGTGGTCAAGTCCTGCACAAATCCTTTACCAGGACCAGTTATGGGTAATAGGGTGAACAGCGACGAAGGAATGCTTTTGTCACAGTTCATTTTGAAAAGCTTGTGAATTGGCTGAAGACTACATGACTTGTAGGGACTGGTGACGGACAAAGGAATGACAGATGACAATGACAAAGGAATTCTTTTGTCACAGTTCATTTTCAATAGCTTGTGACTTGGCTTAAGACTGCATGATTTGTAGGGACTGGTGATGGACGTGAATATTACGGTGGCATCCACAATCATGTTAAGTGATTTTCCGGAATGTTTTCTGTTCATTTGCATGATTTGCACAGGCGTGTACAGGAATCGAAAACTTTGAGGAGTCTTTAGCCCACTTGGAGCAGAACGAATGGGACCTGCAGAGAGCGGTTGTCTCTGTCATGGGAGCCCAGGACAATGTTTCAGTCCCAGACTCTGCCCCTGAAGAGGCACCGGCAGCGCCTAGCATGTAAGTAGGACAGAGAGCATCATGAATGTGCCAGCAGCTTAATTGGTCCATGTAATGCAGTTTTTAAAACAACTATTAAAAATACGTGCAGAAACAACTGCTCATATATTCATATATTCTGGGCCTAAATTTTCTTTTGCTTTTTTTCATCATGTACATGTGTGTACATGGCAAGAAGCCAGTGGGCGGAACTTGACTAGAAATCTTTTCATTTGGCACGATTCGGTTCACCATTTGAACAGAGAAACCTGTAAAATCACCAGTGTCTTCTGTCCCTGAATGGTGTCACATAAAAAGTGCCAGCGGTTGCCTGGAAAAATGTGGACAATTTTTAACATGTCAAACAAGTGCACTTGTCAATACAGTCTACTCCCAAACTCTTTGTAGGCCCAGCGTCGTGCAGTTCAGCGGAGTTTCACCCTGTGCATCCGTCCCCAGAGCATTTGATCCTCGCCGGCCCCGTAGCCCACCCCCAAACAGGGTCCGCCTGTTAGAGTTCACTGTGTCCTACAACGACTTGAATACAGAGTTGGTTGTTGAAGATAACAGAACAGTCCGTAAGTAGAATTTTCAAATGTTCAGGCCTGGCCATAGTTGGAAGCATAAAACCAACTTCACGATTCCGGCTGTAGATCATGTACAGTGGAGGATTGCCAAGATCCAGGTAAGTCCTTTTGCGGCCAAAAAAAGGGCAAGGGAGTTTGGGTTAATTTCATGAGTTCTTAGGTAAATTTCCTGTCTTTCTCCAGGCACTGTTAAGGAGTTGCTGTCTGCTCAGCTGAATCTCTCACCAGAGAAGATGCTGATTGGAGGATGGGCACACGCAAAACAAGCACCGGAGGACTCGGTGAGAATACAGCAAAACTGAAAAAAAAAAAAAGGGAAGAGTGTGACACAGTCTTGCGAAATGAGACCTAGGCTGAATTCCTCATTTTTTTTTACCTTCCATGAGAAATCAAAACGCACCATGCAAACTCTTGTGTAGTTTAAAGTTTGCTCTTTCTTTGTTTTCCTTTCTGTTTTTTTGGCATCCCACATGTAGTTTCAGGCTTGTGCATGACCTCTAGGAGGGTCCAATTTTGTAATGATTACACTTCTTGAGGAAAATTTTCAAAACCAGTATTTCATTACTGAGATAATGTATGCGATCTATACTGGCAACCTTTTTCTTTGTATTATATTTGTTACTTTTATGCCAAAAATTTGACATTTTGAAAATTATTGAATTCGTAATGACATGTAAAGCTCCCTTTGTACTTGAAAAGGGCCCTCAATAGAATTTAGCTGAACAACTTGCAATTCTTGTTTAACGCCTTGATGGTTCCGTCTAATTTTGCAAAGGCTTGGATTTTACAAAGATAAAAAGTGTGGAGATTTATCAAAGTTGGGCTCTGCAGTTAAAAGTGTGCTTGATTTTGTCAGCCCATTACCACTTCAGAAGTGACATGCGATGGCAGTAGTCAGGTAACATGTCAAAAATTCTCGGGGAGACTTGGTCACATTTCAATATATGCATGTGATGTAACTTCAGTCAGAGTTCACATTTTGCATTGACAGATCTATCAGAAATTGTTTGGATAGCAGAAAGTGTAGTATCAAAATCTTTATCATGCTGTTTTTGCCCCATCGTCAAATATGAATTCCACCTTTCCGGAACCACCATTGCAGGACGTGTTGTCTTCGCTGCAATTACCCCTCAAGAACAGTCTCTACGTACTCACACCAAGCCTACCAACGACGAGTTCAGAACAGCCCAATGGAGAAGAGTAAGTTTCTCTCTTCAGCTTTGCAACCCTCACTAGACTGTACCTCAAATCGAATAAATCTGCATGTCTTTCGTAACTCGCCAACAGTATTATTGTGGGCTGAAAATCTGACCTGTGATACATTGGCTGACTTTTCAAAAGTGACTTGTGATACATTGGCTGACATTTCAGATACCGTCAAATGCCTCAAATGTTAACTCTTGAAAGTCATTAAAAATACTTGGATGATGGTTCTTAACGCAACTGAATTTTGGGCCACACTCCGAGGCCACACCACAGAGCAATAGTTGAAACAGTGCAGTGGCCTAGATCAAGGACAACACACGGTCTGTACCAACAGACTTGCTGGACGTTGTGCATGTGTAGGAAACAAACCAGGAGCTTTGGATGTATAGACGTTCGTCGTCGGAGGCTCAGAGAGCGGTGGATGCTCATACCCATTGGCCACCCTCGTGAATACTAATGGCATGATCGTTCCTAAGTGTCCTCCAGTGCAGCAGGGTAAAGTTGCCTTGCCTCATTTCATGTTGCACAGGACGAGTTTCTCGGACAAGCTGACACGGAGCTTCGAGCTCATCATAAATGACACCGACGTCAACCAAGAGTACCGACTAAAATACCAGGGCTGCAAGACGATCCTTAGCGTCAAGCAAGGTATGAGTGCGCTAACCAGCGTCGAGGTCCGGCACCAACAGTGGCACGGCTGGCCTGACGACAGCGACAATTCAGTAAGTCCCGGAAATCAACGAGGTCTGGTGTCTATCCATTTAACTTTTGTCAACAGGTTTTTTCACTCCTCCAGCCGCGTTGATTACATTGCATTACCAGATTACGTCATGCTTGTAAAGAGAACTGTTTTTTTTTATTTGTATGGCCTACTCTCTGCATGTGGCTGTCTTTTTTTTCTTTTGACTTCTCTTGTATATTTCCCGTGCAGCTTACATTAGCAGCCTCAGGAATAGACTTCCCTAATCACAAGCTGACATTCTCTAGGCTACCGAACCACAGTAAAACAGATCAGGTGAGACTTGCGCAACTCTAAAATGTTGTACATATTTAGTTGCTCTTTTATTTCTTGTACTGACCTTTTTTTCTACCTGTAACCCTCCAATTTCTTAGTTGAGTGTTCACATGAGGTGTAGCTCTACAACCTTGTGATCAGTAGATAGCTCGTCTGCAGTTTTGTGGCCTTTTTTTTCAGAGATTTGTGCGGTGTCCTCTCTGAAAAATATAAACCTCGTATGGACATGCCTTGCTTCATTCCACAGACTTAGCACAGTAATAAAAACTGAGTTTTCTCAAGGTTTCAATCGGATGTCTGGAATTCACTTCGATCGAATGTATGACATTCACCTTTTCTAAATTTAAATTTAGAAGGATTTTACAACATTTTGTAGGTGATATAGAATTTGTGTCTTGGCACTGAAACACTGGAGAGCAGTGTTGAAACACATTTTGTGTGGGTTTACCCAGGCGTGGTATAAAATTCTCATTGGTTAAATGGTCAAACCAGGTTGTTCTGGCACTCGATTAATGATGTAGATCTTGTCTGAGAACCATCAGTAGACTTATTTTTGTCTCTCTGCGTCAGTCCTCGAAGTCAGGTGATCCTATCAATATCAGTGACAGTGAAGATGAGACGCAAGACATGGACATAGATGACTGCACGATCTTCACAAACGAGTATGAGACGAGAAAGTTTGAGCCCTTATGTAAGTAGGTTTGTCTCAAACACACCTTATGGTTTCGCCTTGGCACGAAAATCCCCGTGGCGGTATTATACTCCGTTACTCATGATACACTTTGGTAGACATTGGAGACCTGTGCACCAAATACAGCCAGTTTACGGTTGTAATAAGTTGTGGAATACACCATAGAGTGAGGCAAGCGATTTTTGCTTATAAGAGGCAATTTTGTCCCTTCATGTGGATTCCTACAGATGTTGTGACAATCTGTCTTTAATTTAGACTTCACATTTGGTCAAAGTGCATAGGCCATGCACATGTGAAGAAAAATTTCTTCATATAAAGACACTTTCAATTGCAATTCCATATACATGTACACTGATTCGTGTACAAAACTGCATCAGTGAACAACAGCAGTTCATTTTGTACACAACAATTTAGTGAGTCCTGGAACTGCTGCCTTCAGTCAAAGTGTCTAGCGCACTAACGTCCCTGCCAACCTTATTGTACTCCTTCCTGAGGTCAGCCATTACCACACAATAGATTAAAAGGTATTTAAAATTTTGTATCTATTGTGTGGGAATGCCTGACCTCAGGAAGGCATACGGCTTGTGGGTAGGTCTGCACTAAGGAATACATACATCCTGGGAATCGCCAAATTTCTTGTCACCTAGAGCGGTGGTGCCTTTCATCTGTTGCTTTGTTCGTATGTTTACTTTTTCCAGTGACGCCAACACTAAAACGGGATTTATACCTTTAGAGGTATTTTGTGTGTATTGTGAAGTTAACCTGGTCCTTATATTCAGAAGTTCTGTTGGTCAAAGTTTCACCCTTCAAGTTTTCTGTGGTCATTTCTTTTAGTACCAGCCGATATCGAGAATGAAACAGACGGCCTCATTCAGTTCACTCATGAGTTCAGCTCCCGATATGGGGAGACTCACCCTCAGTTTTACATGGGTCCATTGGAAGACGCTGTCAAGGAGGCGTTTGGTGGCTTAGCAGTTGAGGTGAGTACACTCCCCCCCCCCAAAAAAAGGAGAAAAATCTAGAGGGAAATTTACACCAGAATACAGTTCTATGTATTGTGGTTAGTCTCATTATGATTGTACATTTGGGATAAATTTGTGCAGTAAATGGGATTCCTTTTGACTGTCACCCTCAGAGTTGGAATCAAGTTAGTTCACAAGTCAGTTCTCAAGTCAGTCCACAGGACATTTTGCAAGTCAGTTCACAAGTCAAGTCAGTTCATTTAAACAGGTTGAGCTGCCCTTGGGACTAACTAACATTAGACTGAATTGTGGTGACTGTGACTGAGGATAGCTCAGTGAATCTAGGATCAGTGGATGTGGATTGTCCTACTTATTTTTTCGACGTTTTTGTTTTGATAGAGGAAGCTTCTAGCTATCTATATTCACACTGACAAGAGTGTTCAGAGCAACGTTTTCTGCAGCCAGTTGCTGTGTGCCGAGAGCATCGTCAATTTCCTCACCCAGAACTTTGTCACGTGGGCATGGGACATCACGGCGGATGAGAACAAAGACAGGTGAGCGGAAGGGGGGCACAGGACAGGTGGGGGACAAAGGCAAGCAGAGGGGTGCAAGAGTGGGCGTTGGGGGGCAAAAGATGGCATATGGAGAGAAGAAGAAGGGGACGAGAGAGGTTTGTAGAGGGACAAAGATTGAGACAGAGGCAAGCTGAGGGGTGCAAGACAGGGTCATTGAAGGGCACATTGGGGACTGGAAGAAGGGGATGAGATGGACTCAGCAGAGAGAGGTTTGTAGAGGGACAAAGATTGAGACAGAGGCAAGCAGAGGGGTGCAAGACGGGGTCATTGAAGGGCACATTGGGGACTGGAAGAAGGGGATGAGATGGACTCAGCAGACAGAGCAAAGACAGGAGACAAAGACAGGCCTGGTGGGGTAAGGAAGGTTGGAGGTAGACAGCATCCAAATACATTAAGGGTTTGTATGCTATTGCATTCAACAATCAAGAAGCAGTGATTGCCTGCAGACTAGCATGGGCCAGTTACTTGGTGGTCTTCAAGATGAAACCCTTGAAGTGCACTTGTGTCATCAAGAACATGCCAATGTCATCAGAGCGCAGTCGATACTCTCCTGCCAAGGTCGTAAGTCAACAACAGGCACATCTCATTTGGTGTGGTAACTCTTCCCTGATCACTGTTTTTTTCTGCCTCTTGCTAGGCTTTTAAGCACATGTACAAAGATGTTTGGCAGTGTGACCGCAGCGACCGTCCGGGGTCTCAACCAAGATAAATTCCCCTTGTTACTGATTGTCATGAGGATACGGTCCAACACGGAGGTTTTGTCGATACTACAAGGTAGGCCAAACCTCTGAAAGGACGTCTTTCAAAATATATGTGCTGTAGGCCAACAAAAAATGTGGCTGTACTTCTCATTCAGGAAAAACCTAGAAGGTCATGCAGAAACTTAATTAAAAATTTAAAGTTAGAGACCTTAGAAACTAATAATTTTTATCTATTACGGTGTATTTTGCTGTTTTTTTGCTGGAATTTAACATGAAAAAGTAACGTTTCATTCCATGCAAATACTTGTACGGTGAACGCAGGAAATTTGTGGAATTTTTTGGTGCTGTAGGTAATACAGGCCTAGACGAGATGATGACGAGTTTGATCCATGCAGTAGACGTGTTCACAGAACAGAGGCAGTCGGAAATTGAACAAGAGGTCGGTAGCCATTTCCCATTTTTCAGTTTCTTATTGTGTACAATGCTGTGATCTTTCTTCTGGGTAACATAGACGTGTTGCATGCCTGCCAACTTTTCCAATTTAATGAGAACTGTTCCAAGTTTTGGAGTTTTCCAAAGCGTAAAAATCAGAACATTCCAATTTACAGGGGAAAGAAAAACAAACGTCTGGGAATGCATTCCACACACCGCACGAGCCCCACTTTATCCGAGATGCTTGCTTGCGCCCGAGAAACATGTTGATCTCCAGAGCATGATTGTCTTCTAGAACATTTAACAATGAACCGCAGTACATGTAATCCGTGTGAAATCATTGCTGCACAGATGCACAATGAAGAGCGATTCCATACAAAACCCAATGACTGTCTGTTTTAATGCATTCGCTGCGTATATGCACACAGCTGTCTGGTTCCCAGACCCAAAAGATCCTCACTGTTGATCATGCATTCAACGATTGAGAGTGAATAGTGGCACTGTAAATGAGTAGCAGTAGTGTGTACAAGTGGAAAGACATGGTGCTTGAGTTATGCACACCCTGTGAGTTCCTTTTCCTGAGTTACCAATGTTGGTGAATATATTGTAGGGTCTGGCCCAGGTACCAGACTAATCACTCAATGATGTCAGGAATTGATTCTAATTATAGAAGCAGGTACCCCAAGCCTACTACACCTATTGTTGCTATTCAAACGATAAAGAAAGGTTTAAAAAGATTTTGTCAGGGAAATTTTCAAGTAAAAACCAGGCCGTGCGGATGCTGCAGTAGATGTCCAGAGCCTTGTTGATGAGTTGTTTTGGGTACAATTGTACCATGTTCTGATTTTCAGAATGACCGGAGGGCGGCAGAGCAGCTGAAGCAAGAGCAGGACGCAGCGTACCATGCATCACTAATGGCCGACAGAGCAAAGGTGGGTTCCAGCGTAGTGTCATTGTTCACAATTTTCTATCGTGCTTTGCCGTCCTGAGTTTTCCCCACTGATGTCGTGTGGCCTACTTTGAATCCGTTTTACTCGACTCTCTGATCCTTGTAAAATAATCATTCATGCCCCATGAAAGCGCTTATATACATGCCAAGTTTCAGAAAGATTGGTGTTGGACAGCCAAGACCTCAAAGTACTCAGAACTCGCATGTTACCCCAACCCCACTTCCACCACTGCCACAAAGAAAGCCTTCCCTCACCTTCAAAAGAAACCTTTGTGGTTTTATGAAGTTCAAGATGGCAAAAAAGCACAGCACATGAAATTCTTCTTTTGTTTGACCACAGGAGCAAGAGAGGTTAAAACAGGAGCGGGAGGAGCAGAGGCTACGGGAACTAGAGGAGCAAGAAATCAGGGAGAGAGAAGCCGAACAGAAGGTAGGCATCCATCAGCTGTGCAGTGTGTTGTAGTGGAGACCGTCACAAGACCATCACAGGACCAACGCAAGGCCGCTAGTCTGAATTCAGGCTGCTAGCTGGTCAGACAAAATACAACAACAGTCTCCTTCATAGTTTGTTCCCGAAAGGCAAATCAATCCAATTGTTTTATTTAGGAAAATACTTTGTAACAATTGTGAAGAAGTATTGTCAAAGAAACTCATTTAACGGTTCAGATCTACTGAAGAAAGTCACCTTTTCTCTTTCTCTCTCCGTTGGGTGTGCGCACTTTGACATCCTTGATCTAGCTAATCTTGATCTTGCGAGCAGGATCCTTTAAAACACAATCTAGGTTCTCATTCTGTGACATCATCTTTCCACTAGGCGTTGTTAGAGTCGCTGGAGCAGCAATTACCCGACGAGCCAGCTGAGAACTGCCCCAAGCCCACCACCACGCTACGCATGCGCATGCCTGGCGGCGACGTCCTGACGAGACGGTTCCTGGCCGAGCAGCCTATCCGGACAGTCATGGTCTACCTCGGCACCAAGGGGTACCACTCTGAGGACTTCAAAGTCCTCACAACCTTTCCAAAGAAAGATGTAAGTAATATGGCAGATTTGTCGGCCAGGCAAAAGGGAAGAAGTAGTGTGCAATTTCCCCCCCCCCCCACAAAAAGTTGCTTCCCAATTTATCTCTTTAGTTAGATTTATTGCTGGAACCAGTTAGTGCCAGGATAATCATATTGCATGAACATTTGGTCTGAACATTTTGACCTCTTTCAGCTAAGCAAACATTGACTGTGGTTAGCAGAATTTTGAACCCTGATCAAAAGATGTTGAGGTTTTAGCTCTGACACTCCCCAGATCCTAAGAAAAATTGGTGTGGGAGGATTTTTAGGAATGAGGAAGATTGGGCCTAGTCATAGCGTCGTTTTCAATTCAAGCAGAGAACTTTGAAGAATGTTTGCCGGGCTGTTGTAAAAGTAGTTTCTGACTAAAATGCCCATGAAGATAGGATTCTTGTCAGAACCTCCCTACTCACAAGACAGATATTTCCTTCAATGGCGTCTCCGTCTCCACTTCTCCACCATGCAAACCTTGGTATCTCATCTAAAAGATTTTGGAGATCCTAGTTTTTTTCTTCTGTTTTTCCCCCTACAGTTGACATCTCAAGACACTTCGCAGTCCTTCAAGGAGCTCGGTCTTTGCCCGCAAGAGACCCTTTTCATTGAGGAACGCTAGTGCCAACTGCTGACCTCCCCCCCCCCGTGCATGCGCTCGCTGAAAAAAATTAACAGCTCTCAGCCCAATCAAGCGACCAAACAACCTGAACAGTGTAGCTAAGTGAAAGCATGGCACAAATCCTGTATCTGTGGTTCATTCCCACCATTCGGAGTCAGGGCACTGGACATGCAAATAATCTGTGATCTCAGCCACACATTTTGTTCCTAGACGAACTTTAGGCTCAAGTCACGAATGTCATCCAGAGTTTTACAGGACTTGCTAATTGTTATTTCTGAACCAAATGACTTTTATTTATACGCAGTGCAAAGCTTTGTGTTACGTTAGCTCGTGTTTGAGTGCCATTTCGCTTGTCCTGAGACTGTCTTATTTTGGCCTGGCCTACAGTCCCCGTAAGTTGTAGTATCCTTCATTCGCATATGAAAAATGGTCGTGTGACCCACTTATGACCACAGCCTTTAGAACTGAAACATCAGTCACCTTACTTGAGCTATCAGAAATCACTAGCAGAAAACAAAATAATGGCCCAGAAAATGCACAGCATTTGCAAGTGCCTCAGAGCGTGCTAGGGTATCCGATATAGAGAAAATTACATGCAGTCGTCTTGGTACACTGGAGAAATTGCACAAAAGTCTTGGGCAGCGGGTAGCATTGTGTACCCACAAAGTAAGGCTTGTTGCATTAAGTCTCAAAATGATGGCAAAAAGGCTTTTGTGCAACGTGAATGCACTTTTTAGATAATACTTATTAGGGGCACAAAATTTGGAGGAAATGGTCGTTGGTATCAAAATGTTTGAAAGGAAGACATTTCTTTCAAGAGCTCAATGTAGAGATTAGCATGGATTGATAAGAGACCGCATTGCAGATTGTTCACAACATTGTGCGTTTTGGTTACATGGTTCTGACTTCCCATGTCCAGAAACGCGCACAAACTGAGTGTTGATTACTTGAAATATCAGTGCATACAACTTCATTAAATAACGTTACAAGAGAAGAGTGGCGACTATAGTTTGGCCTGGTGGCATGTACAAATTTAATGCCAGGCAAAAAACATCACAGGGCACATTGTCTGCAGGAATCGAATGCACTTCCCTGAAAAAATACCTAGATTCAACTGAACTCATGCAGTCGAACCTCGTTAACAAGAGGTCCTTGGACTTTGCAAATTACCTTGTTATAACCGGAACCTTGTATTATCAGGAATGAAAACAATGAAAAAGAAAGGATTAGGACCTAACAATTTCCTTTTCTTAATTAGAATCTTGTATTAACAGTGCTCTTATTAACGAGGTTCGACTGTACTTGTAGGAGTTCTTCATCACTGCAGTCAAACACAGATATGCATCTGAGGAGCGAGTACAGACAGAAATACTTGATAACGAGCATCTAAACAAGAACATGGACTACAACATCAATAGAGATTTCAAATAAATACGGTGTACTGCTTTTCCAGTCCACACGCACAATTCTAGTTTGAAGCCCACTTTAAGAAGAAAACCATACCGAAATACATGTATGTGTTTTGAACCTGTTTTACAACTTTTTTATTTGTTAGAGATGATGTAGATTAATGTAATTTAGTGTTCATATAAAAAAGGTTTCCTGACAGAAGAAAATGGTTATATGTACATTGTATTAACTTATTTTTCCCTGATTAAGATTTTGATAGACTGTTGAGTTTGTGTTCATAAGTAACATTACATGTATTTGGAAAATTTTGGAAGGATTTCATAACGACTAAACCATAACGGAGTGGTTTTCACTATCTGTTCGGAGAAGGGCAGGAATTTCAGCTGTCAAATGTGAAAAGTTGAATTGCCAGCGATGGTTGAACTCCAAACGAAAGACCCAAGTGTTTTATTTAATGTTTAAATGTCGTTTGTGTTTACAGGGCTCGTTCCATTGATAAGTGATGTGAAAATTTCTGGAGTATTGACCGTCATAAAAGTCGTATATAGATAATCATTTTGGAGGTCATTGTATACACATTAAGTTCTACCCAATTTCTGCAGCATAGTGGTTGATATATCCAGGGTTTAGCCATCAATAATGAGGGGTTCGAATCCCACCGTTGGAGCATGGCTCATCCTGTTAGTAGCCAAGCTTTGTCTACTGTGCATGCCCCTCCCCTCGCAGTGGTATTACAAATATTTGAGAATGGTAAGAGCAGAGCCCTTTGTTCAAATGGTGTATCCAGGGATCTGAAGTGACTTCAGGAATGCAAGCCTGCTGATCAGGGGTAACAGTATATGCAGCATCTGCATGAAAAGTTCACTGTAAATGTCGCTCGTACATAGCTGCATGCAGCCTTTGTCATGCAGTTAAGTTGCACATTTTTCAAAGAAAGCCAAGATTGTAAATGAGCATTTAAAAAAATTAATCCTAAAATCCAGTTGGTTGTACCTGAAGGTGTTTACCTTCCTGACTCAAGCATCGAAGAGCATAGTGCTTTTAAAAGCTGGTGTCCAGTAACCTTACATTTTCATTACATCTGACATCAGTTACGCGTTTGCAATCAGACTGCAGCAACAATCTATTGTCCAAGTATTCCAAAGCAAAAAGGGCATTTGGTCTTTTTTTGAGAATTGGTGACAAGATTTTTTTGGGGAGGGCGAATAGTCTGCATCAAAAGAAAACGAATAAACTTACACAAAGAATATGAATTTTAAAAACCAGTCGTATGCTCTTTAAATTGTGTTTATTCATGTCGCTAGTTCGAATTCCCAAATATATTTTGTTAGCCGATATTTATCCGACAGCTACCGTTTAAGTGGTTATGTTTTATAATACAGCACACGTATTTATATTTGCCCGGAGTTAATAAGTTATTCATATTAGAATAAAATAAGATTATGCAGACCTTAACGTTACATCATTTAAAATTAACAATGCAATTAGCACCAGAACCAATAATTAATTTTCCACTTGTAAGTTTATGATTACTGGGAGACAGTGAAATTTGACTTTGTGGTCCAGACAAGGCGGAACAAAAGCAGTGTATTTATCTAGTGACTGTTTTAATGAAGGTTGACAAATTCGTTCGTTGACTGAGCGTCGTAAGCCAAAAGCTAATTATGTCACCATACAGCCGGACTTATAGGCCTACAAAACAGCTGTTTATTGGTATTTATTTTTAACTGTTACAAAGATTGAAGCCTTTTCCGAAAAGAAATCCCATTACTGTCTTCACGACCACGGGTAGAAAGTTGCACTCCAGATTTCGCCTGCTTGATGTAGCATGCTCGGTTCAGGATACTTTGCAAAAAACTAACATCTTGTGTTGGGCCAGGCATTTCAGGAAAGGCCAACCTCTATTTGAAATAGACGTTCGGTATCCAAACAAGGCTCTCTAAGAACATTGCAAATACATGCACGTATATACGTGTAGTTCCTTTTGTCCCGCCAGCAAATACGAAATACAGCTATAATACTATTTTCTGTAGTCATGTTGTCACATGATTCCGCACTCGCGCAAGAAACTGGTCAGTGTATTTGTCCGTATTCTAGAAAAGTGCATATTTTAATTTCGTTTTTGTCAGAAAGAAGAGGTTATCAAGCAGAAGAATTGGCGTCAGCGTCGAAGTTGGCCTTAAGTGCTTAGCTCGGTAATGAAAAGGCCGTGTGCTGCTCGTGGGATTCTAAACTCAACCACAAGTCGCTTCTGATCGTTACAGCTTCCAGCTCGCTTTCACAAACTTGACAAACTTGTCATCCGACATGCGAGACCGACCTGCGTAGTAATTCAAAAACTCCTCCTTTGTAACCTGGTTTGGAAAGAACAAAACTGAAATTAACCAGGAACTATCGTTGACGGATTCTTGTCTTGTTAAAAAATGGCATAAAGTCCCAGAAGATGTCATAAAGTAGGGCAGTCCAATAATTCTCAGAAATATCCAAAAGCCTGCCTGAAGTTTCAAATTCTTCTTTTAAAAGAATGTCCCCACCTTTCCGTCCTTGTTGCTGTCGAACATCAGCAGAAATCGCTTGGCCGCTTCCTCGTTGCTCATAACGCTGCGAGCCGCCCCTTGGAAGTCGTAGCCGTCTTTCAAGTCGTCGAAGTCGATCACTCCGCTGTCATCCTTATCAAGCTTCTGGTAGGCCCTCATGCAGATGTCTAGTTGAGCCTCAGACATGCAACCCTGCGCGAATGAAGATGTCCGCACGTCATGAAATTTCATGCCACACAAAGCCATTTGTAATATATATTTAGGCCCGTATAATTTCTTCGCACCAGACTATTAGACTCTGGCCATCCGGAGCGCTTTTATCCACAACGTTCGGCTAGCCTGTAGAGGGTTAGCATGGCTGCCATCTTTCAGGTCATTGTTCCACAGAGCATGCACAAAGGATCCCCGTGAAGCAATAGACCTGCCCTGCAAGATGGCTACCACGCAAAGCCTCTGTATTAGTTTCTTGATGCATCTCAACATGCAAAATGTTCTCTTTGCAAAAAGTGATTGGGGGCTGATTGATATTAGACTCCCAAGTTCTCCAATTAAAACGCGTGGCCTCGGTCGCATTCACTTGACCGCAGTATACCGAGGACGCGGCTCGAGTTAGAGGACAAGGAACCTACCCGGACAGCTACAAAGAATTCCTGCAAGTCCACGGTGTTTGAGTCATTTTTATCCAGCTCGATGAAGACCTCCATCACCTCGTCCTCGGGCATCTCCAGACCAAGGTCCTTCATTCCCTCTGCCAGCTCACTGACAGAAAGGACGTCGTCATTGTCGCGGTCTATCTTGCGAAGGAGGCTGGCAATAAATAGAATGGCGAATTTACATCCTCCGTTTGCAAAAAAAGGCTCTTACTCAAGCCCTTTACGTCGGTGCATCATACAGTTCACTTAAAATACAATTATTGTTGCTGACCCCATCGAAGAAACTCTACCTCGTCGTGGATCAAAAACCACCTGTCTATTCTTGGATGATTCTCAAACGGCCACTCTTTGCCGGAAGTATAAAACCGTGCCCATTTCTGCGGTTGTCATGAAAAAGTTTTGATAACGTTCTGTTTAACTTTTGCTCGATGTGAAAGAAGGAAATTTGTCAAGAGTTATTAATTTTACACTTGAAGACGATGCTTGTTAATCAACAGTGGAGTTTTGTTCTTCAGTAAACATGAGTAATTACGAGCTTCGTACGGAGTTAAAGAAATCGGTTAAAACGACACTAGATTGCTCGATTTTGAGTTTTTTTTCCTCCACGGCGTCCAGTCGCTTGTCTACTGTTCTTGTACGCGTCCCTCACTGTCAGAATGGTGTAAGCGGCTATGCCTCCCCCTGTACACGCGTTCACCATTCAGGTATTGCACGCGGACACTGTATTATGTACACGCACCATGTACATATAACTGTATTTATTGAGATCATTTAATACTGTATGTTCTATACTTACTCTCCAAGTTTCTTGATGTTGTCGACATCATTTTCAAGCAGCTTTGAGCGTAGTTTCTCCATGTCACTGTTTAATACGATTTCTCTTTCTATTATTAACTTGTAGCAATTAACATGGAGGAAAACATGAAACAGGAATGGTGGATAAATTTGAAAGTGAACTTGTTCACAGTTTGGTTCTTGGCATCAGCTGTTAATGTCAATTGTTGAACCAACTCCAGAAAACAAATAGCTTTACAACATTCATATTTCTATAATCATGCGTAAGCTTTCGATTTACATTATTTATAAATGTGTGATATTTAACCCGTGGCCCTACTCCTTTTGATTTGATATGAACTCTAAACAGGTTGATAGGTTCGGTGGAATAAGGACAGGAAGCTTTCATTTGGATGTGAATTAAAATAATGTACTCACTCAAAGTTAGCGCAGCATCGGATGGTTCGGCCAGGTGGGTGTGGTATGGAATGCGAGAGTGATGGGATTTAGTTACCGCTTTTAACCTTCCAATTCGTTTGTTAGGAGCACAATATTCGTCCTAGTGTGTTTTGGTTCAGTTAACGCTCCGGAGAAGCCGATTAAAGGACTCTTTGAAATCCAAACCGGAGTGATCCATTGAAATCCGCCTGGCGCTCTAAATTTATTCCCGTCAGTATGGCCCTCGCGGTGGAATGAATTTGGTCCAATTTAAAGGGAAGGAGAAAGCTTCGTTTGTGGGGAAGGAGATGAACGAGGGGTGTTTGTACCGAAAAATACAAAGCTCTTTTTTTCACCACCAAATTCCGAGAGGCCGGCAGGGGCACAGGCTACGAGTGGAACACCAACCATTTTGGTGCTGTGCGCAATACAGTGCGCTGTCCATTACAGTGTGCTGGCAATATCGAAAGCGTAAATGACTCAGCAGTTCCACGTTAATTCTGTGATGATTCAAGTCAACAGCCATTCATGTTCCTCACATAGGCGCAATGGGCTGAAGAATGTTTAATGAGTTTCAACGTTTGAGATGCAATGGCATTATTGTTGATTTATGTTCACTGCCTTCCTGTATGTATTCATTCCTGTCACTTTTAAGTTTGACGACTGTTCTACAGATCTTCTCAGACTGTGCATGAAATAGATGTTTATAAAAAGACAAGGGGTGCGTTCTTTAAAGATCTGGCTCAGTCTAGATTCGTCGAAATACATTTGTGGTGAGCATGATTACAACTTTGTACTATGGTTTCTGGGTTTCTTCCGAATTTCACAATGGAATATTTTCCTAGGCCAGCAAATGTTCAGGGGTTAATTGGTACGGAAACCTAACTCGTTATCTTCGGCTTGGGAGCTGTAAGGTTTCCTGTCGAATTCCAGGTTATTCACCGTGATAAAACAACAAAATTGCTAAAAGTGTTCGACTTAATTCCTTTATTCCATCATTTCCATTTTCAACATACTTTTTTCATATGGACGTCTCTTGCCTTTCCTTTTTAAGGGAGTCACACATCGAAGTCTTGTCTCCTAAAAAGCGAAAAAACAAAGAGTGCCACGCTTGAGGAGCCATTCCAATCAATAGCTGTTTGTGTTTGGGGTCCAATGGGCAAGATGGATTTTTTTCTCAGAAAGGCGTACAGTTCAATTTTTTATTCGTTACAAGAACTATCAATCCCCACTGGCGAAACTAAAGGGACAGGGGGGGCAAGGCATCCTCCCGTGTTGTTCGACGCCTACCCCCTCCCCCCTCAGAAATCAGAGGACAAAACTCTGGTGATAGCTCGCCTTGGTAGTGTTGGTCCATGTTTAACTGTAACCGAACCCATCGAGTGCCCCCTCCAGAAAATGAGCCCCCCCCCAAGTACCCCTTACAAGAAGTACCCCGACTATGCGGCGTCTCTGAAGAAAACTGGTAGTGGCGTTTCAAAAGCGTAAAGGCGCTAAAAAAATGCAGCGTATCTCCAGGTCTGGCCAGCGGTCTTCGGTCTTTTCCTAAGAACTCAATACAAGTCCCACGTGTTCTTGACAAGTGTTGCAAATTTCTCGTCACTGTCGCAACCTTGGCTTATTTCCGCGTAGTATCTTTCAAATTCCTCCAATGTCACCTGCGGCACAAGAGAAGAAGCTGCTTAATTATTTTAAATCTGCAAACTGTATATTTTCCATCGTTTTGGGGCTGTGCCAAATATCCAAATATTTGAAAATTTGACCGATTATTGAATACTGGATATTATTTTTTTAATTCAAGTATTCGGATATTTAGTGTATTCGATTTGACTCAGGCTTACATGTCACGTTCCATGCCATGAGGACAAAAGAAAAGGAAAGGGCTAGATTCCCAAAAGCAATAAAAACAATATATTTCATAGGTGGGACACAGCCCCATTTTCAAAATCAAAATTAGGTAAGGAATTGCAAAGATACGTACAATTCCGCTAGACCTTTTAGCCCCGCAGATGGGATGTTGTTACAAAAACCGTCTCATTTGTGTTATGTACATAGCTGTGAAGGTTGTCAGCGATGTACAATGGGAGAGTAATGAAATGTGGAGAGAAAATTGATGTTGTCTGATCCAGGGGGACCGCCCCTTACCTTCCCGTCTCTAGTGACTTTATCGACCTCGAAGTTGTTGAGAAACTCAGTTTTGATGTCTTCCTCCGTCTTGCGTCCAGCCACTACAGCGGGGTGATGCTTAGCGATGTAAAACCGGGTCAGGTCGTTCGCAGTAATGGCCCCGTCACCGGTCTTTTCCACTTTCCTGAAGACTGCAGACAAAATCTCCTTTCTCTTTGTCGACAGAGAGGGCTTCGACCAAACAGAGGTGGCAGAGAGAAAAAAAAAAGGATTTCACAAAGTGGCAAAAAAACAAAGTTGTAAAGACTGGTCCAGAGAGCTGAAACAGAAAACAAAGAAGTCAAGGTTTCTTCACATATCGTAGCTGGGGCTTCATTTATTTGTTGCTGCCAACTTGAAAATGTAAATAAAATTACTCAATAAAAACAGGGTGTTCGTGAGGATTCCGTAAAAAATTCAGGGTTACATTTTGGTTTTTTTCCCTCGTAATTTTAGGGAGAAATGACAAGCACTTTGTCATTTTGTTGGTCATTTTGTTTGCTCTCTAACAAACTCTAAAGAGAGCAAACAAAGACAATATGAAAGGATTTACGGAATTGCATCACTGGCTTACCGTAAGTGCATTCATGAATTCGTTGAGGTTGAGGCTTCCCGACCCGTCTTTATCCAGCGTCTTGAACACCTCTTCCAGTTCCGCATCCGACACGGAGTCTGCAGACAGGCCGATGGCTCGCATTCCAGCCTTCATTTCATCTACGTCCAGAATGCCGCTCCTGTTCTCGTCCATGGCTCTGAACTGCCTGCGTTTTTGAACGGTGGTATAAATGTCTTGAGGTGTATTAGAAAAGAAGTTTCGAACTCCCCCCCCCAAAAAAAATGGGGGGGGGAGTTCAAAAAAAAAATGGGTTCCATGGGTCCAGTTCCCTTCCAAATTCAAATGGAAGGCCTCCACTGACCTTATATGCATCATAATATGATCCGTTTTTTAATTTACAAAGGTTACAGCCGTCACTTTCAAGCAATTTAGAAAGGCACTGCATATGTCATCGCTAAACCCCACCCCCCAAAAATGCGAATCAATTATGAAAGTTCCTTTACTTTTGTTGACATGACGGACGTGCATTGAAATATTATGTTTAACTTTGACGATTTTTAACAAACTTACGAAGGCTTTTTGAGAGTCCAAGATAAAGCAGATTATACCGGACGCGCATCGATCTATGCGAGGAGAATGCTACATCATTACCTTGCCATCTTCAAGTAGTTGTTTAGGTTGTTGTCGAGTAGTTTCTGCCTGAGCTTTTCCATCTTGTAATGAAGACGCTTCTTCAACCTGGAACTACCTGTGGAGCAAGAATTAAATTATCTTGGACGAAGCAGGTCGATGGTAAATGTCATGACAAAATGGCAAAGGAAAGCTTTGTCAGAGTTCATTTGAATGGCTCGGGATTTGACTTCAAACTGCGACTTGTGACAGACTTTAGACGATTTAGATGAGGACTCCCGATATTAATGAGACCTGTTGCCTGCCTCGTCCGGTCCGGTCCGTGAAAAACTGTGATGGCACTACTGGAGCTCCTTATTTTATACTTGGCTGTTGGAGGTCCCTTCATTTTGTTCGGCAGATCAACTTACCGGGATGGCAGACCGGCTTGATATAGTGAATGATTATTTTGTGGACGTTTGCTACGAAGATGTGTTGCACGTTTTCATGGGCTTTCCCAAAGGCAGCTTGAATAGAAGGGATTGCAAGACACAATCCAAAGGAATAACAGCGATCGATGCGGTAAATGCAAATAAGCCCTAATTATTAATTCATAAGGTTCAACATGGTCGCACATCGTTGCAAGGAGCAACTTGTTGAGAGGTACATATACACGCACCGTTCCACCAGAGTTGTAATGACTCGAGCAAGTGACTCGACTCGAAGCGCTCACTAGATGATTAGACTCAAATGAAACTGGACTCGAGTCCCCCAAATAAAAATAAAGTTCTTTTGTGAGAAAATATTTGGAACTACTTATAGTTTATCAGTGCCGCTTCATGTCACGTGTTATTATCACCAAAGCTAATAAGTGGTGAGACCATTAAGAAACCCAGACTATTTAGAAACCCAGACCATTTAGAAACCCAAAAGGTGAACTTAAAAATGTCAGAAAATGACTTTCTTTCTTGTTTATCGTATTGCGTTCAAATATTGGTGACTCGGATTGACTCGAGCTAAATACATGACTCGACTCGATTTTTTGGCTTAATGGCTCTACTCGACTCAATTCACTACGTTACACGGACTCGACTCCACTTAAGTCACTACGTTTAACTTGACCTCACTCGAGCCACAAGAATTAGTGACTCGTTACAACTCTACATCCCATCGCTTAATGCAGACATCCCTAACACCGTCCTGCATAAATTCCGCAGTGCAGGATCATGAATGGTAGACACGATTGGGCTTTCGACAACATCAAACGTCAACATCAACATCAATCTTAGGATTGGGTCAAATTGAGCCCATGGCAGTGGTCAAATGCAAAGGATGGGTATCAGGAGAGCTTTCTGAGGTACAGGTGATATGGACCCCATGTAACCTGGTTTGTTCTTCCTTACACGGCCCTCCGTCACATGCACCCAATAAAGAATGCTCTGCGTCGCAATTCCCGTTCTGGTCAACAATTAATCTTCTCATACAAATTACAAACTTACCACTAGTTGGCAGTGGTAGATATTACGGAGGGGTGCGGCAACACAGAAAAAACAAAAGGAGAGGAGTTGTATGCAATTATTATTTTTTTAATTAATTTAAACAAAAGCAGCTGTCATTTTCTTAAATTAGGAACTGTACTCCCATATGCTAAAGAAACAGACAATAAGAAGGCAGTATACTTCAACCATTTAAATGATACGAAGGGCTAAATTTTAAACTAAACTGTCAAGAAAAACGTGGAACAAAAAAGAAAAGATTAGTGCAACACACAATGCTCAAACAATATGTTGTATTTAACATTTTTAAAGGTATTAAATTTCGCTCGTAAAGTCAACTGACTTGCCAGTAAAAATCCCTGTGGCTCATTTTTGTCTGTACCTATCCGTTACTTGTTTTTTGTTTTACTATCTTCTTGTGTCCGGTCTTCGTACTAGCCCCTCCACGCGTCGGGAACAACCCCGACCCCCCCCCCAAAAAAAAACCAAATATCAGGATGGTGAGCATATCCGAAATGAAGGACCCACTGGACAAGTCTTGCCTTAGAAATATAAAAGGTACTATGTATCACTCAGATTAAACCGTTTTTAGTTGAACAAGTTTTCGAACTAATCCTTAAACTACAAAAATTGCTCATCTCAGAACCGAAACTATGTGCCAGGTACAACTTCGACGTAAAAGACGTTAGTCTACTTCATACTAATCCATAAATACTGTTAATTAAATTAATTCTCATGAGAAAAAAAACAGACAGAACTTGGGAAAGTCAAATGGTAAAATTACCATGGAGAATTTCGAAATGATGCAAAGTAAGGATTGACATTGCAAGAAGACCTGGAGACCATCCCTCTCCGGTATTCAAATCCGTAATTAAGACCGGGTCATAACGGCCTGGCTACGACTCGGTATAACGCATACGCCTATAAGAAAGCCGCTAGCTAGCGGCTATGGTCATTCCCTGTAGCCTTCTATAGTAAGTCCCACGATCCCTTGACCATGTTGATGAACTCTTCATCGCTTGCGTAGCGCTGACTAACGGCTGTGTAGTACTTCTCAAATTCCTCATAAGTTACCTATCGGTAAGAGAGAAGACGATCTCAAGTAGAAGAAGTATAATCGAAGATTTTGAAACCACGTGATCTATAGCGGCTAGGCGACCTACCTCAAATTCTTACACTGTTTTGTTTTGGAGAGAACCTTGTCTTATTAAGGAAAAAATTAATGGGAGCCAAATTTTTGTTTTGCTTTTTGTTTGTTGTTGTTCGTTGTTTTTTTTCTTTTTTCCCTTCTAGCGCCTGCCTTTGTTTTTATTTTTTGTTTCGGGGTTGTTTGTGTGTTTTCACTCTTAGCTCCTTTCTATGTAGCTTATTGCTTTCCTTCCGATTTAAGAAGTTAAATTAAGATGTCCTTTCGATGTTCTGAGGAGCTAGAGAAATGCCTCATTGTCATTCTACCAATATTCGGTGGACTTGTTACTAGAAATTATTCAAATCGGCAAACAAGGTACTGCATTCCGTCCTACCTTTCCATCTTTTCCAGCTCCGTCCGGTTCGAATGCGTTCAGAAACTCTGCTTTCATGTCCTCCACCGTCTTGCTGCCGGACTTGACGTCCGGGTGGTTCGAAGCAAAAGCGCGGGACAGATCGGCCGAAGAAATCACCCCGTCCCCGGTCTTGTCGGCACTCTGAAAGACCTCCTTGAGTAAAGCCTTCCGCGGCTCGGACATGGAGGGCTGTAGAAGACAAAGGTTGTTTAGACTTTCTAAAAGACCAATTAATTAAAGACCCTTCAGCTAGACTTTGATTCAGAAGTTGCATTACTGCAGTCAATGAATTATTCTCACTCGGACGTAATCATCGAATCTAAACACCTACCATCAGCAGGTCCAAGAACTCGCGCTTGTTCAGACCTTCCGACCCGTCCTTGTCTAGCGTCTTGAAGGCGGCCTCCAGTTCGCCATCTGTCATGCCCGCGTTCTCGAAGCCCTTCTTGAACTCGGCCAGATCCAGGGTCCCGCTTCCGTCGGCGTCGATCTTGCGAAATCGCCTGCGATTTTGAAACAGACCGAGGATCAATGGATTGTTGATGGGACGATCGCAACATTTTGACGGCCCTGACTGTCTGGCAAGGTTCATGGAGCTGCTTGGCCGACCAAGGCCGAGTTGCATTCGTCAGACGTCTTGGTTCACCTGCCCGGATTTTGGTTGTTATATTCTCTCTTCTCTCTGTTTCAGTTTTGACCCTCCTCAAGAGAATATGAAGGTATTAGATAATGGTTTAAGGTATCGTTTCCCAGGTATCATTTTTAAAAAATTTCATTGAACTTTGGCAGTGCCTACTTGATCACTTGCACTTTGGTAGTTACGTCCATATCCTTCAGTGCCTGGTTCAGCTTGTCCATCTTAGTGGGTTGGTCTCTTGGCGTCTCGTCTGAAACTTCAAAACATTCAGATCGATCGAATATGAAGTCTTAAGTGCGGAACTTATTGCTCAGATCTTGATGGCTGAAATTCATTCACTCATCAATTTGTTTCCAAGGAAAAGATCAGGGCTGAAGTGTTCCGTACAAGAGCGAATCCGGGGGCCACCGGTGGCCAAGCCCCCCCCGCCATTTTCATCCCTTCCAAAAGTGAATAAAAAACTCCAAGATGTAGCCTCAGCCATTAGACAGGACATAAAAGGTGGCATAGAAAAGTTAAAAAAACCCCGACCCAAAAAAGAACAAGTTTGCCCCCCCCCAAAAAAAGGATTCAGGATCCGCCCCTCGGCTCCGTAAGAACATCCATGGAAAAGAGTTCCATGAGAACTTTGACACCCTGTGCACAAACCCTATGAGAATGGTCGACAAATTATATTTTCTGAGCGAATCCTTCAACATGCACTTTCCCCATAAAATTTGACTTTTCGGGACATGTTAATGCGTTCCTATGGTTAATGTGTCACTTCAGGAAAATGAGTGATGTCCTTGCATAGAATTTGTCCCGAGACCCGCATTTCAGGTTGATGATAAGCTGCAGTTTGAAGCTGTTTCAACAAGGAAAATTCAGAGAGAAGCACACCTCGCTGTCTCCCCGGGCCCTCAAATACAATAGCTATCTTCCTCTGTACTATTAGGCTACATATATCTGAGGCCTAGGCTGTCTGTAATGGTTCTAAAATGCGACAGACATGACCACGGACATGTTCCAAAGCATGCGAGAGCGTGATGAAACCCGATATTAATTAAAATCTTAATTTAAAAGAGTACAGAATTAGAGGAAATATTTACCTTAGGTGAAACTGAAGTTGGGTGTGAACGCTACGATGTGTTTGTGTGCGAGGGCAGAAGGGCGCGTCGTAACTCTGATGTAGGTAACGTTAACGGCATTCCTCTCACCAGCGGCATGAGATTTCTAAAATGTTGCGTAATGAGCCAGTGTTCGTCGCCAGGCCGTGAAGGACGTGTGCACAGCTCTACTAATAGTAATAACTGAAGCGAGAATTTCTAGCCAGCTCATTAGCATTAAAAGTGCCCCCCCCCTCCGCAGTATCTTTTCAAAAAGGAGATCGTTTGGCCCCCAGAATGGTGAGATTGTGTAACTCTTTGCCAGGATCAAATCCCTGGGTCTTGAGGCTTTCATCTGAGAGCAAATCGGCTCAATAAATACGGTTGAAAAATGATCCTCAATGCCCAAGAATTTTGAGGATTGCCACTTGTAAAAATGGCTACACGCCAATGGCGTAGCTAGGATTTGAATAGTAGGGGGCACAAGGGGGGCACCAGCATCTCATGGGGGGCACCAGCTTTCATGGGTGTAGTTTGGGGGGGGGCAAGTTTTTGTTAGCCTTGTTCAATATCCATTCGTCCGGTTTTTTGGGGTTTTTTTTAGTGGGGGAACCTGGGGGCACCAGAAATTTGTAGGGGGCACGCCCCCCCCGCCAATGCCACAAGCAAACTTAAAAAAAATTACTTTTCGGGGTGCTTTTGCTTAATGGGAATAACTAGGAAGGTAATTGGTTAACCCACTGAAAATTGAAAGAAATTGAAAGATTAGGGGACCAGACAATAATTTGTGAAATTCAGAAACATTAGAGATGGTGGTATGCATGGGCCCAGAACAATACTGATTTTACACTTTTTAATGGGGCTTGAATTTGTGGATACACCCACACGGTCCAGTGCCTTTTGCCGTCATAGCCTGCCGCACAGTGCATTTGTTGGGTGCATTGTTGGACAACAGGCCAGCGAGCAACCGTTTCTCAGAGAGTAGTTTAATCAAAGTTTTGCCTTGGCCGTTTGAAAAGAAACGTACAAGGCTACATGTACATATACGTGCAACAACAAAACGCCCTTGGTTGTCAGGGAAAGCATGGAGAACTTTAATTTTCACACAAAATGCACTGTTAGAAGGGAAATACTATTCAAAGTTGCACAAAACTATGCAGATAAAAAAATTGCATGAACCCTTTACGCGTTGTACATAGCCCCGAGAATAGACACACTCAACAAAATAAGTACAAGTCAACACGATCACTGATCATTGACAAGTCTTTAATGGGTCACAAATGAAAACAGTTGGAAACGGCAAGTGCATTGAATGTAATCACTCCAGCTGTCGGCAGACCCGCCCGAGTCTATGCTGAGAAGCCAGTGTATTTCAAACTTGCTGCAGTGAGAAGGCAAGGATATGATTCCTTAATAGAGCAAATGACAATCGCAATGAATAACATACCATATTATTAATGGGGTCTATTTTGTTTTTATTCAGTGTTTGAAATGTCGTTTCACATGTTTGTCACAATTAATTCAAGACATAAGCTCTCCAACCACCTATACGGTCCTAAAGTAAATTTAGATGAAAGGAAAACAAATTTCCTTTCAAATTAGCAACCACGATGCACCGTGTTAATACAAGTCAAATTTAAAAAGTTGAGCTGGAAAGCCTCATCGTCTTGTTTGGGTTCAGTGAATCGTTGTCACTCCAAACAGTAGCTTGCTTTGACCATCTGGATGAAAGCTTCGTCCGCATCGTATGACTTGCCGACTCCAGCATAGTATTTCTCAAACTCTTCCAGCGTCACCTGCAAAGCGGGAACAACAAAAACCATCATGGCTCTTTATATGCCCATGCACGATTTTTGGCATGGGGTAGGCCTATATCCATAAAACTGTCGCCAAGGACATCCTAGATATCCTTGCCAGAAACATCTTGGTGTCTCTAATTGAAGAATTACCGCTATTCAAGGACCTCAAACCAAAGACCAAGAATAAATTGCTGGCGTAAATGAGTTTCCAGCACGACCGGATAGCTAGATGATATTCTGCGCCTTGATGAGCATTATGGAGAAAAATTGCCCACAAAGTATGTGCTCCAAGATCCCTTGGAAGTTGTTTCGCATGAGCTTATTTAGTTCCAGCTTTTTAACCACCATATTCCAACAGGCGGGCATGGCCATCTTTAAAAAAATATTAAGACGTTCTTTTATTTGTTTATTTTTGCTCCGAGTAGGCCCTAACGTGCAAGGACATGGATGGTTATAGTAACTCTTACCACTCCATCCCTGCTGGCCTCGTCCGGCTCGAAACTGTTCAGGAACTCGGTCAGCAGTTCTTCCTCGGTCTTTTTGCCGTTTTTGAAGTCTGGGTTGTAGGTGACGTTGTGGACCCCCTTCAGGTCGGCTGTAGTCAGTTTGCCGTCTCCCGTCTTGTCTGCCTTCTGGAAGGCCTTTTTGACGATTTCCTTTCTGGCCTCGGACATGGGTGGCTGCAATGAGAGCAAGGCGCGACTGTTCAGTTCATGCAGAGTTAAGAAATCATTTGACTGTCATTTAATATCAAACAGAGAAACGGTTTGTCTAACAGTGAGAGCTCAGGCCATTAACCAAGGTGAAACTGGTATAAAGCAAAAGATTTTTTTACACGTACCGTGACCGCTTCGAGGAACTCGTCAATGTTCAGAGATTTTGAGCCATCTTTGTCCAGTGTAGAGAAGACCGCCAAGATTTCCTCTTCCGTCATGTCGCTGTCGGTCAGGCCCAGCTCGCGGATCCCCTTCGCCAACTCCTCAAAGTCGAGGGTACGGCTCCTGTCATCGTCCATCACACGGAACTTCCTGCGCAACGGCGTGCCATAGGAAAGTGTCTTATTTCCTAAAAGGTCACGTCATAAATTGTAGAATTCCCGCGGTGACGCACTTATGAAAGTACGCAAAATCCTTAAATCGCCCCTTACAGCTTCTCGCGACTATTTTTATAACTTACACGTACCCCCCCCTCCATTTAAAGCGGCATAGGCCTACATGAAGATCATGTACATATTTTGAACAAACGGACTTGCGAGGTAGTACCGTGTCCTTTCTTTTTAAGTGTGGGTATATAGGCCTGGTGTATGGTAACGCAAAACTTTTGCCATGGAAAGGTATCCTACAGAATGCATTTTTTTTTTAGAATGGTGGGTTCAACTCCAGTCTCTGAAAACTTTACACCGACAATTGAAGTGTTTTTCTGTGAAAACAAACTGAAATGCGATACCTTTGCATCTGCTTGAAGGTGTTCACGTTTTTGTCGAGGAGTGCCTGTCGCAGTTTCTCCATCTCGATGGTTTGAATGATAATCAAGTATCCGAAGCGTAAAAACACTGTGAATGAAAAACTTAATTGTCAGTGAAAGTCGAGATCAGGTTGGAAGTGCATGCCCTGGGTGTGTCTTACTCTAAAGAGTTGTTCCTGGAAACGACAGCTAAGTTGAGGCTTTCGCGTTAGTATGCCACATATCCCACTAAACATAAGATACAACGACTGCCTCTTGTAACCTCTTATTAAATGATAGCAAGTCCCGTTCGGATCACTGTACCATGAATCTTGGGCAGTAGAATACAGTCAAGTTCAATGTAGAACTCCACGTTTTGGTTCTAAAATTCACATTTAGGAGGAAACGGAATAAAATCGGACCCCAAATGGACTGTAATAATTTTGGCAACTGGATCAAATGGCAAATTATACAATAAACTTGAGATTTCTACTTACACCAAACGACAGAGGAAGGTTTGTCTGACCACTCGTCACCTTGTGCAGTCCGACTGAACGATGGGGCGCAGTGCGTCTGCTTTTTATCTCTGCACTATCCTTTATCTGTGCAAATACCTATCATTAATGGACCATTTTATTTTTTAAAGAATGCTTTCCTCGGCAAGCCTATTGGCTTTCCACAAAGTCTTTCTGTTCATTGACCCGTTGACGACCCGACACTATTATTCTCCAGCAAAGCTAATCCAAAGGCTCGTCCTTCGAGGGGATTTTGTCTCTCTTTCTCTTCAATTTTAATTCACTCTGCAGTCAAAATACCCTATCTAACGGAGATAGCATGACGCCGGATGCCGATTCTAAGCAGGCAGAGTTAGTGACTCGTAGCCTCAGGCTGTGCTTTGGACCAACAACCAGAGGGCGCTATTTATTTGCCCTAAAAAAATGAAGATTAATAAGGTGAGTGACGATTTTCATAATACATGGATGAACCATCAGTTTTTTGGGTCGCTTTTCGCCTATTTTTACTAAACGATTTTGCCCCACCTGGTAGGGATTTGGTAAATCTCCATTTCTTGAGAGTGGAGGGAACCACACTTACACTCATAAGCAAAGCCAATCAAGGCAAAAAGCACTTGAAAAATATGCTTATCGTAAGTTCATGACCAGTTTAGCTTAATGTGCCTGCATTCGCATTAAAAGGGTGGACCCAGAACCAAAATTCGGGGGGCTAAAATATTTTTTCAAGAGGCAGGAGCCACAAATTCGGGGAACGTCTTAACCTTTAAGTTCAAGCCTTCATGGTAGGGTAAGCTAAGTTGGAGGCGTTTAAATTAAACGCTTTGTGAGAGTAGGACAGTTAAATACCGTGACATAGGTAGTCCTGGAAATACGGGCGATTTATAATAGCGCACCTCCAAGAGTTTGCAACACGCTGGCCAATTACGGTGCGCAAACTTTGTCGACCCTTTCCGAGCGCGTATTGGGTCGACAGATTTCGCGCATTGTGATTGGCCAACGCGTTGCAAACTCTTGGAGTCGCCCTGTTGTGAAACGTCCGTATTGCCTTTCTTCATTATTCAAATCAAAAAGAGCTTGTTCCCCTTTCCCCTGGGGGAGGGCATGGACGGCCTTGGGCCCTCCCAGCAGGGGCGTAAATGGGGTTCATTTTACAGGGCTGTCAGCAGTCGAGGGACACTCATTTTTAGAGGCACTCACTGGGCACAGTTAAAACGCTGACAAAGGCGTACTGTCAACATATTTTTTCCTTCTCAGATTTCTGAGCAGGGACTGGGCAAATGGGGGGAACAGGCCTCGAACGGGGAGACTGTAACCCCCCCCCGCTACTGCCTCCACGGATCCGCCGATGTCCTATCCTAACCAGCACACCAAAGCACGACTAACTCTTGTCTCTGTCCTTCAGCGTAACCCTACATTATTTAATACACTGTGTTTCACATCATCTAACACAATGTATGCGAGTAGCATGCACTTGGAAAGTGCAGTTGCCAGGGCAACAGTTGCTATGGTAACACTGGAACAGACCACCGTATGAATCGCAACGAGACTCCACAAAATAACGATCGACAGTTTTTAGAAGCCTGTCAATAACCATTTGGCAGGGCATATTCGCGATATCTCTTTCCATCACCTGTTTCGTTCATTAAATTTAATTGAATTTGAAATGGTCATTTTTAATATCTTGGTATAATGAGTGTTGGTGAATGAATCACACGATGAAAGTATCTGTCCGCTGGATGTTAATTTACATGCACATCAGACTCGCCATCTGTTATCAAAGACCTTGAATCAACAGCTACCATTTAGCTCCAAACGCTTCCAATTCAGGAAAATGTAAGAGAAACAATGTCATGCGATCTCCTGCTTAGAGGAAACTTGAATAACAGCAAATTGAAATATATATGAATATAAAAATTCATGCAAGTCAGCTAAAAAAATATATATAGTGGACATCTTCGAGTCGAGGCTGTCTCAAAATGTGATTGATCGTTAATGGATTTCTCTGGTGCCAATGCCCTTTTACAAACAACACACTTCTTGATTCTGTGAAAACACTTCCACATGCTGTTTTCCTCAGAATTCAAAAGCATTAACCTTATCCCGATAGGAAATTGGGATCTAAATACATAGTTTGGGAAAGTGGACTAAACAGATTCGTGATTTTACTATTTGTAGTAAGCATTGGCCAAGTCTGTAGTGATGAATTCAAACTGACAACAATTATGACGTTCTACTAGTACTTTTTATTCACACGGCTGATAATCGAATGTAGTTTTTATTTAAAACAACACGGAACAGGTATTCATACTTAAAAATTACCATTTAAATAACTGAAAAGAGCACATAATTCTGCTCAAAAGACATTTCCATTTTACCTCTGGAGAATATTTACACATTAAACTGTACAAAAATAGTTAAATATCCACGATTACTGAAAGCTACATGTAGTGGGAATTGAGGGCCACGGAATAGCGAACTAGACTTCACTAACTGGCTACGACCGACGGTTACACAGGCGCACGTGGGAGATGTCAACTAGCGGCTTGCTGCCATATTTCATTGACGCGCATGTTGCTGCCGCCCCCGGCCAAAACATTTTGGAAGCGGATTAAGTACACAGCGAGCAAAATTTCACCATTCTATAGAGGCCAACCTGGACAAGGGGCAAACATGTGACTATCGAATGTGTCTGACCGGTGTGGCCATCCACCCTTTAAACTCTTCAATGTATTTTTGCGGCCGCCCAGCTTATCATGGTCCACGAGAATGTGGCTTAGACAATTCACGTGATCAACCAACAATTTGACATACATGTAGGATTAAACACAGGCAGATTAGACTGCTTGCTACTTCGGCATGACACAACCTTGTGCGAGGCAGTCATTTATTTACTGGCTTCTTTGAGAAGCAAATTTCAAAAGAATGTGTGACTTTTTTGGAGTTTGGCTAAATCTACATGTATTAGGGCAAAACTGAGTTCAGCCAATTATTACGTAGGCGTACCATGTGCCTCGGGCATACAATGGACCACACACCCCACTACTGAATCAAGGCGTCAATATTCAAAATGTAATTCTGATGAAATTAAGTACAATGAACATGAACACTTACAACAACACATAATACAAACACGCAGTAATGATAAAAAACACATTCAACTTAATACACGGTCTCTGCTACTGAAGTTGTTACAAGTTCACAAGGTCAATAAGATTTCGTTTTAAAAAGAACACAATTTTGGCCAACGGTACCATAGGTTATCAACTGCGTATCAATCATTTCTGTCAAAGTCATGATCACTTAAGAGCAATCTTACGAACTGTTCAAATCTTTATGAATGCACACAATGTTTAACCATCACAGGATATTATTAGGGCTGGTGAACAAATCGAATACTATGTAGCAAACTTGTGCCGACAAAGTTGATGGGTTGCTTCAATCACTGAAGTACACTTTTTCTCCACCCGTTCACGTATTGTTAATGACAAAAAGTGTGTTTTTACCGAGAGACTTGGTAATTCCATGCCAATGTTGTCTTTAACTAACTTAAGTCAAAGGAGCCATTAATTTAATAAACGTGGTATTCGGTTTTAAAAACAAGGAGATTCTCAATCTGATTGTTAAAACACAGGTCTTAAAAACTTTGATCCAATATTTAAAAATAAAAGTTTAAAAAAAACATCAGCCACTGTCAACTACAGGTACCTTCCTATGATGTTTTCGTCTAGAAATAAAAGATTAAGGCAGCAACATACTGAAAATCTGAAAAATGACAGTTGGAATGCTACTAGTCCTCGTTTGCATCCAATTAGGGCTGTGCCCAATACCCCAAAATTTTAATATTTGATCAAATGGAAAGTCAAATAATTGGATATTCAATTATTCAATTTGACTCAGCCCTACATCTAATTAGCCAAAGTCAGGCTGCTCCTTTTGCTTGATTTGAACAAGATCCTAGATTTACAGCGAGCCAAGCTTTCACTGGAACGTAAACTCTGGGCTGCGTATCAAGGACTGTTATTTGCAAAAAAAAATGTCAAGAGAAGGAAGAACCTCAGCACTTTTTATACACTGATATTCTCAAATAACTACAATGAAGTGCTAGTTATGGAAAAAATGAGAAAGGTAAAGTCTGGAAATGGTTCATTCCTAGTCCATCATATCTTGGATTATGTACAATTTGGGGGAACACACCCAAACTGCAAAAGTAAATGCTGCTAATTTTTCAGGACACAATCTCCTATTGCTGATTATCGAGAAGTCAAGCACACTGCTGTTTCTCATCTCGATCTCTGCAGGAACAGTTAACATTTGTACTCTGACAGCTGGACCTTTCCATACATAGTTCATCATTTTTTGGCACACACGGTAAATATAAAGAATCTGACAAGCAGAACTAACATCCTTGTGGCTGATACAGTTGGTGGGTTCTGAGGATAAGCCTGCAATGGATGGACTGGTCTTGCGTATCTGATATCCACAGTACTGATGCTACTTTGAAAAATCACGTCGTGTGGAGTTACCTATGCACAAACAAAGCCATCAAAAACTTTGCGGATTGCGTGTGGATAAAAGAACGAGGACTGTTCCTGAGCCTGGAAAGAACAGTAGATGGTGACCTGTTCTGAGAACGCTCAGAAGGACCCCGACACCGGGAAAACATCACATGCGCACTGGTTTGTGCATGTATCTCACTGAGTGCACCAGACTAATTTTCATGGGAATGCGCACAAAGCCACAATGCCCTTGGCATGTGCACACCACACAGGGCACCCTTTTCTCTTGGTGCGGCGCACATGCTGACCTATCCCAGAAAGCCCATTTCAAACAAGATATATGGTAAAAGCATGACTGCCGTATGCCTGTGGTTTTGCTGTTATTGCAGGAGCTACGTTAAATGTGATGCTCTCATTTTTTAAGGATTAGGCTTGGGTTAGACTTCTCATTAATTACTGCACCATCCACCTCGGGAGAGTTCATTTTGTTGGTGGTGATGCAACCATGACAAGTGCATTTCCTAGTCATTCCTGAACCAGTGAAATTCAATTCTGACCAAAGGAGCCTCCACTGCTAAGAAATGAGCGCCCTCTCTTGGTCCAGCTCGAGGCCAATCCACAAGCAAACAGACCACAAGTAGAAACACCCACCTATATCTTGTACGCATTCTTCATCATCAATATGAAGTAGCTGTCTTGATCAATCGATGCGCTGACACCAGAGTAGTAATTTTGAAATTCCTCCCTTGTGATCTGAAAAGCATGGAGCCAAAACAAGAAAAAACCTCAAAGGAAACAGATCAAAAGACTACTAGAAACACTCAACAGAGTGTGAGACACTAATAAAAGTGTGATTTTTTTGACCTTACAGAGAGAGTTTGACTTTTGTTTATGACGCAAACACACTGTGCTGTGGGATTTTTTATTAGGTTAGGAGCTTTAATTTAAGGTAAAAATCATCTCTGATATTCCTAACAGGACATAATGCATTCAAAGTTACAGTAAAAATTGAAATGTCAAAAGTTCAATGAGTTGCAACTCAAAAGCTGATGATCCAAAATGCTAAAAGTTGGATTTGGAGGTCTCCTCGTTTGACCGAATAATACCAGCAAATTTTGACAAAATCTGTGAGACTGACCCTGGAAAAAATTTGCCTTGACGCGGAATGATCCTACCATGCCACGCCATGTACAAATACTCATAGTTGAACATTTGTGATGCGATCTGCGAAAACCCTTCACATGGTGAGCTTTGTCATCTGGGTGCATATAAACTTCAATTTAAAATGGAAACACTCTTGTTTTGAGATACAATACTCAAAAAAGTTAAGGACCCCTTTTTTCTTAACTTTTTTTCAAGCAATGAGTGGGGTCTAATTCTTTCAGTTTTGTTTGTCTACATGGTGTTCTCATTGGAATAAAACATTTTTTAAATGTTTCAACATTTTTCAATGCACATTTTCAGCAATAAAATGTCTCATATCAAAAAAGTATACTCAAAAATAAAAAGTGGTATTTAACTTTTTTTGAGTAGTGTACATTACATTTATGATTCTAGGTTGTCTACAATATGAATCTAGGTTGTCTAGAATCATGTATTAAAGAGTTTTGAAAACGGGACAGTGTCCCGTTCAGTTTGTAGCTGATATGCACCAAAATGACAAAGCTCACCATCTGAAGGGTTTTTACAGATTACATCACATTTCTGTAAGAGCTACTGGTTTTCACAACTTGACGGTGAAATTAACAAAACAATAATTTGTCTTCACAGAAAAATGATGCTTGCCTTTGCACATCCCTTTGACTGTCCTAATCACTCCCGTAGAACTGTTTTCCTTGGCACAAACGAAAAATTAACATTTTGCAAAAATCAATCCTTGCACAATTCAACAGATGTACAGAATAGGCGTACCATGCCATCAGCTTTTGACTTATCAGGCTCAAAGCTGTCCAGGAACTGCCGGAAGAGTTCGTCCTCTGTCTTCTCCCCGTTCAGGTACTTGGGATGCTTCTTGACGTTGTACACCCCTCTCATGTCTTCAATGGTGATGACGCCGTCGCCGGTTTTGTCCATCTTCTTGAAGGCCTCGCAGATTATTTCGACCCTGGCATTGGACATTTTTGGCTGCATTATTGAAAAAAAAATTGAAGGGTTTTAGTTCTCCATCTTACGGGGGGAGGCTGATTTGTAAGACAATGCATCAACGCACACTTACCTCAGAGAGTGCACTAGGGGAGTTGATTGTTGGAGGTAGATAACTATCAACAAACACTGAAGAATTGATTGGCATCCACTGCTGACAATGATGCAACCTACCCATGCGACAAACTATTTGCCAACAAACTGTTTTAATCAAGGAATATCACACCCTTCACCCCGCCTTGCCTCTGGCCACATCCTCCTCTTTGCACATGATGTGTAACTCTGCAGTTACCCATCCACAGATAAGTATGGCCCCCCTCGGAAAAAATTTTTTAAAAACACCACACAACAAATCAAGGTTGCTTCAGGCTAAGCACACAATTTCTCTAGGCTGGAAATTCATATTATGGGACTTCTCAGTTTCTCCTTTCCCAAGGAACTGATTTTCATTGCACAAAATGTGAAAAAAATTTCCAAAAGAGGGAAAATATTTTCACCCATTCAAACAAGTGAGAAAATATTTTCACAACTTTTCACACAAGCAGACAAAGATTTTTGCACAGTTTTACCCATGTAGGAAAACATTTTGATCACTTTTCACACAAGTGTGAAAACCCATTCACAATTTTTTGAGCGCGTGGGAAACTCTTTTTTCAAGCCTTATGAATTGCAAATGTGAATGTGAACACAAATTCCGTTCACAAAATTTCCCAGTCTCAAAACGGACTGGTTCCTTTGTTCCCCCTCTTATCCACTGAACATAGTGTATTGGTGCAAAGCATCTCTTATGTAACTAAGCAAAAGCTTGCCCTGAATCACGAGGTAAAGCAACAGTGTTTTAGTATGGAAAATTCAAATTGTCACGTTCACATGATTTTAAAGAACTCAGTGTACCGGATTTTCTTTAAATCTAGCTCGCAAAAGGCTTACTGCAATGTATTGTAAATGCAGTGTTTGTCTAGGAACCAGTTTCCTGGCCTGTAGCTCCAAGAGAAGAAAAATTGCCAGTCTCCTTCCTGTCTTACTTGAGAGAATAAGAGATGAAGCCAAAAAGCAAAGCTCACTCCAAATCACTCATTCTTCCTCGAACTGGAAACAAATACAACTAAGACGCACAAAAACAACAACAGTCCACAAACTTGCCCGAAGCGAGACGAGAAACTCGTCAAAGTCTATCTTCCCGCTGCCGTCCCTGTCAAAGGCGGTAAACATCTGTTTGATGGTACTGTCGTCAAAGCTCATGCCATAATCCCGGATGCCCTTCTTGAATTCAGCAAAATCTAGCGTTCGGTTACCGTCGTCATCCATTATTCTGAAGACCCTGTTGCGAGAGGGACGGGTGGAGAAAAAAACCCCAAATCACAAAACCCATAGTAATGGCAAACTTTGGATCACAGTAATTGAAGTGAGAGTGGTGCATTTTATGATAAAGATTAGATGAAAATGAACAAACTCTCCAGACTTTGTAAGAGGTCATTCACGGTGGACGGGGGACTGGACTAATGTTGCCAAGGGCCATAAAACAAGGGACCTCTGAAGGGAAAACAAGTCAATACTTTAAGACGTTGGGTGTGGGGAGTCAGGGGAAGGACTACATCCCCATCCGGTCCCCCACCGTTGAACGCCCACGCTATTAACAATTCCTTTTTCGCATTCAAATAGTCAAAAGTCCAGCAAATGTCAGAGCCTATCCACCCCGAGTTGAAGTGCAAAATCATCACCAATGAGGAGACAAGCTGGTGGATGGTTTTCCGTGTGAGCTCGTCTACTCGCCCGGTGTTCATTCAAACAGAGAACTGTCACACGTGCTTGGCGCGTCCTATGACAAGTTTGCGTGTTCCAGTGCCGGCAGCAGAGAGTTCACACTAAGGGACCACCATCGCCATGAAAAGACATGCCCTCTCTTGTTCCTGCTCAGAGCAGATAGCAATCTTTTAACCAGTTCCTGCCGGGGATTCCGGATCCGGACATGTATGCTTTATATGCGTGGCTGGGGTCTCCGAACTCAAACAAGGGGAACAGGGCCTTGTAACAAAAGACCAGGCTGCTGGACACTGCAGACATTTTTCTCTCTCAAAAGTGGAGATAATCCAGCCTTGTTATGAAACAGTATACCACGGTTTGGGGCATTTAAAGTGCGCGGATTACCACCGGGGACAAAGCGCTCTACCACCGCAGTGATGAGCCACACAGCACCGCTGCATGCTAATCTGGTCCCTATTGAAAAGAGGTCAGCAGCGCACTGAGCCAGGTTCGTGAACAAAAGAAAGTTATATAACACCACACAATCTGGGCTCTTTTTACAAGGCTGCAGGCCTGGCTGAAATACTCAGGTGTCAATAGATTTTGTCTGTCAGGCTAGAGGGGCCACCAGACAATCCTTCACGTGTTTGTAAGTATCCAGTAAATGAAGATAGGAATTTTTAAAAAATTTTGAAAACAGAAAAAAAAAAGATAAATATCTCGGTCCAGCATCATCAACATTGATAATTGCCCCGGCAGAAAGTGGTTAATTTTCCATACATCCAGAGCAGCCACATCTAGTCTTTTTTGGGGCGCGGGTAGGGAATCACAACACTGGCACAAAAAGTAGGGCTGCACATGCGAAGACTCTTTCACAACGTGCGACGTTAGTATTCACCAATTTCCACGCCCATCAAAGGGCACTCTTACCGTCCGATTCCCTTGATGCCAGAGGAGCCCCGCTCCAAACACTTCAAGCGCAGTTTCTCGATGGGGTCCTTGGTGGTCTGAAGTTTCTTCTTGGCGTTCAGCTTCATCTCGTGGTCGTGTCTCGCTGTGCCAGCCATCCTGATCTCTCGTCCCTCCTCCCTGTCTTTCTTCCAAAAAAAAAAGGCTTCTGATTCTAGATTTTTGTGTTGCTCGGTGGTGATGGATACGTGAAGGCTGACTGGCAACAAAGTAAAGTTGGGTGTGGCAGCGGGTGTGACAACAGGTGTGGCAACAGTTCCAAGCGTAAAGTACACAAGCTGATGGATTCCCAGAAACCTTCAAGAAAAACCTGCAATTCGGCCAAATTACAAAAAAAGTTATGTTCCATGTGTCCCAAAATACCCTATTTGAAGGCTTGACCCTTAATTTTTTCCAAGAAAAATTGATGGGAAATGTGAAATGTGAATAGGGCCTAGGCCTACACAAAATTACCATACTGTGATCAACAGAGGATTAGGCCTAGGCCTAGTTAGACAGACATGCCTTGCTCTGTGGTGACAGTCTGAGTAACGTGGACTCTACAAATCACCTTTTTAACATTTGGTCGTGGTCGGCCAACAATTATATTGTGCAAGGACAGGTACTTTTAGTTGTGTTTATTCGCCTTTCCGCTGACCGGTCCCCACCACCAAGACCAGCCCACCATGGAGGAAGGAATGAGTCCACTGACGCGAACACGTATAGCCAAGTAAGCCCTCACAACACATGTGACAAATTTGTGTGAAATTCGTTCCTGGTTGCCAGTATTTCGTAGGTAGGGCCTACAGGAAATTTTCTTTGTAAGCCTAGAGACCCATATCTTTTTAAAACTTAAACAGTTAACCTTCGTTTTTCAAACTTACCTTGATTCCTATGAAATTAATCACAGAATTCGGTCATGTACATGTAGCGTACAGCTTATGCCTCTGCCGAATTTAACGTACATGTAGGATACAATACACAACGATTTTTGAGCAGGCAAAGCATGTAGCTTGTGACGTCAGATTGTTATGAAGCTATGGAAATAACCGCCCTCATGCGGTAAGTCTGGTTCTTAGACGCTGCTGCACTTACAGAGTAGAAAGAAGCAGCAGACGAGGAGGAACCAGACTCAGCTTAATTGTTGCGGGGCGGAGCCAGGATTTCTGACTGGAGGGGTTTAAAAAAACAGAGTAAAGAGAGCAATAAGTTAAAGGAACTGTACCATAGAATTTATTCAGTACAACTACTTATTCCACTTTAATATATGAAAACCGTTTCTTCCTTGTTTTGGCTCATCGTTGTTACAAATGCCCCATTTAAAAAAATGTCTAGGCTTATCCTGCTAAATGAGGGCGCTATTTGAGAAGACGCAGTTTTCGGTGGGGGGAGTTCAAAGTGCGAATTATTGAACTCGAATTTACTCACTAAAACAATGGTGAGAACACTTTCATCATTGGTCCACTCTGATGTACTGAAACAACCCCCCCCCCCAAATAAGGGGTATCCAGTGCAGAAAAAAAAATCACCTAATATATAATAAAGCAGCGCCCTTCAATGAGAGGGTTCCAAGGAAAAGAAAGAAGAGAGAAAACATCCGTGCACTTTAAATGAAGTGTAGACCACAGGGACGGATCCAGGGGGTGTGGGGGTGGCGCACATCCTCCTTTTCACCCCAAAAGAGTAAATAGATAAATAAAACAGTAAAAAAAGGGAGGGGAAGAAGGAGGGACCAAGCCCCATAAATGTGACAAAGGGGTAAAAAAAACAACAGTTCTGCTTCCGGTTACCCAACCCTACAATTGTTAGTCACGCCCCCCCCCCGGGAAACTCCTGGATTCACCCTTGGGACCTTAATGGATGCTATGAGGTGGATGGAAGGAGTCCCACTCTGCATCTGAGGGCGAGTTCGTGGGTATTTGGGTGTTTTGATATTAAAATGGCCCCATTAACGAGCCCCCCCCCCAGCTATCTCTGTTAATAAGAAAGTTAGAGATCATGTCAAAAAGGCGGGAAACTCACGTGGTGATGCAATAACTTAGAGTTCAGACTTTCTGGTTACATTTCTACAATTAATTTATTGACCCGAATTTCCAAGAGTTAATAAACAATTCTTTTCTATGTAACAATATTTCACAATTATTACTACAGAATGCAACATCCGTTGCAAAGAAAAAAGAATGTACACAGAAAACCGCGCAAATGAACATCTCATGCATGGCTGCGACACAGCACTCGCTGGTTTCTTTCAAGATCCCAAGTACAACAAGATCCGTCCAGCCGAGCCCCAAGCGTCTATCTAGCGTATTGCTATTAAAAGAGCACACGCAAAAAGTTGGTTTACCAGCCAGAAATACGACATGTTTGTGCATTTGGCTGGTACTCAGTTCAGTACTACTACTTCTAGGCGCGGCCCTACCGACTTTTTGGCGCCATATTGCAAGAGCAGCCTGCTCTACATAAATAACCGCCATGGCTGGCACGTTTCAAGCCACTCTTAGCCCTCTGCAAAGAGGAAAGGCGTCGTGCGGTGTGTTAATGATGATACACCGCAACACGCAGTATGGTTAAAACCACTGTGAGTTACTTTCTTTCCTTGCGCCAGCCGCCCTAGTTTTGCCAACCCGCACGAGGCGGGCCGCGGACTGTGTACCGCGGTGGCAAAAAAGTGCGGCTATGGGTACGCAAAGGAAAGGTCAATGCCATGGCTCTACAATGTATTTTCATCCACAAGTTGCTACGGTAAACCAAATACGATGCGGGACTACGATGGGCCTAATGAACTACTTACACCAGCAGCAAACACCACAGTAAAGAGTAAGTATCACGAAATGGCATCTCGGCTGACCCGTTTTCCCAGCAACTCTTCAGTATTCTAACAGTACATGTAACGTTAAATTCTGACCACTGTCAACTGCTATTCACTATGGTACTAAGAATAACACTAAAAACCCAAACAGATTTGGCTCAATAGTCAAAACTACAAACGGCTATTGAAAAGTCATCTCGAACATGGCAATTCTGGGTGAGACTGTGTTTCTGTTTACAAATAAAGACAGTCTCTATTGTGACTCAATTCCCACAGATTTGTGAGATCTGCTTTAATTAACACTGATACCATCATTTGGCTAGAATTTGGATTCGAATTAGAGAGGTTTTCAGAACATTAAAACACAATGTACCAAAATAGTTACCTATGAAGAAAAAATGTCTACCAGGGCTGATTGGTAGAGCTAATCCTTGTAAACACTGCATTTTGGGGAAGTTTCAACGAATATGAAGTCAAGCCAGGGTTTAGGATTGGCATACCGGCTGTACAGTCTGAAAAGTATGCACCAAAAGGCGGGTTTACTGCCGTCGACCAAACGTGCCTCGAGTTTCTACCAAGTTGCTGGCAAGCTGCTTTTATATGTATGCAGAAGACACTTCAAGTATTTTTTCTGGCTGATCTCAAAACCAGTGAGGTAATGGATTGTTTTGATTTTTCCAGTTTGATTGACAACTCAATCTTTGGAAGTGAACGATCTGCTTGCATAGGTTACAGTTGTTTACAATATTAAGTATTTTTTCTTCATTTTTTTTGGCACCAAAGGTGACCTGCCCGAGTTTGAAAGACATTGACTTTCTAGTCTTAGAGAGGATGAACTCAAAACTTTTTTTGGAAAAACATCATAATTCTGGCAGTTTCTCTTGATTATTTTGCCGATCGGTGTCAATCCTAGCCCGTGGCATAATTTCACCTGCTAAGCCACTTGGTGGCTGGTACAGGTAAACAAAGGAATTAGTTATCTTGTAATTAATTACTGTTCAAGTCATTTTAATTAATTTACTTTATGACTGGAAACGGTCAGATGTGACAAAACCAAAAATGGCCACCTTAACAGGCACAAAATCCTGTACACAAAATAAGTCAGCCTAAAGTCTAGTTACTAAAGCAACGACAACAATATACAGATTTATATAATCAGGCTTAGAAATTAGGGGAAAATAACTGTTCAAGTCTATAGCCTCTGTGGCTTTTGGTAGTGTTCAGTGATAGTATTTCATATTTTTTCATATAAACAAATAGCACCACATTGCAAATTAGGCCATTACAAATGCAGCATTTCAGGACAATATTAAAAATGTTTACAAGTTCCACAGTTTCAAATCCTTACGAAATTTGAAGTATTTTTGAGTATCTACCGGAAAAAGGGCTACAAGTTTACAAAATGAGACAGGTCTCTGCTTTAACAAAATTTTAAAATGTACATTCTCTGTGTGGGTTGAAGTTACACAATTGGCAAAAGTTGAAATGCAGAAATGTAAGTCGCACTGAAGTATTAATATAATTTTCACTGGTTTGGGGAAAAATTAAACTTTTGTACTGGCAAAATAGCCAAGTATATTCAATTGGGAGCTTCACATCAAAGACTGCAGCTTTTGTCTGGATGCAACCTTCCGCTTTCACTGCCTGTTCCTGTTTGCATTTTCATGTAGAATTCAGTAATGTCTTCTGTGGGATTTTCTATAGGATTCATCTGATCAATCTTGGTTTGAGTCAAACTCAGGAAGTGAACAAGTAAACTGATTGGACCTGCCCTACAACAGTATGTCCAATAACCTGGCTTGTTACAGCTGGACAGGACATGCACTACTCTGGAAGCAGCTACCCAATGGCGTTGGGTTTTTGATGGCACCTCCAACAATTTCTCTCAATGGTCACTACGAACATAAAATTTGGTGAGGGAAACCCAGAAAGTGGACACTCTAGTTTTTGCTCTGGTTTTCCAACGATACAGTGTCCACATAGTAAATGCGTCATTAAGATAAGATATGACAAAATCCTCCAAACCTGAGAGATATTTCTGAATTAAACATGGAAATGCATGAAATTAATGACGGAACAAACTTTCACTGACTGAACCCAAAGCTCAGGAAGAGGGCAAAGAAAGTGTTATTAAATGCTGGCCAAAGACCAGACACTGCCAACTAAATTTCTTCATTGCCATGCACAATTTTGACCTAAACTAGTTAAGCCTGATCACAAGGTGATTAAATACCACACAAAAAGCCTCCACCTTTCCCAAAAACTACCTTGTGGCTGAACCGCTACATGTATCTTTCATAACATTCAACACCAACTTTCCAGAAAAAAACAATGGCAATGCCAATTTTGCCCATTTTTTTTTCATGCAAGAAACTTGACCTATGACATCTGACCTCAATCTAATTAATATTCAAACCCCACATGCAGATTGCGGAATAACTAGTACTGAATAACAATCTGGGAAAAAATCTCCTCTACCATAACTTTGTTTCATGAAGGAAGTCTTTTAAGAGCTATGTTTCTTCAAGTCAAACCACATCCCTTGAAATAGGAACATCAGATTCAATTACATTTCTAAAACTTCAAAACGGCTCACTCTATCCACACTTTCACATTTCCATTTGACATCATAGGACCAGACGAAGGATTAATATTGAAATTCATACAAAAATGCAGCAAGAACCAAAATTTGGTTTCAAAGTGTAAAATGGCGTCTGATTTCACTGCAAAATGAAAATTAAAAAACAAAATCGAAGAAAGTACGACAGAAGATAACACTCTTGAAATTGGAAAACAACAGAAAAGGAACCCTAATGCCATGAGAAATTTGCCCTGTGCACTGCACTCACAAAATCTAAAACTAGTACAAATTCGAACGTGGATCCATCTTGTAAGTCCAACTTGAATTGTTGACTTTTTCCAATAATACAAAAAATAGCATTCAATTGTTAAACTAGGATACAAGATCAATAAATACATCTTAATACAGTATAATCTTCATACACAGCTATTCAAATCTAACATTATTTTGGTCCCTTTGAACATTTCTATTAATTATCAATATCACAAAATTGCATTACACTGGGCAAGCCTATACAAGAAGTAGTGTATTAAAGTCTCCACTGTAAGCACCACATCAGAGACAGCATTTTAACACGTGCAGCATGTAATCAAAAATGAGGGAATCTGACACAAAACAGATCTACCAAAAAAAAAGGCATTTGTTAAATTTTCACTAACTTAAACTAAGCAGGTCAACTACTTGTGTACAAAAAAGAACACATAAGGATGCCAAAGCATGAAATATACCACAATTGAGAGCGAGAACCTTATATCACCTGAAAATAAAACTGTCTAGGGATGGTGGCAAAAACAACTTCTGGGTCCGAAAAGCAGCTGAAATGGCATTCTGATGCAGGGTGCCAAGACAATTCAGATCCTCTTCATAAGTTCTTCTGCAACCCATGCAAGCATTTCGGCTTGTTCTGAAGTTGTCAGATTTCATAATTCCACTTTTGTTTGGAACTATTGTGCTTTCCTGAACAGCACATTTAAGCTTTGCTTCAACAGAACGCAAAGACCACTAAGTGAGTGACTATCCACTAAATTTCACATTGATTCCAGGAAAAAAAAATACGCTTTTCTACACTTTACAATTCCAACACTGCATCTGTATGTGAAAGATTTCATTCTTCCGTATTCATAGTTGGAAACAATGAAATTAGTTCTCCTTAATTTCAAGGTGTCCTCGGTAATCATTATAATTAATCTACATTCCTATATATTCATTCTGTTCACAAAAATATCTCATATCTTTTAGAATTAGAAGTTCTCTTTGAAACCCCTGAACTAAGAGTAAACTACAAACGTTGCCTGGCAGTGATTTTGTTGCTTTCACTAAAATATGCCTAGTGCATGTGACTACTGGGAAGGAACAGAAGCGGACATTCTAGTGTACGCTGTGCTGAGTCGTGGTATGCTTCTTCCGGGCACGATCTCCATATACACACAGCAGTACCGTCAAATGTGTGTGCATGTGTGTCTGAAGGCTTTCAACCCACCAAAAAAGGACCTGCATTCAGGATGCAAACAAGTCATGGTGTGCAAGGAAGCAACGCTCCCTTGGCTGGGCCCTTGGCCGATCAGAAGAACCAACACGACAAGTCCAAATGTCTTGAACTCCGTTTCAGACTGACAACATAAGCTGGGCACTCTCACTACTCTGACTTCCCAGAATGCATCACTCCACAATGCACTAATCTTTACTACATACAGTGATTAATCTGTGTCTAAGACAACACGACTGAAAAATATACCCTCACTATTTACTTAATATATTTATCTACTTCAGTTTGTAGTATCCCTTCTGATGACACTCCCTTGTGGAAAATAACCATATAGAGTATTTGGCAGTATCCTTTGTATAATACTATGTGTATGTCTTTTATTAGTGCATACCTACATTTCGGCTATAAAAAGTTTTCTATGGAAGTATTAAATGCGCTTGTGCATTTCTTTTTCTGTTTTTTTTTCTCAAATTTTATCACACATCAAAAGCTGAGTGTAGTTGGGTTCCCTGGTTGTCAACGGCAACCAGACAGTGCATAAATGGTTAAGTTATAAAGAGGAGATGCTTTACTGACCAACCAGGTTGTGAGGCTGCGTACTGTGAGCCACTGGTAGCTGCTCCATTCTCTTCAAGGCGGTGCTGCAAAGCTGGCTCTGATGGATCCTTTCATCAAACACTTGCTTCTTTGGAGAAACAATCCAAGCTTGCTCTTTTGAAACCTGGGAAAAGTTATCAGTGGTAATCAGTACTCTGCATATATTCAAATCTGACACATATGCAACCATAGCAGCAAAGAGGCACTTGTACACCCTTCAACCCTGGGTCACTCAACACTTAGCTGGGATCCTTTTTTAATCTCAGATCCTCCAAAATCTACTACTTTGCAGGAACAAGTTGCAAGTCTTTTGTTCAATAATACTGTAGGGGCATCAAAACCCATGTACATGGATAGTGAAGGGGCTCTACATTCCTGAATCCTGGAAAATCTTCTAAAACCAACTGACTGAGTTTAAAGGCAATCTAAGCCTGTTGATATCACAAATGTTCCATCAGCCATCATTATGGTTTGGCAGACCCAAAAAAATAAAGGACGACTCGCATATAAATCAAAACACAGATTATAAAAATGACGCCTTGAATTACTGTCTCTGTACCCAACATTTAAGTTAAAGTGATAAACTGAGGTTTTCAAATAGCAAACACTTGACTACTAAAGCTAAACATCTCTCTTTTGAGACTCATTCTTTGTTGCATTTTGGTGTACATGGTTGTGACATGACATTGTACACTGACCTGTTCGCCTATCTGGGTGTGCTGCCATACTGCATGATGTAACCAGCCGTGGCATTGGGCGTGGTGAATCCTGACAGGTTAGCCTGTGGGTGGGGATGGGGGTAAGAGGAGTGGAGGTACGTCGGCATTCCCATCTCTGGCCTTGTGGGGATGGTGTAGGGTGACAGCATGGGAAAGCCCGGTGACATGGCCATGCCTGGCCGCATGCTGCTGATCCGAGGGGGCAAGGGTCTTCCAGGAGGCGGGGGAGGAGGATTGGGGTCCTCACTCCTCGGGGGTGGAGGCGGGGGTGGGGGAGGCTGCTCTGTTGGCGAGGCCAAGGGAGGTGTAGTGCCCTGCGACATCACCCGGTTCTGGTGGGTGGGGCTCGGGTAGGGTGACCGGAAGTGGTTTGGGGAGGTCGGTGAGGGGGTGTGGTGGTTGTAGTTGGACCGCGGCGACTGCAGGGGTACACCGACGCCCCGATTTGGAAGACTTTGGGCATGATTGTACGAGGCAGCCGGTGCACTGTGTGGCACTGTTGGGCCAGTTTTGGGCAGCGAGTTGCTGTAATGCGGGTTATTGGAAAAAAGCGAGGCATTGTTGAGGTAACTGGCGGTCGCGTTTGCCTGACTGAAGGATTTGGCTGAGGCATCCTTTGCCTTGTACACTCCTATGTGCTTTGCCTTGGGTGCTGCATTGGCATCTCCAGTACTCTTGAACTGTCCAGTAGATCCTTGGGTGGGTCCGTTTCTCTGATGCTGTGATTTGAGTTCAATGTATGGTGTGTTGACCCCTGTCGGGTAACTACCTCTGGTCTCCTGCTGGCTGCGCTGGTAGGAAGCACCAGTTGGTGATATACTGTCCGCAGCAGAGCGTCCATCCCAGCTGTTGGAGTACTGCTTGTTGCCCGTCTGGCCCTCCCCGACCAACCGCGGATGGGAGAGCTTCTGGCTGGAGGCAGACAGGCTGGTGTAACCGGGCTGCAGAATTGGTGCACAGCGGACTGAAGGATCGGTTGCATTTGAGACGGGCGTGTAGTGCGACAAGGCAGACAACTGGTGTTGATTTTGCTGGAGGCCGGCAGAAGACCTCGGGGCCACACTAGACTGCACACTGTTACAGGTGTCAGGATGGTGCAGTCGCCGCCACTTGTCCTCAGTCTGTTGGTAATCTTTTCCTCCAGCAGTTCCATCTGCTGATTTACCCTGTGCTTGACCCGACACATTAATCTTGGGGTCATTGGTTGGATTCAGTTGGTGCTGCTGCCACAGCTTGCCGAACTTCCGGCCTTCCTTCCGGGAGAACTTCTTGTGGAACTGGTCGGCCAGTGTGACCTCTGCAACGCTGTTTGCAACTGAGTTGGACACGCTTTTGGGATCAGCGACTGTAGTGATGGCAGCAAACGATCGGCTCCCAGTGGGTGAAGTCACGCCCATCTTGGTTGCCTGGACCTGCTTAGGAGGGACAGCTATGGACAGGCTTGGGCCCTGCTGTAACGTATTGGAAGGTAAACCATTCCTGATGACCTGATTCCCTGATCCTGTTGGCATACCCTGACCAGATATAAATTCAGCCAAACCCCCTGCCTGAGGCTGAGAAACTGCTGGCGATACATATGCTGTATTTTGGTTGTAGCTGGAGACCTGAATAGGACCAGAGCTACTCATCACACGGTTTGTAGTCGACGTCTGCAAAGACACCTGAGGCTGAGTAGATATGATGCCCGCCCCAAAGTTTTGCTGGGTCTTTGGTGGGTTGGGTGGAGTAGCTGACGAAGGCTGAGTGGTTCCATTTATCCCTGCCTGGTCAGAGAAACTGCTGGGTTTGTCTGGCTGGCAAGGAGGCTCTTCTTCTTTCTCATCGTCGACGTAACGGAGAGCCTCCTCATCTGCCATCCGTCTCCAGCCAGGCGTCCGTGGCTTCAGCAGCTCATGGACAGAGTCTGTCTCTTCCACATCCACATGGACATCGTCCTCGTCCTCCGATATAAGATGGTGCTCGGTCTCCCCAAACCGCACACCGTCTGCAGCATTTGGTAGTGATGGTTGCATATTGGCACCTTGGTTTGTGGTTGCAGCATTGTTCTGGTGGGGCACAACCCCATCGCCCTTCACTCCAACCTGGGACATCAGGGCGATCATGGGTGTGCCTCCTTTCTTAGGGCCCTCCTCCCGACTGAAGGAGACTGAGGGCCCCTTCTTGGGGTTCTTGTAGCCATCCAGGTTTCCCCCTTCTGGGCTGCCCACTTGAGGCAGTATATGAGGTGAACGTCCCCCGGCACCCAGGGGGCTCTTGGAGGCATCCCTCCGACCCTGGTTCTCGGGGCTGTTGCCGGCACTCTGGCGGCGGATTTGCTTGCTGCGGTCCAGCTCTGTCGAGGCAAAGGCCGCCAGGGCATCAAATCCGCTGCTGATTTTGGCCTGTAGCTTCTTTGTGTTAGGGGACTCCTTGACCTTTGGCCTGGCTGGCTCAGGGGAAACAGGCGAGGGCAGTCTGTCCACTTCTGCAAATAGGTCAAACAATTTTTTTTAATGAAAACTTTGTTGATTTTTTAGTTTTGGAAAAGTTTCAATACTACATCACATAACAAAGTGCAACAGTTTCTCCATTACATGATATGAACTGACGGAATTGAAATCCACAGAGCAAGTATTGCGAGTTAACGTTCAGTGACTTACCACTGCCCTGCTCCTTCATTGGGTCTGGAGTTCTACAAACCACCCTGACAGCAGACAATGCTGCTTTGGTCTCTGCAGAAGCTAGCTTGCACAATTTGCTGCAGAAAGGAAGCAAATGTACATTCAATAGTTCGTAACTTTTAAAAGTGAACTCCTGCTATGCACAAGGAATCTGACCTTAATAACCCTGAGCACTTTCAGTTAAAGCTTTACATCCATTGGTCGGCAATAAAAGGGAAAACAATTTTCAATCCAGGATCTGAACCCCTGGATCCATGAAAATACTTGATGTCCAACTCCAAACCTACACAATGTGTATTCGAATGCTTTGTCTCAAACTATTTCTTGTAAAGTCAAATGCAGACAACATGAAAATTCTACCAGGACATCCGGAGAGAAAAATAACAAGAATGTTTCCCAAATGATCTGATATGAACAATAAAAAACACAGCAGCCCCTGATAGACTGCCCTTATTCTTGATTACAACAGTAATGTGTCAAAGTCAACAACTGGTGCTACTTACTTCTTGAGGGCAGACCTAGATGTAGATTTCACTTTTCCTTTTTGTGCCTCCCGCCCGGTGGAGCGATCCAGGGAGGACATTTTACCCTCTGGGGAGGGAATTGCACTGATGCCCAGTGGCTGGTTGACGTTAGTCAGCATGGTGAGGATACTGTCCTGCGATTCCAGGCTCCCCTGGCGGACCACGGCACTCATCTTCGAAGGCAATGCGGTGTCCATGGCATTCGTTGCTGCCCGCTTGCGGCCCTTCCTAGACCGGACCGGCTGCGGGGGCTGGGTTAATATTGTAGTGGCTGTGGTTATGATTGGCGAGGGCTTTGCCGAAGGCTGGCTGGTGGACGGATCTGTGGATGGTTGTGGCTTCTCGGCCGCAGTGTCCAGCAAGAGGATGGAGTGGGCAGCTGGATTGGATGTGCCCTGGGATAGCGAGCTTGCATTGCTCTGCGAGGTAGTAACAGTTGCAGTACTGCTGACTGGGGTCTGGGTGCTACTGGGCTCACTTGGATAGAGGGTGACGTTTTGGGGACTGAGTGGAGGCTCCAGAGGAGTCATGCTAGCCTCCTTTATTTTGCTCACCTGGTTGGTGACCAAGACGTTGAAAAGGCCCCGGTGCTTAATGTCCAGAGGGCTGATTAGGGGCATCTGCGGTGTAGTTTGGGTTGTCAGAGGGGTCTGGACAGTTATGGGGGTCTGGGGGAGGGCTCTGACTAACCCGATAGAGGTGATGACCGAGGTGGCCATAGCATTAGAAGCAGGGGGAATGATTTGGGTTAGGTCAGGATGCGACACGTCCCGTGGGGGTTTCGGCCCCTTCAGCCCAATGCTTTGATTTACAGCTTCACCTTTGTTGAGCAGGGCACCTTCTTTTGCTGTCTCCAAGCCATTCATGGTCGTTCTTGACGCAGGTATCTGTGTAGAGGTCATCATGCCACTGGCAGGCAGCGCCTGGAGCCCAGCCAAGATGGCAAAGCCTCCCTGAACCTTCTCCTTTCCACTTTTGCTCTTCTCTTTTGACTCCCCGTTTGGCGACAGTTCCTTTCCAGAGGCACTCTGGGCTGTGACAGGCTGCTTCCCCGCTGAGTCCTTGGCGCTCAAGTCGTACCCGGACAGCCTGCGGTGAAGTGCTGCCTTCCCCGGCGACAGGTGTGTGTAGTCATGCATGCCAGCAGCAAGAGCAGCCGACCGCGGCGACAGATTGGGAGGCAAGCCTTTGGTAACCAGGGCTGTTGGCGAAGGACTGTTGGAGCTGATTCCCTTAGATCGGGCAGGACTCAGAGAATTATTTCTACGGTGCTCCAAGCTTCCATTGACAAGACCTGTGGGAGCGCGCATACATAAAAATGAATTCCATATTCCTTTAGAAAAACAATCCAGATATGTGAAAGTATTATCAAAACTCATCAAAAGAAGCTATATTTTCACACTCCCAAGACTACTGTAGGTAAGTTCATGCTCAACAGTAGGCATTTCAGACTTGTGCTTTTTCCTCAATGTCTTGAGTCTGCATCTGCTTCTGTCAATTTCCACAACAAGAGCTCGGGGTGAGTTAAGCTCAAGTCTGAGTTGCAAGTCTCAAGTTCTGAAACCTACCCACTGGGCTTCCTGAGCTGCGCTTAGCAGAGCGCTTCACCTGACTGGCCAGATGATCGTCACCTGGCGCCGACGACATCTTCTCCAGTTTATGGACCTGAAAAAGATAAAAAGTGGATAAAGGACATATGCAGTTGATAATACAACATCAAACTTCAAGTAATGCTACATGGCCAATTCCACGGAGTTGTTGGACAAGGGAATCGACCAAGCAATGAAAATATTAGTTAATGTCATCAAGGTTTTCTGCTTGTAATTAACTGGGCACAGGTGGTATGTACATGTAATAGCTGAATGGTGGACTGCCATAAAATCCCTACACTTGTGTCAAGTCAAGACAAAATTTTGGAAGAGTGAATGGAAAGAAAGTCAAAAATCTCCAGGCATGTAGCCTTTCCCTCCCCTGTAGCCTTTGACCCCCACCTCCCTAATTACTCACAGGTGGTCGATATGAATAGCTTACGGCTTTAGACGGAGATCAAACTGTGATATGTGTTTCACCATGCCCAACCTAAGCTACGCCGAGTTGGTGATGATGATGATGGCAAAGTGACCCTGAGGTACTGATTGGGCAATTGTGAGGTACTCCACTTTTGACACTTGAGTTTATCTTACCTCGGACTCCAGCTTCTCCAGCTCCTTGCGTAGATGCTTCTGCTGATTATACTCCTGGATGATCTGTTCCGTTATCAGCGATGTCGGATTGGAGTGGTTCAGGACATCCTGCTGGCTCTCACGCACCTATAATGAAAGTTACCCACAAAAAAAAGTATTGTGAGACATAAGGGTTTGCGGAGGCTGTTTAACAACCTTGGTAACGTGAACCTTAGATGGTCGCTGTCTGTACGTCATTCCTCCTTACCAGTTTCTCGTTGGCGTCCTCGATGGATTGGATCTGGTGCTGTAGCGCCTCACATTGCAGCTGCAGCTCCCTGTGCTTGCCGACAATTTCTTTGGACTTCTCCACCAGCTCCGACGGTGTCTTGGCTTCAATGCCAAGCTGTGAGCGAGGGAAAACAAAATTCAAAATTCAGGTCAACTGCACTCAACTCAAGGCTGAACCTGGGGCTCCATGCTTTAACAAGACAGGAAGCCGTATTATCGAGTACTGATTATTATTTACCAAGTGTGTAATCTCTCTGTTTCTCACCAATGAGGGGGTACTTGTGCACAGCAGGGATTGTGACTACATACCTCGTCCAGTCGTATATTCAGCAGCTTCATGCTGTCCTGCCGAAGATGGTCAATCTGCCTTTCCAGTTGCTCCTGTCTGGCCCCAAGTTGGTCTTTCCGTGCCTGGAAATGCAAGAATAACATCACTGTGATGTTTGTGTGCAGGTGCAATGCTTCATCGATGCAGTGATTGTGACAATACTAGACTGGCACATCAGAGCATCGTTAAACAAAAACTTCACAAGCCAGAGTTTTTGGTGTGGAGTCCAAATTGCTGGAAAAAGCATCTTGTATTGTAAGACAGATTACCAACCTATGAAAATCAAGAACAGATAAGCAGCTGTCACAAATTGCAAAAGAATTAAGCACTGACTAGTTGGAGAAGGGTAAAAACAAAATACAAAAACAAGCACGGACCCTTGACCTTTGACCCATGACATACCCTTTCTTGATCCAGCTGTACATGTAAAAGCCTTAGATAGTCAGGACTCCTCATGTAGGTGACAAAATCTAACATCTGGTGCTTGTAGGATTCTGAAATTGAAGTAGGATATATGACATTGGTTGGTGTACCTTGAACAGTATTTTGGTTTCAAAGCCTGCTCAGCGCTGCATTATTCAATAGTCTTTAAAGCTCTGCGTAACAAGATCCAACTGGAGGAACATTTTCCACAAAGTCAGCCAGCCTGCCAGTCCCAACAGGATCCAACAGTGACACTGTTCAGTGAGACTAACTATCAATGACTCAGAATTGGCAGTTGACTGCCCGGTTCAACAGGGCCCCACAGATCTGTAAACTTGTTTCACTTGGTCTGGTTTATCCACACTGTACTACATAGCTCTACAAATTTGGACCAGATCTCAACTTCATTCTTGGCTTGGTGCCAGTTGATAATTTTGTTGTACCAAACATTCCCTAGAGCTCAACTCACCTAATAACCTGTCCAGCGATTTCTCGACGTTGTGTTGCTGTTTCGTACTCAGTGTTGTCGGGCTCGTCTTCAGCTTTTTCTTGGACGTGACCATGCTGGGGAGGTTGAACTGTGCATTGTGGATTTGCCTCGAATCTGGTGAAAGAGAAAAAATAAGCAGACTGTCAATGGAGCTTGTTGTGGAGAAGCAAAACATAGTAAGGCGATATTTTGACATGTAAAGCAATGATGCCCTCATCAGTGTTGTAATAGAGACTTTCACAAGACTAGACACGACCTGTCAATAGACCAGTCACAAAACCAGAAAGACAACCAGACACAAGACCAGTCAATAGACCAGACACAAGACAAGTCACAAGAAAAGACACAAGACCAGACAGAAGACCAGCAAAAAGTAACAGGGAAACCAGAGACAACAGACAGAGCACACACTGTGAAATGTTGAGTGCACCAGTTATCTACAGAACCCCACTCACACAAGAAGGTCTGCCCTGCAAACATTCCTAACATATTTGACAAAGCAATGCTTTTCCTGCACGGCACCTGAATAGCCTGCGACTTCAGAATGGAGGCTTTGTGCTGGTCTTTTGAGGATTTGCAAACCAGAACACTGATCAGAGTGTTGAAGTTTTCTTCAGTTTGGGACGGATGGGTGTGCCTGGAAACGTAGGGCTGGCTGAGTCGAGGCACTGTTAGACCTCAGCTTAATTCCTTTCATGAAGGGGGGGGTGAATGAGTCCAGGGCTAGCAGGATGCCGGTTGCTACCAACCTTTCTTGTCAGGCGGGGACTGGCTCAGCGACACGGTATGCTGGTGGAGAGCTTCCAGTCCTAAGACAGCCGACTGCTTCTTGGTGACGGTGTTTTCGTCTTGGTTCTTTGCTGTCTTGGGAGGGCGGCCTCTCTTGCGTTTTGTCTAAGCACAGGAAAAAAAAAATATTGCGTTTTGTCTAAGCACAGGAAAAAAAAAATCAACAAAGTCAAGCTTCAAAATGTGGGGGAGTTTACGGTTGAAAGTTACAAAGATGCTGGCATATTTTACAGTCTGTGTAAGAGGTTGGGGCAAATTGTACCTCTTGTACTCGATTTGGTGTCTTCTTCCATTTCCGCCTCCGCTTGGATGGTTCTGAACTCTCTGAGGCCTGGCAAAAGGGAATAACCATAAAAATAAAACCAAATTTCAAAATGTGGAGTTTCTTTGTGTATTTTCCCTGGAACCCCAGCAGTGAGCTGTTGAAGTCAATGCAGGTCTCAAACATTACACATACAGAACCTTACAATCGTTTACTGTTCAAGTACAAAAGTCTGCCCTTTTTTAGCAAAAAAGCTAAGTTAGGCAGAAAACCCAAGAGTATACAGTGCCGCTCCCGCACACTTTAACTAAATAACTTGTGGGGTGAATTTCACAAAGCTGCTACCCTCAGAAATTTCTCAAGCACAAAATATGTTTACTTAGCAAAAACTGGCTACAAACCAAATACTCATTGTATGTTTGTTATTTGTGATTGGCACTCTGCCTACTTTCACTTGGCATGTTACCCGACTAACCAAGGTTTTTGGGAAGCTGTAATGATTAAGGTACAGATCTCGACTATTCTGCACCTTGTCCGAGTTCTTATCCACATTCTCCTTGCTGCTGTCCTTGGTGATCCACTCTGTCCACTTGCGCCTCGTTGTGGGGCCGACGACCGTTGACTCGCTGTCACTGGAGTTGCGGCTGAAATCAAGGTTCCTGCTGGCGTTGTACTCCTGCCCGCGGCGGTTACGGTTCTTCCAGTTTTGGTATTCCTCTTCCTAACAGATGGCATGATGGAATATGGTAATCAGTTTTTTGGTAAGATCCATATGCAGCGCAGTAACTTCCTTCATGAAGGGGCAAGGCAATTTCTCCTTCATGTGGACACTTGTCTACGGAAACGTTTCAATAGGCATCAAGGCAATTGCGTTTGTTATCTCTATGAAGTACCTGCCTGTGAATGGCAAGGTACAAATAAGGCAATGGGTGTGTTGCTGTGCCATGCAAATCCTTCTTTCCATCTACTAGAGCACAGTACATGCAGAAGCATTTGCTTCAAGTGGAACGCACCGCATATCATTCAGTGTTTAGAGGAAAGCACAGACATTCGCTTTATTGTCACAGAAAGTCTACTCAGCTCAGAACCCAACTTTCTCTCAATGTAATCTTTGACTTGAATGACGTTATGTGTTTCCCCGACAGGTGAATGCCACATGCTGTGAATTCTAGGCCAGCCTACATGCACCAAAGCAAATTTAGTTTTTTCCAAAAAAAAAAAAAAAAAGGTGAAAAAGTCACTCACCCTGAGTTTAGGATCTTTTAAGCGCTGGAAATACTTCTCAAGCTGCAAACAAACAAACAAAAAATGTAGCACCGAGAACCAAAAATTAGTGACGAGCAGTGTTGCAAAACATAGAGGCAAAGATCCTCAGGAGACATGCGCTGTTTGCTATGCATTCCATTCATGACAGACTGGGCAAAATTTGTCCTTGAATTACTGATGAAAAGTGTTAGATTGTCTATTCGCCCTTTGAATGTGCCGTCGGTTTTTATAGAGGCTGGTAGGTAAACTCACCAATGTTCTATCTATCGTATGGAGGTAGTAAGAGACTGGCTTGCCTGTCCAAGACACAGAGCCTTTCAGGGGGGAAAGCTCTACCACATGCATGATGCTGCCGATATCTGAAGAAAAAGAAAATGAACATTTCCAGTCTTGTGGGGTCATTTGACGCTCCGGCAAAAACAGTTCGGCCGAAGAGTTAAGAAATGCCTTCCCTGAATATAAGATAGCTGGCTGAAGTGTTCTGTACTTATGTGTTGGCCATCTTGAATTGAAAATGAGGGTAACTTTTTAATTTTGGAAGCTGAGAGTAAAAATAACGGCAACCAAATGAAAGTTCATTTCAACTTCATGCCAGATTTATATTTTGAACAATTCAAAATTTGTGATAAATTAGATCTATATGTTTTGAGCCACATTAAAAAACCTGTAAATGAGGTTTGGAACCCAAAATAGTCTGGCACCATCCCACTTGTCAGATTACACTGAATATGATTGAGGGCGCACTGATTCAGGGAAAAAGATTTTTAAAATGGCTTTCCCTTGAATAGGGTCAGTTTGAGGGGACTTACCACTCAAATTCCTGTCAGTGATTCGGAAGTTGAGGGGACAGAATGCTTTAGACGAGACAATCTTAGCTCCCTCCTTCATGTTGGCAAACCGCTCCTTCAACTACACACACACACAAAAGAATTTTTTCTGTGACAATATCTTCCGTGCAAAAATAGCACATGCTCAAGTGACTAAGTTCTGGAAATCAACTTTTCGGGAGTTAGCCTCACATAACGGCAACTCTTGTAACTGCTGGATCAGACTCCAACAATTTACACATTTTGTGGGGTTACATCAGTCCTTAAAGTGTGTGCGTACATATTAAACAAGCCACAATCTTAACATCTAATGCCCATAGCTGGACAAAAATCTACTTTCTTAACACAGGATGAGGAGAATGGAATAAGTTTTATACCTTGTGGTCGACGGTCGGGCCAAATGCAAAGTTGTTGACAAATATAATGCTGGAAGAAAAGACACAACAAACTTCATGATCTTGACAGACTGCATTTAAACAAAGGCGAAATTTTAGTGGTCTACATGTACGTAGCCTTTGATCAAGGTGCCGCGGCGAAATGGATAGTCACTCAAAAGCGAGGAGCTGGAGGAGACTAGTTTAAGCACCAAACCAACGCACGAAGAAAGACTACACGATGAACCACACGCCCCGAACTCCTTTGGAGTTCTGCCCCACGTCGCTTACGTTTTTCTATTTGCTACCGTTTCGGTAGTAGATACGATATATGCGAAGGCGTAAGTCTCCACCAATCAAAACGATCGCCTCTGTGGCTCATGTAATAAATTATTCATCATTACGTATTCAACACGGCGTCCTTTCCGGTAGTGGTGTAAGCTCTAGACGACAATCTCTTCCAGAATAGCCTCAAATATGCAGCACCGAAGCTTGGGATTCCGATTGACAAATTGAAACCACAGCAAATGTTGGCCGTGAAGGCTGTTCTGGACTGTCAAGATATATGGATATGGCAAGAGTTTCAAATACCAGGCCACACCGTTGTGCAAAGACTTCATGAAATTAAGTGGCCCAGACATATATTTACTCGGACTGCTTAGCCCCCCAAACACGACTGGTTCAGAGAAAGGTGAATATTTCATAAACATTAGCATATTGAATAATTCAGATAAACCACTGGAAACAAAGCTCCAAAGGTGCTTGCGGCAGCACGTACAGTCCACGACAAACACAGATCGGCTACTGCATGCAGGGCTTGCATGCAGGGCTTGCATGCAGTTCCTCGTGTGGTCTTGACTATCCTTTTCGCCACAGGCACCTTGATCATAGGCTATGTCTACGTAGACTCCACGTGTGTTGTCATCCAAGCACCTCACATGTACCTAGTGTGGACTTGCGAACAAAAGATGCCCAAACGATACAGGAAGGGAAGACATTCTGTGGACTTACCCACGTCCACAAGACATTTCCCCTTCTCTAAAAATGAGGTTTAGAAGCAGTTTGGAATTATTAAGGTCATCTGTCATAAAAGAACGAGGAACAGTCAAGGAAAATTTTTAAAATCCAGCTAAAAATCATGCTCACAGTTCAAGAAAAAAGAGCGATTTTCAGGAGTTTTCCCAACCGCACAAAACAAAGGAATGTCCACACGAGGTATGAAAGAACATGTTAACATTTGTGTATGGACCATGTGTTTTGGGTACTTTTACGAGTTCTAAGTCTTTTTTCAGGGAAGACCAGTGCCAGACAACGAGCGGGGGAGGAATACAGTGTCTCTGGGAAAGATTTCCCAGAAGTGGATGGCCAACCACATGTATTCTTAACAGTACAACAAAAAAGACACCAGGCATATTTTATTGGATGGCTAAGCCCAGCAGGCATAACAAATCGCTCAGATTACATGTGTAGGCAGTCCGTCTTTAGAAACTCCAGGAAGACAGGGGTGAAACGATAACACGGGGAACGGAAATCTACCAAAGAATCGAGATGGTCAGAATTCGCAAGGAAGCTGTGCAAATAACCAACACCAACCACCCTTCAAAAAAAAAATTTAAAAACACATTTTTCCCCCTCAAGCCACTTTGCAGTCTTAAAGCCCAAAGGATTCCAACTTAATTCAGAGCACTCTGCATGGACTAGCATATATTTCAGTTGTCCTGATTTAAAAGGACTGCAAATTTGCACATAGACAACATCAGAATAAAAAAATGAAGAACGGTGACGTCAAAGCGACCTTTTGCAATTCATGAAAATTCTCAGCAGGCAAGTCTCCCAAAACAGGAAAGATTTATTTCTAGCTGGGCCAGTTCTTAGGGGGAGGAGGTTGAAAAACACATCCAACCAATTGCATGACATCTCCAGAGATGTACTGCATTCAACAGAACGAGACAGAAATTTTTCAGCATGAAAAAAAATGCAGTGGCCTTTCTCTGAATAACTTGCTGACATTTAAATCAGCAAACACGTACCGGTGCGGGCCATCCTAAAAAAAATGACAGGGTAGTGAAATCTTTGAATACTGCACTCCCGAAGTAGAAACGCATTGTGATCCGACATGCTACAGAGAGTGAAGTCGTTCCCTTGTGCACCACCTACACAGACACAGATGTATTTCTTCCAGGTATGTGACCTTTCTTTTAAGAAGACGGTTTGGGGAAACTGGGTAAAAACCTTGATGACCCCCCCCTCTGAATTTTTCTCTTCCAACAAGGAGCCAATTTGACGGACCTCGGCTGATTTATGCTGAGCACATCAATTTCCTACTTGTTTTCAACTCTCTCAGCTCCTTGAAACTTGACCCAGAGCTGAAACAATTGTCTTCTGACCACTGCCCACATGGCAGCAGAAACTGACATTTTAATACCGCAAAGCAAAAGTCTATCGATCTTGGGGGGAGAAATGGTCATTCTTCAGAGAATAACCCCAACCTTCAATCCTGCTGACTCCAACACATTTCCAGCAACACCACAAAGCTAGCGTTTTTTTTGGTTACTCAGTAAACAGTGAGCACATGATCTATTTGCCCATGGCTTTCATTTCCTGACAGTTCTCGCAAACTCAAAAAAGGACCAAGACTAAGTCACGAAGAAGGAATGATTGACATTGATGTCAATAATGTTATTGATGTCTCGCGGCATCAGAGAAAGAAAGACATAAAGCACCTACTTGACACTTGTCTTACGTCAAGCAGGGAAAATCTGAAAACTCTGTTAGAGCCACAACTCAGTCAACTTAAGTCAATTTCTGTGATCAGTAGCTCTGTTAGACTCCCTCCCCCCAGGACTTACTTGGCATTGGCAATCTTCTCCTTCATCTCGACCGACAGGAAATCGCCCTTGTGCAGCTCGTAGGGACTGTACTCTTTGCCGTACCACTTCATCCAGCGCTCAAACTCTCTCATCATTATCTGTGCACAAAATCAATCCTGTACGCATAAACTCACAAAATCCTGGCTGTTTCCAATTGGCAGGGGAGAGGGGGGTGGGCGGGATGGGGTGAATTTCCTCCCCACCTGCCTGAACCATTACCTTGACAGTTAAAGAAATTCAAGCCTCGAGCTCCCTCTCTTAAATACTCACAACCACTGGTAGTGGTGCAAGTGGTTGAATTATTACTGATACTGGAAGTGCTCTGGCAAAAATAGCCACCAGGTTGGGGCAGACCCCTACTTTCTCCCAACAAACCTTCCTGAATCCTCCAAAATCTTTCACTTGGCACAACTTCTAAAGATCAAGCCCTGTGTGAACAGTCACAGTGGCTGGACTCTACCTTCCTACATTTGTAAATCCTGCAAAAACATCTGCAAGAAATCTCCCGGGGTGGATTTTAATGGATCTGGGAGGGTGGGACTAAAACGGGTTGACATAAGTGTACCTCTCCATATGCGGCGGGGACATCTGCTTTCTCTATGCCATAGGTCACTTTGCACTTCGCTGATGCCGCTACCTGCAGAACCACCTGGCCCACACCTGAAGATCAAAAGACGCACAAATGGCATTCATTATTAATTGTGACATAGAGTCACAGAAAGGTCAGCCTGTTATTGTCCATTCTGCCCTCTCAACTATGCCTAAAAATCTACATACATGCATACATAAGCACATTGGTGAATTTGACCAATCAGGGAAGGCTGCACTGTCAAGCTCCATGGCAACCAATATACATATACTCTCAGATCTTTGAAGGTGTTACAATGTGACTGGACTCAATTTAAGCATGATATGAAGTCAGGTAACTAGATTACCAAAGACTCCACAGCTCCTTGAACTGTGGAGTACTAGTACATATAACTTGGGCAGTGATAAATATTATGGAGGTACTTTAACAAGTTAACTGTCTATCACTTTGTATCACTTTGGGCATATTTTCATTCCTGGTTTAATTACGTGACAGAGACCAGAATGAGAATTTTCAGAGAAATACAATGCCTACATGTACCTCCTCTTCAGAAAAACAAGTGCTTTCAGAACCAGGAAGAATAGACCCCCTAAAACAGAACTTGAATATCTTTTTCACAGTGAAGGGGGTGTTTGAAGAGCAAACCTACCACTGCCAAGGTCAATGAAGGTGTCGTCTGGTGATATCTCCACATGTTCCAGCATCTGGGCCACAAGGTCAAAGGACGTCTCCCCATAGACCTGGATGTCAGTGGGACATCAAAATTATAAACAGCTCGCTTCAGTCTAGAGTGTAACCACATAATGGGCATGGTGGCCTTGCCCAACTGATACAGCAATTCTTGTCCAAATTCAACTTTAAATATCTCTAGTTGGCAACAACAAATTTTAAATCCCATCAGTAACAATGTGTTTCAGAACTTCTAGTTTATGACTCTAGTCAGGTTTTTTTGCACAGCCAATCAAAGTATTTTGTTCCATATACTGCAATGAAAAGCACTCCGTAACACCGAAACACCCACACAATCCGTTGCAGGCTGCGAGAACAAGCCTTGTGATTGGTCAGATTGTGCAAGATTTGTGACGTAACTAATGGGCCGTCCAAGTATGGCAATACTCCAGACTGCACTTGCATGGGCCGTGCCCATGTCCAAATTGAAATGCATTAGGCCATTTGAACAGAGCCCTACCCTTGAATTTCTAGTCCTGGGTGGAGGAGATTAGGGCTGTGGGCATGTAACCCAACTCCTTCCTTGCCCTAGGGGGGCGGTGGGGAAATTATCTGTACATCAGACATATGCATGGAAAACATACACTGTACCTTGATTGTACACTGGCCCTCCTGGCAGTACAGTACAGTGTACATTACAGGCAATAAAATTTTATTTTATGGCTGGTTCTTTATTTCACGACTTCTCTGGCCACACATATGTGCAAGCAGAGACAAGATGGCAATCAATAAAAACACATTCACCCCAACAATACCAACAAATGCAACTACATCAAACAGTGGACGAGTTATCTTGAAATCTGCTCTTCTAAGATCTGAAACAAATTCTTTGTACTAGTACATACAAGTATGTACATGTTGCTGGGCCTGCATACATGTAGGTGTAATGGAAGCACTAGTGGTGAATATTGGTGCATAAAAGTGTACAGTCTGGTTCACACACAGGGCACACATGTACTGTACATGTAGGTACATGTACGGTATGTGGCACAATGAAAAGGGCATGTCTGCAGTATATGTACATGTACTGTGTGCAAAATAATCCACTGGGGAGAAGGTTTTTGATTCATGCAGTGAAAGTCTCTGCATACTTTTCTGTGGCAATGGCAATACATGATGTTGACTTTGTTATTCCTAAAAACACTCTGTTTGATTCCATTCTTTGAGGAAAAAAAAATCTTTCAAAAGTACTTCATATACATGCACATCATAAAAACTCAGCTTTAGATAAATATGTAGAAATGTACTCATACATACATGTAGTTAAATGTTAAGATGAACTTGGCTGGTGCTAATCACATGAATTACTATATCCATTGTGCTGCTGATTGCTAAACTGGTCAGGGAATTTTTTTTTCACAAATCTCATGGAGGATATGTACGTGCACATGTGTACTGACTAAGACATTTTGATTAACAGTATAGGACAGGACAGCAGCATGCATGCCCACAAGACAAGTACATGCAGCTCGATGGCAGCGCTGTTACGCTTTCCAAAAATGCAGACCCTGACATGCAAATCTTACGGAGACATATTTACATGTAGGACACATGGGGTGGATTAGCATTTCGCCTGGGCATGTAAATGTTTCGCCAGGGTACCGGTACGGGTAGATTGCTGTCAAAATGGTGGAACACGTTAGTATAATCTGCCTGAGCATTGAGCAAAAAAAATGTAGTAATCTGCTGAGCAAAACAGTAATCTGCCAGGCGATATTAGTATTCTGCCAGGTAAAATAGTAATCTGACAGGCGAAATAGTAATATGCCAGGCGATGTAGTAATCTGCCAGGTAAAATAGTAATCTGCCGGGCGAAATAGTAATCTGCTGGCCAAAATACTGGGCAACAACCAGTGACAACATTTTGTTGAGTCCTGTCCCGTATACCTGTACACTTCCGTCTAAAGTGTTGACTGACAAGTTAAGTGACTACTAGTGCCTACATGTACATGTACGGTAGCCACAGTTAATCTCCTATGTCCCAGAGGGTCAGGGTTCAAGGCTCCACCAGAAATATGAAAACAAAATTTCTCAATCTTTCAAGGGCTTAACAGGACTAAGCTATGGCATATTCCAAGACATTAATGCCATTTTGCAGAGAAAAGTTTATGGTTCGACGAATAGGAAAACCCCCATAGCAACTACTCCAGACTGATAAGAATACAACCCGTAAAGTTGATATTTCACTTTCACATCAAAAGTGGCCCATCAAAAACAACCCTTGTATGATTTTGATTGCCGTGGCATTTTTCCCTCTGACAACAGGATCCCAGGACTGAGGACACCCTCGTTTCCCTAAAATTCCAGGACAACCTTCTTCTCCAGGATTTTCAGTGTGTGCTTTTTAGTCATTGCATAGCGCCCCCTGCCCTCATTCCTCGCCAGAAAAAAAAAACAGCTGACTGCACATATGCATAACTTGTACAGACATGCTCTTTGAGCAATGAGTGTATGCACTGTACATAGACTTCTACATTTACGTGTACATGTACATGTATGTACGTGTGCACATGGTCTGTGCATGTTTCCATATGACGTGATTAGTTCATGCTAAACTGCCTCCATACCAGCTGGGATCTGAATCATCTGCTTATGCAAATGAGTTCTTCTCTCTCGGGGGCAGAGAGACTCCACGTAGGATGTGGTGTGTACCGGTACGTGTGGACTAACACAGGAAGGAACATATCAAAAATCACATTACATGCACATGGATGACAATTAAAAAAGAAGCTGGCAGTTGGCAAGCGCACAACGTGCACAGTTTGTGAGGTGGTATTGAAAAACAGCATGCTGCCAGCAACAGAATTACAGCGGGTTTCTTTTCCCCTGGAAAGCCTCTTCGGCCTTTTTGGCTTGAAAAGGGGTTTGTATCTTTAGGAGTATTTGATGTTGCCCAGGCAAAAATTGCCCACACGCTCTTTCAGGGAAATATTTCATGATTATCTCACAGTGCGTGACATCGTAGTAAGTGTGGGACTTGACACAGCTCAGACACCAGTCTTATCATTCATGTCTCCACCCCCCCTCCCAATTTTTAGACTGTGAAGTTTGTGCACTCATACTCGATCATGAGAGACGGACTCATCAGTTGCGAATCACAACCATCACACTGATTTCTCTCACAAATTAATGGCAGCAATAAAGACAAACGGATAATCACAGAGCCAGTAAAGCTAGCACCGTTCTGGTCCAGGGATAAAAGATGATTGGATTCATGGCAACCTCTCAAGAGACAAATTATATGTACCTTGGAATCATTTTTCTGATCATTTAACACCGTCTCCCGCTTCTCTCTGAATCAAAACTTCAGCTTGATTTTTGCTGCCCTCGATGCATTGAGCCATTTGAATTTCCAGGGTGTGCTTTATTTGCTCCAGTAATTCAATGAAGCGAGCATGCCAGTGAGGAGCTTAGCTCATAAACTGAATCAACCCTAGTTCGAAGCCGTTATGCCCATGTGCAAGACACAACGCGTCTAAGGAAATGGGTCTTGGAGGATAATTATTTTGGTATTTGTTTTTGTTATTTTTGGTAGGTGTGGCTGCGAGCAGAATAGCACTCACACTATCCTCATAAAACATCTGGGTGGAGGGTGGTTGGTGGGGTGGATGCGGGCTACTGGGTCCAGGAGGATGGGGTGATTGCCAGGACAATTCTTCTAAATCCACAATGCGTACGTGCGGAGAGACTCATAAATCAGTTATTGAGGTGATTGTGCACAGATTATGATATAATAATAAACAATATTATATATTGTTCTACATGAACAAACCAACCTGTGAGTGCGTTTTGGGGAAAAGTTAGGCACGCTATCTACCGTAAGCAGAAGTACCCCCGCCTCGGTTGAAAAGGGCCATGCTGGTCGGGAGTGCTCATTCTGCTGGTAGCAACACAACTGCAATGCATATATTTCATGTAGTCGTTTGTGAACCAGAGAAGTGCAGTTCCAACCAAAGGAGCCTCCGTTGCTGAGAAAACTGCACCCTCTCATGGGTCCAGCTCGGGGCTTACTGGTTGGTCCACGAGTGCACTCATGCCTGCAATCCACATGTACATGTATGTGGGTACAGGTGTACACGTATGTGATAGTAAGCACATGCATGTACATGTAGCTAAATGATTAGCCTTCCAGTCACAGTTACAGGTGCAAGGATACATGTACACATGCATGAGCCTCATCGTGTTTTCACCCTGCAAGGTGTTAGTTATGACAGTGGTGCCAAAGGAACATTATCATTTCACACCACTGTTCCATTTCTGGGCTACATCTTTCATAGTGTGTTTCAGTTCCCCCCCAGCAAGCCAACGGCACAAACAGCACAAACCTACCTCGGGCGAGAACGGCTCATAGGCATTCAGCCTGTCGGGATCGTCGATGGCGTGGCTGTAGACCTGCTGCATGATGTGCTTCAGGTGGTCCCGCGTTGTCCGCGCTTTGTCCGGCCGAGCGATGCACGTCGTCCCTTTCCACTGCGAGAGAGCAAAAAACATAAATCCTAGAGGTACGGAGAGTCCACGGGACGGCATGTACATGTAGGTGTAAAGCCCGACAAAGCAATGCTCGGGCCATGGGCGGATCCAGGACCTGATATTTGGAGAGGGCAAATTATCTTTTTCGGGGTGAGTGGTCCAAAATGTAATTTCTTTAAAGACTATGTTGGGTGCAAGGCTACATGTGACTTTTGGGATTTTGCACACACTTTGGGTTGGAAGGGAAATGAAGAAGTCCCAACAAATTATTTTTATTGCTTCTTCTTCAACACCATGCGCTATGCTTGAGTTATCAAAGGAGCTTCAATCCCATCGTAAAAAAAAATTTGGGCCTCTATCTTCTCCAGTCCTTCCAACTTTCCCCAAGCCTCCGTTGTTGATTTCCAAGGAGCTGGAAACGTTGGGGGCTCACGGAAAATATAGCAAACACCAATACTGAAACCATGAGGAAAAAAAAATCCCCCCAGAAATGCTCCCATTTTTATTTAGAAAACTGGATGGTTATTTCTGGGAATACCCTGCAAAAGTCAAGTGTGCTCCCTTGTGTAGAAATCAGGAAAGCACAAGCTTACAAAGTACAACCATTCCATAAATATTTTCCGTTACATGTATACGTCAATGCAAATGGACTTTAAAACTGCTCTCCACCATTAGTCTTGATCTCTGCCCCGGGTCCCATGACCGCTCTCTTGAATCATTACCCATACTTTGGGGAAAAATATTCAAGCTTTCAAAACCAACATGTATACATGTATGATAATGCCATGGTTTCATTTTGGGCCAAATGTTGACTTGGACGAAATAGAAACTGCATTTACGCATCCAACGACTCTACGTAGTCCCTTGTTTACTATCGTACCTGAGCATGTACATACTGAAAAAGAAACTGGACTGGGGAATGATGCCCTCGTTTCTGTGGAAACTGCAAATATCCAAGACTTGGGAGTTAAATTTAGCGCCTCCGCAAGCAAAGCACATGTCTATATGCGTACAGTAAGTACGTATATACATATATAAGACCGTTAAATATAGTGCCTGCGACTATTTAAAGGCACCATTTACATATCCATACACTATAATACAGTAGGTCTGGCCAGCTAAAAAAGAGCCAGGAATGACGCTGAGCATCAGGGCTTTATCTGAATAGAGTAGGACCAGTGAACAAAGCTCAGGCTATACATGCATACTTCCTTAAGCATCAATTTGCACATGATTTCCCCTTCACAGGAAAGTTCTAAAAATAACCTCCAAACACCCCCCCCCATCATCATCATCTTTCAGGACGGGACTGCAGCAGGGGGGGGGTCACATGGCAATGAACCCGAGGAAACAGCGACTGCAGGTAATTTTAGAACAGGCAGGCTCTGAGGAAGAGATAAAGGCACTTCTCTCTCCCTCCCCCTCCCTTTTTGGAACTCGATACTACTGAGGGAGACTGTTCTCATTTCATCTTGAACTTGGGTTACACAAAAGGCACTCAGCTCCAATGAGTACGGAACGGGGGGGGGAGACAGTGAACCCTGTAAGGCATATGCCTCTTGCGGGGCTGGTATTAATTGCATGCTGTACGGAGTCGCATTCGTGATGCGCAAACGCCAATGTCTGGCGCACACTTATGCACGCAAATGCTCTGTGCTTAAACATAGAGCTGTTTACGAACTTTGCATGGCACAAACATGTGGTGATGTCATAGCTGTGGGCATCAACTCCGCAGTCAACAGATTTCATCAACAGTCAACAGATGTCCTCGTGAATTTTACGTATTGTGCAATAATTTTGTACTCAGCCCCTGTGCTGGTACATGTACAATGTACCCGTACATGTGCGTACGTATGTACGTCGGGCATGCTTCATGAATTCTGCAATAGAATAGACTTTTTGTTGATGTTTAATCAATCTTCAATTTACCACCACGGGATGTAAAATGTTAGGAAAAGGCCAAATTGCAATTAAATTGGAGAAAAAAAATTGTCAGAAGCTGTCTATAATTTTCAAGGCTCATTACCCATGGCAGAACCAGCCCGTGGGCCACACCCACAACAATCCAACAGGGAGTACAAACTCCTTCATCCAACGTACATGTACACGCGAGATATGGAAACTGCCAGACGTACCATACACCTTCATGTATGTACCTAGCAAGCACATCCAAATATGTATTCAGTGCAACAGGAAAAAATGAACAAATTAAAGAGTGGCTGTATCTTCCTTGTTAGTAGGCGACATATGCAAACACAAACTTCCATTTTAAAGCCTCCTTTTCCATACTCCCCTCATTCTGCACGTCGTCTAATGCAAACAGAGTAACACTTGACAACCATTCTCCCATGATGCACTGCAAAACTGAACGCTACACGTACATACATGTAGGTAACCTTTAGAGGCACACTTTCTAATAAAGTGAAACGCCGTTTTTCACAGAATACAACACTATACAACTTCCTTTCACGGTAAACAGCCCGTTCCAAAACTAACAATCACAACCGGGATTTTCCCATCTCTTGGCAGTGCCGTTAAGGCGATTCCATTTACTGTCACTGTATACATGTACTCACCAACTGTCTGACTGCATCAATGGCTCTGTTGTACTTTTCACATAGTGTGTGCATACTCTCATAACTGCAATAGAAAAATACACAGATTCCAGGTTAGACGTACATAATTGAACAATCAGAACAAGTCCTAATTTTTCAACATCCACTTTTTTCCGAGTGGTTAGGAAGAACTGTGTACATTTTACTCCCTCACTGTGCTTCAGTTTTTCAATTTCTTTCATTGCGGAAATCTCTGAAAGAAAGTAAGTACACTACAGAAGTATAATTCTCACAATTTGGGGCACAAGAAGCTTCTTTGTGTATTGGTCCTGCCCCCTTCTCCGTGACCCCTGGCCAAGTCATCATTCCTCCTAACCCCAGCACCTTTCCCCCCCACACCTGAATCCCACTCGTCTGATTCTTCTCCTGTTATGTCTGAACACCTCCGCCGACTTAACACAATGCTTCCGCGCCATCTGACCCAAAAAGCCCGACGAGAGCCCCAAATCACCCCCCTCTCCCCCACAGATTGGCACATTTCTTGTTTTAGAACTTGAGGAAAACAAAGTTTCCCATGGAACAGGATACCGATAATGAGGAGGAATGACTAATAACGAATTAGCCCTGCTGTCCATCCACTCATCCAGCCCTTTCTCATCATTCCCTGATCCTTCACAGAGTGCAAAATGCACACACGCGCATACATGTACACATCCATCTACGTAAGCATGGTATCCTTTTCTGAAGTCTTACAGATCTCCTGCAGGTTCCACTGGCAATCAGGTTTCGGGAAAAAATCTTGCAAACCAAAGCGCCAGCATGATCCGGCTCCACAACTGAATACTGCCGAGTCTCTCTTTAGCTCAGAATAGACTGTTTACCCGCACGTGACTCGGAAAGCCACAATCTGGTGCCTTGACTCCCCTGCAGTACTTATCAAAGACTCACTCCTGCACCAACCCAGCCACAATTACTAAGCTTGACGGTACCCATGTTGTCGATGTAGGCACATGGAAATAGTCTTTGCAGAACTTCCCCATACATACATGTAAATGTATGTCCCCGGAGCTACATGTACATGTAGGTACATGGAACAAGGAAAATTGCCTGTCCCCCGTGACATAACTGAACAGTCTGATATTTAGTGAAATAGCCTGATATTTTAATGGAGTAGCTGGATATTTTACTGGAATATAGCTTCATATTTTAGTGGAGTAGCCTGATTTTTTAGGGGAATAACTTCATATTTTAGGGGAACAGTCTGATATTTGAGTGAAATAGCCTGATATTTTAATGGAGTAGCTGGATATTTTAGTGAAATATAGCTTCATATTTTAGTGGAGTAGCCTGATATTTTAGGGGAATAGCCTGATATTTAGTGGAGTAGCCTGATATTTTAGGGGAATAGCCTGATTTTTTTAGCCTTACCATACTTGTTGTGGAACCCCCTGATCTTTCATGGAACAGCCTATACTTTCAATTTCATCTCTGGTTTCTCACATTCTTTATACACATAAATGTTTTTATCAACGTCTCTGGAGTGACTTGTGAATACTGCGGTTTGAGGTCTGCCATACACACTGTGACCACATACATGTACATGTATGCAGTGACTTGTTCAAAATTAATATAGTACAACTGAAAATTAACGAGTGGGAAATCATGCTTTACTGAAAGAATGTTCTGGAGAGAGTTTGAATGGAGGAGGAGGCCACAAAACCGTCTTGCCATTCCCAAGAGTGAATGTAGGCACACAACCGTAACCCAAAGGAACCCATCCGGGTGGAGACGGGTGACGTTGTAGGAAGTGCAGCTTAACATTCCCTCCCTCCCCCCGCAAAAAAACCCACCAAGGAAGCCTCATGCAGCTGGGGTATGATGAGTCCTCAGGATGTTGAGTTTTTGTTGTCAGGATGTTTTCAATTGGAAACGGTTCTTGCCACTCACCTCTGCGACAGTCACAGTCTTTAAGAGGCAGTCCGGGAAACATATCTGCGCTGTCATTACCGGGCACCAAAACTGGCTAAGGGGTTGGCTTCACCAAAATATCCTTGACCAAACCCGACCTGTCTCCAATCCAGCCACTGACCAAAAGCGGGCAATGGCAAGTGGTCACCGAGGACCACGGGTCCTTTCTTGAGCATTAGACGGGCTTCAACAGATTACGCATCTCCACACAGGGCAACATCTTATAGCAAAGGCCAACTGCATAACATTGTGTATAACATCTACTGAAGCCACCACTGACTGGCAGGAGTCTGTATCTTTTATTGCCCTTTGCGGATCATCAATCATAACAGCAATTACTTGGACAAATCATGATGGGACACGCTGTTATCATCTGATTTTCCATGGAAAGATGATTATGTTGATATACAGCTACACTACATAACCAGACAAGTGTAACATGGCTGCTGAAACGTTGGTTCTCATATAGTTAATTATAACATGCAATACTCAAAAATCATGGACAGACATGAGCGTGTGTACACTGTACATGTACTCACTGTACCTCAGTCCAGGTACTGTGGTCAAAAAAGACCCCAGCAGACCAACATGTGATAAAAGGATACAAAATAAAAGATGTTTTACCTTTTTGTGTCAAAGTCATTGAGCACATTCTTCTGCATGGCAGCCATGATTTCTGGGACATCTTCGCACACCCATCTGAGGGGAAAAAAATGAGGGAGAGCTTCCTGTAGCGCACGTATGATAACTCCACATCCACATCTACGTGTACATTGTACATGTGACAGCACGTATTGAAAACCTGGAATTTTGACACACGTTCCATATAGGACCAGGTTATGTACTGAGAAACTGATGTGACCTAACAGAGAATTAAACAAATGGTTTCATTTCACATAAGCTGTGACGATGGATATTTACAACACATCATGACATGCACCCACACAGCCAGCATTTTCTGGCCAGTTTCAACGTGTTCACAAATTCCAAGAAGTTACAAGGACCCACGCACTTACTTGATCGTGTCAACGATCTCATTTGCCCCGTCATTCTTGTCCTGTAATAAGATCATGCAATAAAATAAAATTACTGGCAACAAGCCAAATATTTGGAGGATATATATTACCCACCATGTAGAGTGAAAAAGGCTCGAGAGATTAGTCATTGGATACGTATGTAAACTAAACAGACCTCACGTTTCATCGTGTTCTTATCAAAAAGAATCTTACATCCTGCTTGCATTTTTTTCTCCACATACATTTCAATGAAAGTTAGACAGTACAAAAATGTTGAAAAAGGCGTGCATTCAGGACTGAACAAAAGTTTCCAGTTTGGTAACAACATTTTTAAAATAGTGTCGGCTATCCACAGACTTTATACACAACCCAGGGAGAGGTAGAGATACAACATTCCTTCCTTTAACGTGACTTCAAATTTTTTGGTAATATTATTGACATATATGTAAGCCTGCATACATGTCACCCTACATCTAAAAAGGTTATCGACATAATTTTGCTAACACTTCTACAGGAATTTAGACAACACATCTCGAAATGACAAACAGCAAACCCCGTGCACAGACGCAGCACACCATCACGACCATGATGTAGGCCTACTCATAATGGATGTGAAAGGTCGATCATTCTGTGTATCAACATATGTTTACCAGGTCTGCCTTTAAAATGAAAACAACACTACGAAAATTAAACTGAGTATGATTGACTTATTCAGGGTCAAGGCCAAGCCGACACTCCATTAAAACACGTTTTGGAAAAAAAAGGTTCTCGATGAAGCGTTGGCACAGGGCAAAATGCATACGACTGTTCAGAATAACACACCACGATCAACCAAATCAGCGATCGGATTAAATTGTTCTGCAAAGGTTTTTGAGCTGTTCGAGTGTACACAAACATGAGAAACAGCGTACTGCCTAAGGAACAAAACTACTTAGTGTGTACACAGAGAATACACTAGGACTACATACAAGTGTACTCTCAAACTGAACTCACCGTGTGCTGCAGTGGCCATGTATAAATCGCAGGTTCGGCGCCGGCTGGGCTGTGTAATCTAAGTTCCAGCGGCCTTTTCGGTTCCCCCTTTTCCTCGTCCATCCTTCCGGTGCGATTTGCTGGCAAAAAATGAATGCTATAGTGGCATTTTTGCGGAGAAATATACTATTTCCCGGCTGTGTGCTTCATTCCCTATGCACACACGTACAAAGAAAACCCACCCCGTAGATGTATCACGTGGCTCCCAAATCTTTGTTTGATTGGCTGCTTTGTGAAAGGAGCATCTCATTATTGGGAAAGGGGTGTTCGTTTTACGTCATCATTCATTAAACACGTCGCACGTGCATGCATAATGCACGATCATCACACAACCATTGACTGAGAAAAATAAAACCAATTTATTCAGAGTATCAAATATCCCCTGGATCGTCATTTGTCATTCATAACATTTTCACTGCAGAGTTTTCTTTACTTGCCTTGTTCGTAGAAGTGAACACTGAATCCCCTCAGCTGAAGAAGAACATGTATATAGTTTACATCAATCAACCGTTCAGAAGAATTTCACTTGCTCTGTTGAAGTTATAGAAGTCGAGACAACCGTAATAAATAAAGTTAATAATTGCGAAATTTAAAACCCGTAACGGCTAAGCAACATGTTTTTCGGAGGAAAATGGCAAAAACTCGTTGAAGCGCATCTCAAAGAAGCACTCTTCAATAAACGGAGAATTTGGCGCTCATCCAGACTACGACGATACCAAAAAGTCCCGGGAACTACTGCAAACTTTACAAGAATATAACGTTAAACAAATGTATTGGACCATGAATGACTTGGCTCTTGAGCTAAAGACCAACATAGAGGGGGAAACCCCCCTCTGTTTCTTGTCTGTTTGTCTTTTTTAGGCTTAGTATTTATTTAACCTTCCAAAGCCTAGTTCCCGCTCTCGCAGACCACTGCTTGTGGACGCACGTGTTGTTTGGAATGATGCCAAACCAAACCGCATGTTCGACGTGGGCAGCGAGACGGGGAAACCCTCATATCGTGACTCATGTGACCAAAGGCGTTGTCATCACAAATATTATGCATGTTTAGTGGTTAAGCATCCTGAGAAAGACTAGCCCGAGTGAAGAATTAAGCATGAGACAATGACATCCTTGTCTATTTTTGTCTATTACATAAGGGGAAAAATAGAGGAAAAATTTATCAATGAAGTGTGGGTATTATAAGAGGCGATATTGGCAGCTAAAAGTCTACTCTAAGCAATCTACGGTGTCCTTTTGTATTGTCATGCCTTTCGTTTTAAAAGCTTTTAGATGAAATTGAATTCGACACGGGGAAAAGTTGCAGACCACCTTTGATGAATCATTTTGGCGAACCGGATTAAAGTCGTTGATAAGTTTTTTCTTTCCTTTGTTTCTACTAAATTCTAGATCAGACCTAAACAGTGCATTACCCCTCTTCAAATTGATGATATTTAAATATGAATAATTTTACCCCCTGGCCTATAGCTTCCTTATGCTTTCACCCTCCAACGCCCAAAACTGTCTCCGTACTTCTTTGTCAAATGATATCTGTAACCATTACCGTGTGTGGAATAGTGATGGGTGTGGTACTGGTGGAAGTGGGAGTTTTGGTTGGCGTTTGTTTTGGGTAATCCGTTTGAAAGTTTTAATTATGGTGCAAAGGGTTTCAATCATTTGATCACAACAATTGAAAGTGCCCCAAACCAATGAGAATCGTTGTTCCCTCATCACCAGTGGCATGCATACATCGATTGCCCCGGGCTTTGTGCGTGCGCATACCTTACGTAACAGCTTCCCTGAGTTGTGAAAGCACAAATCTTCCTATAATATTAAGATCTTGGAAACGTGATCTCCTGAAATTTGAGAGTGTCATTAAGTGTCATCTAACGCCACAAACGTTTTGCTTGCATTTTTGCTCTGCAAACAAAAACAAGTGTAACAAGTCTTTAGTTATTATTTAATCTCCATCTAACGGGAAAATGAATTTTGATACTCGACGATTGGGTTCCGGAATTCAGTCTCCAACCACTCGTTGTAATCCATGCTCTCAAACTCGTGTCGTCATGCTTTCGTCACGAGGAGATGAGCCGATGAGCCGCGAAAGATTTCCGCGATGACCATATATCGACACGGATCTCTCGTGCGGTTGACGTCAGCAGCGCTACCCGTACAACCCAACCGCGGGGAGAGTTCATTGGATGACGTACACGGAAAGCGCGCGGTTAGTATTACGCGCTCAAACCCGACCCCGTGATGCATGGAAAAGGCCCGTACATACAGCACGACAGAGATAGCAAAGGGCGAAATTGCATGATATCAGGCTGGTCGTATAATGGAAGGCATGACGTTGTGGCGGTATGGGGATGAATAATCGTGCTGGGTCTCTAAACATTATAATACGTGCGACGATTGTTGGATGAGTTCAACGTCATGCTGTTATGTTAATCATTAATCCATTTTTAGGTTGTAATACACGTGCTAACAGCACCAGTACCGATAACACGTACATATCATCGCTGCAAGAAATCAGCTGAAAATCCCAGTGGTCATCATCTTTAACAATTTTTCATAAATTCAACTTAGTGATAATCTCACTGTTCCTTTTTCTGATGGTTGGAGATGGATGATTATCGGCCTGCCCTGGAGCCCCGCATAATTATCGTCCAGAACAGCACATGCATGGATATGGCAGGGGATTTGGCGCGCCAAGAATTTCATACCACGGTTATCTGAAATATGCACACTTGTCTAACTTACGCATGGGAGTTTAAAAAATTGAACAAAATGAACGTTGAACACCGAAAATTGAGATCAGTTAACAAAGGAAGTGCATTGTGGCTGGTTTTAAGAAAGTTACAAAAAATATAAATCTTAAGGAAACACAAACCTATACGTATAACTCTAGAGGTAATGTTTTTTAAAGACAAGCCTGGCAGTTCAGAAAAGCTGTTTTATCCTGACTTGACAAATGGTAAAAGCACGGCGGTTATAAAAGAAACAAACCTAAAGTGAAATCCACAGGTACCTTTTTTACTGTCAGACGCTTCAAGATTCAGCCCGTTCAACCTCTATTGCCCTGGACAATGTGAGCCACCACCAACTGGGAGACGACTGATCGGAAAAATGTTTGATATTAAGCATCATTACCATGGAAACGGATCCTGTGAGCTAGAATGACTTCCAGTTGTAGGCCTATATATCAAGATTGATAACTCGGCATCAGCTTTGAATCAAAAACGTAAGAACATAGTTTTGCTTGGCGTTAGGCAACTAACAAAGCCTGAACATCGATGGATGGTTTGGACTATCAAGTCGACCATTTGGGACTAGGTTCCAGGGCATGGTCGCACCGCAGGTTATGAATAACCGATTTCGTTTATCATTACGGAGGGAACCATTCACATGAAAATACATGTAACTGTACGAGATTTCACTGAGCATATGTACGCTGCGAAAATCGCAGCCAAAAGGGAAACATTGGTAACGACGAGATTTTTAGAAGTGAACCGACTTGGGTCATTCGATTGTTGTACACTATTATGAAGCAATTGACCGCTGTTCTAACCCGAGCTTGCCCTACAGGAAAATTGCGCCCTCTCTTGGTCCAAGTCGGGGCTATCTCACAATAGAATCCAGAGTCTCTGTTGCTTGATACGCTTTTACGGGGTATGAATCAAGCAAGGTTTCTCCTTCAAGCTCCTGAAATTTCGTTCCTCAGTAGCGTCGACTAGTGGCATTGCTTGCAGCTGGATGACATCAATACTTAGGTCTGCTAATGCAGTGGCGTGCCTGTATCCGCTGGAATGCGACTGCGGCAAAAAAAGGTGTTTTTAATGACTGTCCTTTTAAAATCTCCCCTTGCAAAGAAAGGCTCTGACGCCATATATGAAGTGTTGGCACTTTCCAATGCAATCTGCCTCGAGCAAGTGCACCCCCTCACCGGTTGAAAAGAGCAGTAGACGTTAGTCGGGAGTGTACACTTTGTTGGTGGCGATGCGACTGTGACGCGTGCAGTTCCTAGTCGTTTTTTTTTTTTTTTTTTTTTTTTTTAGTGAACCAGCAAAGTTCAGTTTCAACCAAAGGACTCGGACGTGTATAAGAAAATTTGGACTCGCAATGCCCTTAATCAGCTTATAGAGTCATTGAATCCACTCGCGGCCATTTTACCGAGCCGAATACAAAGCTTTCCTGGCAATGCCCGCCTTTGTTCTTCCTGACGTCAATAGAAGGGAGCCAGCCCACGCTTTTGTATTCGGCTGGGTAAAATGGCCGCTGGTTGGCTTCTTTTTCATACACAGGCGTTGCAAGTCCAGGTTGTTTTAATATACGTCCGTGCCAAAGGAGCCGCTGTTGCTAATAAAATAGCGCCCTCTGTTGGTCAGGTTCGAGGCCCGTGTAGAACGACGGTCAAAAATTAAAAGAAAAAAACCTATAATACGAGTCAACCCCACCGTACAAAATTGCCTTCACTGTACATGTATGTATACAGTTTAGTGCAACACAAATGATACATAGTGCATCATTTGTTTGAGGTCTGAAGACTGTTGAACATTTCTTTTGTGGCCGATGCCTGACAAGGGTCAAGCCGGCGAGATGCATGACTGAACTCTCGATAAAGCTTAGCAAAGTTATATTTAAAAAATGCCAAAACCAAAAGTAGGCCCCTGAGACGGCTTCGCATTTTGACATGGATTATTATTTTTCTAAGTAAAGGAGGGGCTCTTGTTTGAATAACTTCAGTTTCCGAAATTTTGGCTTTTTCTGGTGTTTCTTTAGTTTTGCGCAACAATACTAATCTCAGTGTCAAGAGAGGATCGGCTTGAGCCTTTTTCTGCCACTTTGATTCAATTAGTATAAGCATTCTTCAGCATAGTCTTGACGTAGCATATCAGAGACAGTCTTGTTTCAACGTCACCAGTTATCGATAGTCTTTTTGAAGTTTGCAGTTTCTAAGCGCTAGCGGAGCGGTCTTTACAAAGCGCGCCCTCTGTAGTTTTCAATTACTGCATGGTACCCAGACTGCACACAGTCCGCATGGATATGCAAAACGAGAGGGAAACAGACTGGCGTAGCAACGGAACACAACGACGTCGTGGAAACTCGACAGCAGACTACTGCATTCCGAAGACGTTGATTTCTTGGGTTTTATACCAAATTGCCTAATTTAAGACGCAAATAAACAAAGAAAAATGGCAAAAGAAAGATACCTTAAAGGTGACGCCATGCCGTTCGCTAAACAGATGAAGAGGTTAATCAACAGTAAAGATTTCAGGTAGGCCTGTCACCTGTTTAACGAGTGGAGCGCGAGCGCGCGACGACCAACGATGCGACCTCCACATCTCAAGTTCTACGTAGGCCCTAGACCTAGCCCAGGTTTGACGCCAGTAGTAGACCTACGGTCAGGGAGTCCACCTGGGCTAGGCCTAAAGTTCCAGGATACAGTGCAGTGGTGCTGAAGCTTGTTTGATACACGCCTGGAGACCTGTTGCCTGATTTAACGAACTGACGAGTAGCAGGACGCTACTTCTAGTTCTACCCCCAGAACCGTGGGGTCCGACGTCCGCCCCGCTCCCAAGTCATGCAAGTGGGAGGGAGAGCGGAGCGGACTTTGGACCCGACTATTCTGGGGGTAGGACACTACATAAAAAGACTAGCAGGCATGCATACCTGGTTGCTTGACATCACTTGAAAGTTGACACCCTGTGGTGTACAAACCTACATCATACATGTAAATTATGAGACTGTTCTGAATGACAAAGTGTTAGGCCTAGGCCTGCTGCCTATACCTAAGTAAAAGTAGCCTAATGAAATAGTTCAATATTTCACCTCCTAAATTTGACTTTTAGGACCTGTTATACCGCCCTGTGGTGGCTGATATTTCACTGCAAGGAAAATTTAATGATATCCCTCCATGTTTTGAATTCTTCCCTACATTTGTCACATTCTGTCATTGGTCAAATGATCAGCCAATAAGTGTGATTGCTTCTTTCCACAATCTGTCCGTCTTACTGTGCAATATGTCAATAATTCAGCCGCTGGGCAAATGCCTAAAGTTTCTTTCAAATTCACAGTTGGGAAAGATCGGGATTGGGAAGTTGGCTTAAACTGGAGATTTCATACATGATCGACCAGTCATGCTCGGGGGTTGTACAGATTGGCGAATTGCACCCAACAAAATACTTCAGTTGTAGCATAGCATTCAGACTGGAGGGCTTTCACCTGACATTTGATTTTCTGCAATGACCGTTTGACATACCAATATCCCCTGTGACATGTTGGACATCCCCGTTGACCCCCAGTGACATCAAGTTCATTGTGGGAGATTCGCGCAAGCAGATCCGGGCCCATCGCTGCATCCTGGCATCTCGCTGTGAGGTCTTCCGCGCCATGTTCGCTGACCAGAACAACAAGGAGGACACCCCTTATGTCATGTCAGACGTTGACCCAGACGTCTTCCTGACTGTCTTGGAGTTCATCTACACCAATTGTGTCGCACTGAGCACCAAAAATGTAAGTCTAAGATATCAGGAAGCCAGGGGTGGGTCTAGGTATACTGCATGTAAGAATATAAGGGAAAAATGCGACATAGCCCTGTGTGTTCCAGCTTATTCCTGTTTTGGGAAAGAAATCTATATGCATGGACATTCTGACTTTTTCCCTACATAGACTTATCGGTGACCAGAAGGCAATAACCTGATTGAAGATGTCAAATTTAGCAGGGAAATATTGCAGCATTTACTTAGAAGACTTTTGTACATTTTTGGACCAGTTTCATAGAGTTTGCATGCAGGATATCAAGTGATGTCCTGACATGGAACACTTTATGTCGCATGATTGACATTGGAAGTACAAATGTACCGTGACTCTTGAGGTGCAATCAGGTAGCATAAACCCCGGCATCAATACCTAAGGGAATTTGGCTGTATGTGCCCCATTTCCCGTTATTTTCCTGTTACTACAATGCACCTGGATCAACAAAATAATGAAGGACTGACCTCCAAAAACTTGGAAATTATAACAATAAATCAGATATGATTCAGTGAAAACAATTAGCAAATAATTTGATGTTGATGTCCTTCAGATCTTGAAGGCTGTGGTAAATATTCACTTCTTTGATCCATTACCAAATATTTGAATAGTATAATTCATGAAGAATAACCAGAAATGAAGCATAGTTGAAAAAGGAAAAAAGACCAAAACACCAATTGAATGATACCTGACTTCTATTTTTTTTTTTATTTTTCCTTTACTCCAACCTTGGTCAACTCACCCGGCAAGTGCTGATTTAACTGGGGAACTTATAAAAACATGAGACAGTATGAAAAGTGAGTTTTGTGCATTAAAGTTGGAGCAGAGTCATACTTATGATACTGAATAATATTTAAGTAGTTGATAGAATGGAAATTTGAGTACTCGGAGGTTTGAACTGCTCAGATTGAATTTGCCGATGTACAATTCTTCCCATACAGGCTTTTGAAGTACTGAGCTGTTCCATTGAATACGGCCTGGATGACCTGAGGAAGGTGTGCGTGGCCTTCCTGATGGACAGCCTGTCGGTCAGCTCCTGCTGCGAGGTCCTGCAGTCGGCCGTCTCCTATGGCCAGGAAGACCTGAAGGCCAAGGCACTGGCCTTCATCGACAAGAACACTCAGGTAACCAGACTAGGCTTCAGGCAGGTTTTGACAGGTGTTGGAAGCACTTCTCATGTGCCAAGTTCAGTGCCAAGTACTGACATGGTTCAGAGAGAACATTGCTTAAGAGCACGGAGATTAAAGTGCACAGAAGTAAAATAAAAGATTAAATTTAAGACCTCAGACTCTTACAGGATTGTTAAAACTAAGTTTTGTGGAGAAAAGTACTCAACTGTAGTACTTGTTTTGTCAACCTCCCCCTATTTCGTCTTGGATGTGCCCTCCACAGAATGTTTGTTCTCAACACAACCGTAGACAACACAGAAGCCGTGTCACACCTACGGTCTCATGTGTCATCGTTGTAAATAATGGTTTGAGAATTGACGTTTGTGACCAAGTCGCTAGTCACCCAGAGGGTCCATGCCATTGGACTTAATATTACCCTGGCTCTTGTCAAGACCCCCCAGTTATGAGGCTGGCTTCACCCTGGTGTTCATTCTCCATTTGAAAATAATCCAGTGAATTTAGGTCTGTTACTAGATTCGAAATGAGCAAGATGGTGCACAATCTGCCATCTTACCAGTAGCTCCTCACTTGACTTCTCATATATGATGCTTGGTAATAGTAGGGGGTTTCAGCAGGCCTGTGCCAAGGGGGGAGTCGAGGGGGCCAGCCCTCCCCCCCCTCGGCGGGAAGCTGATCCCCAGTCAGTAAAAGGCATGAACGTATAAATATATATATTTGTTCCTGTGATGTGGCCCTCCTAACTGATACTGTGGCCCCTCTTAATGCCTGAAGCTGGCGACGGGGCTGGGTTTCAGTGACCCAATACCCCGTCCAAAATGCAAATTCTATGAAGCTGAGGAAGGGACAGGATGGAATCTTTTTGACATTGCTATTTCAGTCGCAGGAATGGCTGTTTGGTTAACAGGAATTAATAATTTGGTTGGACAGATTATGAATTCATCTCCAGGAACTAATAAATTAATACGTAATTCATACAGAGGAATTTTCTCCCGTAATTTTGGAACACAAAGTAGTCTTTCTTCCCCGAGACCAAAACTGGAGGCCTCTGGTGAAGCCCCATAATGTGTCATTTTTCAGGGTTACAAATGCGCTACTCTTTAAATCTCCTTTACCCTCAATTTGAATTCAGAGTGTCATCAAGACCAAAGGTTTTCAGGAGTTGTCCGCTGAGGCCGTGTGCTGCACTCTGCAGAGCTCTAAGCTGACAGCCGACGAGCCGGACATCATAGCGGCTGTGAGGGAGTGGGCAGCGGCCAACTCGGTAAGCATTTACTCGTTTCGTATTTAGACCCAAAAAAGAAGGAGATTGCGAGACAGGGCTAACCACGAGCCGGAGGTAACGCTGGGTCTGAAATGCACTCTCAGAGTTCCGGCTATGTCATTGTCAGCGTGCTCCCGCATATTTTTAACAGCAGTAGACCAGTAGCTCCGGATAACAGATCCAAATGCAGCCTAGCTTGTTCTCACCATGCTGGCTTTCTTTAAGCAAATTTGGGCATAGATTCAGAATTGATTATAAAATGTTACCCTGAGGCAAGTAACCATTTGTTCTTCTTTCAAAGTTCTTAGCAAAACATAAATTCTTCTCATTAGTCCAAGCAGCTTGTCTTCCTAGTGCTGAATCCCAGTATCCACTACTTCAGCCCCTTCTTCTAAGAACCACAAAACTCAAGAGATTGGCTTCCATAATACCATCGCAAACCTCCTAGACCATGACGCCATCATGTTCTGTTAGCAGACGCTCACTCGACAGCCGATGCAGAAGGTTATCCAGTCTGTGGTCAGGCACATCCGGCTGGCCCTCCTGGCTCCAGATGAGCTGAAGCAACTGGAGAGGGAGAACGAAGCGCAGCAAATCATTCCCGTAGGTGGCAGCTGTCTGTCCATATGTCTGATTGATTCCTCGCAGAAAACTGTCAATCAGTGCTTCCCTCAGCAAACCCTTCTGTAAATTTCCTTTTTGTTTTTTTATCCTTTCAGGTCACGGCCATTGCAGCCGCTTGGAAGTTCCATGCCCTCCACGAGTCAGAGCTGGGGAACCCCCAGACCCAACTTCGTCAAGGGACAATATCTAGACCGTCCCACCGAGGGTTGCACCACTGGGACATGTGAACACAAAATAGCCCTGTCTTTGTTTTGTAATGTGTGTTTTCCGAGGAGTGCCGAACAGCATATTGTCCTAAAACTTGAAATGTCAGGAAACAGCACCGTGTTTTGAAGCTCGTAAAGCTTCTGAACCATCAGAGAGACCAGCTTCTTTCTGATTTTGCTTCGAAGGAACTTTAGTGAAATACTTTCTGAGTGAATCTTATCAAGGGTGCCTCTTTTCCTGGAAGTATTTGAGGTTGTGTGATTATCTTGCATTGGCTCTAGTGCACCTTTCGTCGGCCACGGTTACTTCCGCGATATCACGCCGAAGGCCAGTTGTTCCATTTTCTGACAGCTGCTCTCAATTTCATATCGCCCACCTGGGTTGTTGAGTACGGACGTGCACCTGTGGTATGGAATCTTTGGACGTTAGCTTGACCATTCCACTAGATCTGGGCCCTTTCCTACGATCCACCGAAGACATGTCTAGCTCCACACCCCAGACTAAACCTCAAGTTGGTGTGATGTTCCCTGATGGAGGCTTTGCTGACTATACGATTCAGATAATCTCTACTGTTAGACAGGTAGTCTCTCTCCAGCATTACCATCGTTTTGTTAGCAGTGAAGAAAACCATTGTGAGGTTAGAAACCTCCTCCATTTAGTTACGTTTGAAGAGGTTTCAGTCTCCCCAGGAGCAAAGAGTAATGTGACTAGCTGCTAATCTGACAGTAGAGGCCAGTGAATCTGATGACAAGTACATAATTCAATTGGACTTCCTCACGCCAGATTTATAAACACACCTGCAAAGTGCAACTTTAAAAGTTTCAAGTAAAGGTTTAAAGCAGTTAATCATTTTAACAGCCAAATTTTTGTATTTCCAATCCGTATATTTTTGCAATGAAAGGGAATTTGTTGTTACTAATACAGGTATCAGATTTTAAAATGCTTTTCAGGAAACCTACTTTTTGTTCTTTACTTTATAAATGTGTAAATTATGCATATTTTTATGTGCATGTATGTACATCTTAAGAATGCAGCAAGTGATACTAATTATAAATTCTGTGTCTTAACCGTGTGGTTTTATAAAATTAAGTTGATAAAAAAATGTTCGAATGCCAAGTGTTTATGTCCATTTGGCCGAGTAAAGTTCGATTTTGGAAATGAACTCTTGAATCTGCAGATCTATCCCACGCAGCTAGTATTAGAGAGTTTTTATTTTAATGTGTATGTGTCTTTCAAACAAGAAATTAAAACTAAGTTTTTGAACCGTTTCTGTCTTTGTAATTTTTCCTTTTTTTCATAAATCGTCTCGTTGATAAAAGTTGAGTTGAAATGGTTATTGTGCAAATTATCCAGAGCACGGAAAAATAAAAAGGAGACGCGGAATAACATTGGCAGCCTCACAGCTCTGACCGTCAGGCAGTTAGAGCGCCCTCATGCAGGTACTAAAATGTAGTCAAGTTTCTTCAGAGCTCCTGACTAATCTGAAAGTATAAGAATGATACAAAATCACACGTGACGGACACGGCATTGCATACGTTGATTAGTCTGTGGTCTGAATTTGTTTATTATATGAAATTAATGACTCCACTGAAGTTTTCGAAAGGGACCGGATGGTGCACTGCAGTGGAAGATTTATTTTAATCTGTTTTCTCTTTAAACAGGATGAGATATTATTAGAGATGCCATGCTTAAGGGCGCAATCGGTTATCATTCGTCTTGGTGCTTGTTGACATAGACAACATCATAAATGAGTTACCCATTCCTGCTTGATTATCTGATCTGGCCGTTTTTTTTAGACGATCGATGTTTTCTCTTCATTGCAGTGGAGAAAGCTTCTGATATGCACTGCACCTGCCGTTGGGTAACACAATTGCCCCCTTGTAAGTTGTAAATACGGGAACAATGCGCTTATTAACCCTGTGTGTACATGTACATCTGCTCAGGTAATCAATTGACATTGTCATCACAGGTTTATTCAGGGTTTATTCCTTTCTCCGAATTCTCTACGTGAACGAAATGTTGTGGGAGTCCTATTTTCCGTTTGCAAACAAAGACCTGACGAGTCGCTTTCTTAGAAGTCGCAGATTGTACGGGTTTGGCTAACTTTAGTACACAATGTCTGTAAAATACAGGGCTGGCCGTCGACTGGCCGCAGGCTGTGAATTACGAAGTTGAAATACCGCCTAGGCCTCACGAAGGTATAATCAAAAGGAATAATCCAATAGATGCAACTGCCCGGTGGTGATTGTCTTTTTTAAATAAATGCATTGTCAGTCAACAGCTATTCCTTCCTCCGTGCTATAATTTATTCAACAAGAAAATGGCATCGTGCCAGGAGCCGTGTTGGCCTACGTGCGACAACCATATGATTTCGTAATAACTGAACTGATCGACCATTGCGCAGACCAGATAAATCATGGAAGAAGGATAACTTTCTTGTCATTGTTGTTTCTGTGCATTGTGTGACTCCTGTGACAATACTCTTTTCTCGTGAGTCGACCAGCAGTTAAGTATAGCTAGCAGCGAAAATCGCGAAATATCGACGCACAAGTCATGCGTCGTGATCGATCATTGATCCCAAGTTCCATCCACTTACCATTGTCGTTAATGACAGTGCAGAATGAACCGGCTGGAGTGTACACAAACGGAGGTCATAAACCATCGACCATTCAGCATGCCTTGGTAACGAGATCACATCACACACCCTGACTATACACTACGTTTTTATTACTTTACTGAGGTGATCTGTAGTGCGGGACTGATTAATTCGACTATCCATCTGTGCACTGTTAATAGTCAAATCATAGAGCTGGGTTGTAGCTCTATGGTCAAATCAATCAGAACCGACGGTGAATTGTATAGTACAGGAACGCATGAAAGGCGATGCATTCTTCTCCAAAAGGTGAGTTCTCTGAATGGTTTATCGCCACCAAATTACAGAATTCTGGTACCTTTTCTCAACTAAATGACCTCATTGGCCTTTTATTTCACGCCGAAAGAGGTTTCGAAAGATTACAAATCCTTATCAGAATCGCACAAAGTGTGGGGGTTGCAAATAGGCTTGAGGGTACAGACGACTGTGAAAATTAACGCAAGTTTTAAAAGCCAGTCCAGTATTTTACGCATCCGTAGACCAGTTTTGGGTCTATTATTGCACTGAGCCAGTTTTTTTTTTACACTGAGTTTTACTCTAGATGTTCTAGCCTTAATCTGACATTGTAGAAGGAAAAATCTTTTGAACTGATATCTGAAAACAGCGACCTATGGGGTGAATTGTTGTCACTCAAAGTGCCGCGAGTGTGGGCCCTTTTTCTTGGGGCCCTCAAAGTTTTCATAGGTCAGGAAATTTGAGACGGAACCTGACACAGTATTGTAACGTGACCTAGTTACTAACACGTATTCGCCCGTTTCCACTGGAGATTTTTATGACTTTTGATGAAAAGACCACGGGGTAAATCTAAATGAGCCGATCGCTTTTCCCCTGCGTAATTTGTCCTTTGTCCTTGGTGTAGTTTCTAGATATAGTCAGGTGTAATTCAATTTTGGCACTCTGTAGAAAACCTTTGAAAAATAAATCTTGCTAAATACAAAGAGACCTACTTTTTCAATTCATATTAACTGGGCCAAAACTGATTTTTTTGTTCCTTCAATACAATACACAGCCCTGTCATGAAAAATGCGTTTGCTATAAATCACGGTTTCCATGGCAACGACCAACGCTGCGATGGTTTGAGGGCCCAAACATGCACCTCCATAATAGAAACGCACAAGCCACCGTTGAATGTGAAACGGGGACAAATGGTCTCATTTAGTGTGCACACTTGTTATTTTGGTGGCGAGTCACAAGGGGCCCTGCCGTGGGTCTCAAAAGAAATAGTGGGAGAGACCACTTGGAAAGTGTCAACATACTCCAGGCGAGTGACAAGTGTGTTAGTAAGGACAGTGCTTACTTTGTGTGGAACTGGAATACGCCATCAAACCGAGAGAGGCTGGCACGAATCAATTAGATTTTGATCAAAGAGCTGGGAACAGTATTGTGATCTGGTTTGGATGCGACCTTCTGTACCGTAGGTTGATGTGAGCGCTCACTTACGTGTGTAATACATGGTCGTGCATGTACAGTACATGTACATGTAGGCCTACATACTACACCAATACGTGTACGTTACTTCCCACACCTGAGTCTTTGCGTATCTAAAGGTGAGTGTACCACATGCATCCCTACTGCACACCGGTAGAATCGAATGGTTGTAATATCAAATTTTTTCCCACTAAAAATGCTATTTTTAATATTATGTCTGGCAAAGTGGGTAAGTGAAGTTTATTCTAAAGTGATTTGTTTCATTCTAGTTCTCGTGTTGGTAGTTGTTATTCAAAATTACACGAAACGAAATGTGAATTTCTCAATGTTCATCGTCGAAAACACTGAAACTACCTGCTATGTCTTTATCAGCATATTCCTGCTCGTCTGTGTTCCTCTTCTGGGATCTTCGGCTTTTACTTTTCTTTAGTTCGTTGACAATACATTCTAAGTGTGGTTGCAGAAAGTGGTGGCATCTGGGAAGAAGATCCAGTATACAGCCCATCTCAAGATGGAGTCATCTCTGTGTCTACCGAATTGGTACCGTGCTTGTTGAAACAACGACAGAACAGTTGTCTCAGCCCCTGCCGGAATTTCTTGTACTTAAACTCGTAGATGACGGGATTGATTACAGAGTTGAAATAGAAGAGAATATTGCCCACGCCTCTGGCGTACCTGTAACCTTGCGAGCCGCAGAAGGAAAACGTGCTCGACTCCGTCGGATCCAGACAGAGAAGAACAGTCAGAAATCCCGGAGTCCAAAGGACTGCGAGAGCTCCCAGGACGACGGTCAGCATGCTGACCAGGCGCTGTCTGGCGATCAGGAGATCGTAGGCGGCCGCCCTGGCTTGCTGCAGGCCCAGAGCTGCGGCTTGTTGTTTGAGGGTAACTTGTATTTTGTAGTAGGCCAAACTCATCAGTATTATGGGCAGCAGGTAGTTTATTAGAACCACAAACACGCCCAGGAGAATGGGGACTGCCTGGTGAGAATATTGGAACGTAGAGCAGGCTTTCTGAGGATCGTCGCTTGATTGGATGGTGAACGGAAAAGGCAGAGACATCAGGACGGAGGTCCACCAGGTCAGAGCCACCAGAGCTTTCATCCGCGTGGCCGTGAGCAGCCTGGCGTACTTCAGTGGATGGACGATGGCCGCGTATCTCTCCAGAGTCACTAGGCACAGGTTGAAAGCCGATGCGTATCCGAACACCCAGGTTAGAAAGTGGGACGCCAGAAGGCGACAGAAAAGTTCCCTCCCAACGGGGCTGGCTGAAACGTAGCGAAGTAGCGCACAGTTTGGGGACGCAACAAGATTGTCAAAAAATGCACAGAGGCATAACAAGCCGTCGGCCGCCGCCAAATTTATCAGCATGTAGTTCGTCAAAGTGTGTAGGAACTTGGCACGTAAAATAACGAGGCAAACGATGAGGTTTCCTAGGAACCCAACGACGCCTTCTGTCGCTATGATCTGACATACCCACTCATTCTGAGACTGATCGCCTCTCAGAGCAGTTATATTAAACGTTGCCATGGTTGGGGCTGTACATATTCTTATGCTTCGTTACTTCTTGTAACTGTCGACAAGCAACTCATCGGCAACTGCACTTTTATGGAGTCAACAGCTTAAGATGCACGACAGCCGTGTTTGCGTGATGCTTGGATCTACCCGTATGCGAAGTTACATTGACAAGATCGTGCGTCTGCATTTTGCGAACATGTACTGAATAGTTGCAGTCCTCTTGTGATATCATTTAGTGGATGTACTGTTCTTCACCGTCGATCTTGATTCGAAGAGAAGCTGTTGTACTCCTATACTTACCCAACGAATCATGCGCTGATGATGGGAGGCATTTTCACAATTTGATAGTTGGTTGGTGATTCGAGCCACAATCCCAGCGACTGACACAAACTCAACCGCCAAATTCACCAGTGAACATGCGCACGCATCACGGGTAGGCCCAATGCAGACAAGTAATCTGCCATTATCCTCTTTATTTCCCCATTTATATCGACATTAATAGAGCAATACACTGGATTGGATGCTTGCTCGCGGGTTTCATCAAAGAGCACCTCTTAGGAAAGCATGCTTTCTCTGATTTTGTCTGTTCAATAAATATGGAAGCATCCAAATCGAACGCAGTGTCATTTGTCTTCGGAGCTCAACTATAACAAGCTAAAAAGGGCTTTTTTCTGTTCATGCCAAGCCTCGATTTCTGAATGTAGATTGCGTCATTCGGGGGAAAAAACAGAGAAAACGAGGGGAACCCTCGCCCTATGTTCGTAGTGGATGAACGCTTGTGCATGCCAATGGCTGTTTGGCATATTTATTGGAACAGATAAAATCAGAGGAAACATGTTTTCCTATGAGATACTCTTTAATAAGTCTGCAATCGAGACGTCCTTCGCGAAATAAAAACGGGAAAAAAGAGTCCCTTGGCTTGCTGGAGAGCTCTTTTGATCAAGCAAAGATTGCTTTGTTGAGATTGCCATGCAATTAAAAGGTTGTCACTCAAATTCACCGTTTAAACTTTAAAGTTAAGGAACGCCGTTGTAAGGTAGATGATGAATTTGCAATTACAAAATTCGAAATCAAGACGGTAGACACAAACTGGTCTGTGAAGTTGATACAAAATAGAATTATGTTTTGGAAGAGGGCTACTGTACCCAGTACTATATAACATGTATCGTGGTTTCAAGGGGAAATTTTTACTGTGGATGTGAACTGTAACAACCTAAACTTCGCGAATGAGACAAACTTTTATCTTGTACATGTCCTATACATCATCATTGTATAATATACTCGCGCAATCGCGGAGTACATCGTTTTGACATTTGGAACCATTTTAGCACTCCGGTGCCTCTCTGTTTTATAGCATTAGAGGTTACGGGTCATCAAAGTGCAAATAGTTTTCCAGCGGCTGAGTGGGTTATGCTTAGTTCTTTATTTTCGGTATGTGTGATAAGAAATGCATAGAGCGCACACAGTTACTGTTACGCAGTTTCCGGGGCAGCTTCACACAAAAAAGCGGCCAACGTTTCACATGTTCAGCCGAACTACATTTTCGTGAAGGTGGTACCTGTTTCCTTAACAACAAGTAACAAAGTGTAATGTGCATGATGAGCGGCAAATTTCCTTGCTATTCTGTGAAAAGGTAGGTCGCGCCATTTGGCCATTACTTCGCATTGACTAGCGTAGAAAATCTGGCTTTTGATCGAACTTGGCAGCGACTTCGACTTCTGCGAATGAATGGACTCTGGCTTTCTGAAGAAAACTGAAGCACAACGGGGTTGCGAGAGTGTTGGCATGTCCGGGATCGGTTCGATCTGATATGAAGTTCGGTTTGAGGAAGAGATCGTCGACATATAATAACTCTTCCAACTTCCAAGCAACATCGACACAGGAAAAGAATGAATGAACACACACACATATAGCAGCGACCCCTATTAGCAACACTGTCAAATAAAAGTTCCAGACGTCAGTGTTGAACGTGAATGTTAGAAACTTTTACGGCTGAGTTGTTTTGAATTCGCATTGACAGTGAGAGTTGAACACGTCAGTGTACTTTAGGCAATTGGCTGTTTCTCTATGGGCCCTTATCCGTAGTCCATTTTTTACCTTGTGAAAGAAAATTTCCCCATTTTTTAAAATAACTTAGTGGATCGCCAGCTACAGTGGGACGAAGAGGGACCAAATTTCTGTTTACATATTGAATTAAACATCTGTTGTGGTTATTAACTAGCCAGGCCTGTGGGTGTCAACCCTCTTAGCGCTGATTTTAGAGGGGTTACCCTACTGGACGAACTGTCAGGTATTCGTGTAGCATGTGAAGTGGCTGTGTCGTTGCCACGGACAACGATAACAACGTGGGAGGTTACACTGCTTTGCAGTCTGTTCTTTATCTCGCTGTCGCTGAGCGCATCTAGGAGTTATGCTTGTGGGCATGACGGACGCGGAGTGGGGCGCCCGTCGCGACCCAGACGTGGTGCTTGCTGCGCTTAAGTAATATTCAGGACGTCATATGGAGAGCAATTTATTTGATTTGTATTTTGGATCTGGTTCTGGGGAATTTATTTTTTTAACATTTTAAAAGTCATTTCATGTCTGCTGCTTTTGCTAGCCACCCGAGCCCAACATGATCAAAATTATTTTATTTCGTATAACAGACACGGCCTTAAGCAGGTTTGGTGCCAAAAATAGTCTGTCACTATCCCATTTAACAGATTACACTGAATATGATAGATTCAGGGAACAGGATAACATTTGGCTCCCCCGTGAATACAAGGCCTATTGCTGTTTTCTTCAAGTATACTTCCACGAAGGGGTCTTTAGTGCAATAATCAACTGGCCATTCTGATCCACGGTGTGGGGCCACTAAGTTGAGTGGTTCAGTGGGTGTAATTATAGCTTTAATCCCCGTTGATGAGCTTTGTCACTGCGCGAATGGGTACTAATTATCGGGCGAGTCTTTCCATCAAGTTTTTGATATCAAAGTTAAATTGCCCTGTCGTACCATCGTCCCCCGTGAAAAGTCGAATGTGGCGATGCTGTTCATTAAAAACCGGAATAACACGTGTTGCTAAAGAAATTCACACCGGTGGTGTCTCTGCAGTGAGGTCACAGCTTGTTCGTCAGCGACACCTAATCTCTTCCGCTTGAAGCAATCTCATTCGATGATGGAGTGAAAGAGATTACTGAGATGAATCAATTTGATTCTATGCCCAATCGTGGACTCTGAACAGTAAAGTCTTATTTACGTCCCCAACTGCGGGCTCCTTCTCTCCATTTGAGCAGGAGGTCCCAACTGGGAAACACAATCATGAGGGAGTTCTTCCAAAAAGGACAAGATTTGCGCAGATTAATGCAGTCGTTGATTGTTATTGTTTTGTTTCTTTTTTATTTATGTACCTTGCTTACGTGCCTGCGACGGTTTTTATTTTTCTGCACAATGCTCTCTCTGAAGTCTCAGTAGTTTACACTACCTATATAGGCTTAACGAAGGAAGGTCAACGGTTGTAGTTAGTCTTTTCAAGTTTCTAAACGTCTGTCGTTTCATTTATTATGTATAATCACGACCGGTATGCTGTTCCACTTGGCTCTTGTCCGATGGGGTAGCGATTATTGGCACAATGCTCAGCTGCGTTTGTGGTGCTTCGGGGATCGATACACAGTCAATCGATTCCGAAAAGTTACGCATGGTTCCTTGTAAATCCTCAAGTATTAATCGATCTCGTTTACTTAGTGTGAACGTGTCAACATCTGTCTGTCGATTCTTTGAAACCGCACGCGATTTGACCTTCTTGCCAAAGCTGGCCCTGGTTTGTCATTTGGACTTGCAGCAACTGTCCAGAAGTAGCCAATATCCAATCGGCCTCCTTTGGCAAAATGTTGTGGCGTCTGGTTATCAGTAATTTCGGAAACTTTTATTTAAGCTCTTTTCAGGGAATGACTGCAGTCGAGTAACACCATTGTTACAGTTGACTTGCGCGCACTGGAAATAATGAGTTGCAACTCAAACTTTTTCAGAATGATTTTGGAGATAAACCCATAGAAACGTTGCTTTGCATGAGAGTAATGTCTAACTTTTCTTACAAGCTAAAAAAGGAACGGTTCATGGGAAAAACTGTGACGACTTTGTGTCCATGCAGTGAGGGTGCATAACATTTGTACTTTCAAGGCCCGGGGCCAAAGCCATGCATAGGCCTATATACTAAGCCAAACAAAGAAGCGCGATAGCTTTTTAACGCAGTGTGACCTTTTACCATGTAAATTGCACCATTATAACCACCATTTCCCGCGCATGACAAGATATTGACAATGCCTCTTCAGAATTTTAGCGACGTACAAATATCCTACAGAACTATTCATCATGTCCTTGTTTGCCATGGTTGCTTTTCGTTGTTGACATAAACTTTATATTTTCACTGTGGCTGTGAAATACAGTTATAAATGTATTTAGAACTTTACAGAGATTGCAACAAAGTACAGAGCAAGTTTGTGTTGTATTAAATTTGGCGTAGTATTTGACTGTGCCAAAGGCACATGAAGAAATTTAGAACTTCGGTTTATTGAGCAAACATGCACAGTGAAATGGTTATGGGTTTTAGTCCCAGTACATTCACGTTTTCACTTCTCATGTGAATTTTCGTTCTTTTTTCCCCTTACAGAAATCCATCGAGTTGAAACCATACGTCAGGGACAGTGCGCAGGCATTTTGTGGTTATAAACCCCCCCCAAATAAGAGAGTTTTGCCCGATATGGCGGCCCTGAACGCCCAGAATTTGGAGAAGCTCAACCGGCAGGACGGCAGTGTGAAGTCGTCCCGTCGCCACTCCATCATCTCCCGCAAGAGTTCCCTCAGCCACTCCACCACTGGCGACGGGGCTAGTGGGCCGGTCAGCAACCGCTGGCGCCGTCTTTCCCGGGCCTTCTCCACCTCCATTGGCAATCCAAACTTCCGGGTGGCCACTGTGCGCTCCACCGACACCCCAGCCGCCGCCAGCAAGCCGCTGGTCCGCTTTGAGAACACCTTCAAGATGGCCCCGGACCCTGGCACCCGGTTTGTGCCGGGCGAGGTGGAGAAGATCGCCCGCCAGGTGCTGGAGGCCAACCTGACCGAGAAGACACGCTACGAGCCCCGCACCTGCGCCATCTTCACGCAGCGCATCGCCGAGGAGATCAAGATGAGGGTGAAGGAGCTGAAGATCCCCCGCTATAAGATCGCCTGCCAGGTCTTCATGGGGTCGGTTAGCGGTCAGTGTCAACGGATGGTCAGCCGTGCCGTCTGGAACACCGATACAGACAACTTCGCCACCTGGACTTATCAGAACAACTCTCTCTATGCTGTGGCGCTGGTGCATTGCACTTATTATGAGTGACACTCTGAACTAAGGCTTAGGAAACCCACCTTCCTTAAAGGTGCTGCTTCGCCCAGCATTTTTCTCGAGAAATGACAATGACTATAGGAGCCAAGTCGATCCCTGTTCACATCGTTAGAACGCAATCGCTAGTTAGTAATCGCTGGTGCCGGGATTTGTGGCTGGTGTAGAAAACGTGCTTAAAATACCAATGACTTTTGGCGCATCGTCCCACTTTTGCACTGATCGGCACTTTGAGTTGAACTCTTTACGAACTCTGCAAACATTATCGGACATCGCTAATTACGGTGCCAGCAGTGATGCGCACTTTGACGTAACGCACCTAAGGCTTACTTTTGACGCGCTTCCTTCTTCACTTTGTTAACAGGGGATGCGAGGAGAGATGCATATCGCTGGTTGATCTTTTTAAGTTACACGATAATGCGACAGCTATTAATAAGAATGTGATTTTGTGAAATGTGTTTTGTGCACAGACGTTTTAGTCAGCTGCAATGTCTCGTATTGCTGCAAGTGGCAATGCATGCAGGAAGTTCTTAAAATGCTGGAGTTCCGTTGCAAGTTTTGTTATGGTGACTAAACTCAAGACATGTAAAGTTGCTCCAAACTGCGCCGCTCGTTCGTAACCACCACTCATCACTTGGGCGGTAGTAAAAATTAAAAAACAAATTCACATTCAAAGATTTTCGGGAAGGGAAAACATTAAATTTGGAGTGGCTTATTTGCAGACCGTGCTCGTGCCAATACGGGTGATTCACAATAGTGCGCCTCCAAGAGTTTACAGTGCATTGACCAATCACAACGTGCGAAATCTGTCGACCCTTTCAAGACGCGCCTTGGGTCGACAGATTTTGCGCATCGTGAATCGCCCGTATTCGTTGAATGCCAAATCACAGATGAAACGGCACTCACACCACACGCCCAATAAAACCTTAAATAGATAGATTCCTAGCTGTGGCACACGTGCACCCGGCCATGGAGACGATTGAGCGCTGGCCAACGGTGCAACGGTGATAGTTTGCCGGAATAAACTGCCGTCCATGCATGTGTAACTGCATCTAACAAGTTCTGTCGTGATTCATTTTTCGAAATTCCATCCAAACTCTTTACAGCTGAGCACCATTAGTTACCCAAACAATGCCGTGGACGGAATAAATTGCCCAGATGGTGGTCACGTCGTGTTTTTCAACCATTCAAAGCAGTTTTAATAACCAAAAATGAAGCTTGAAGGAAAACTAGTTTGTTCCCTTTCATCAGTATGAATGTAAAGTCGTATCACTACTGCTAATGGGTCTACGGGGAACAAGACAAACGTGGCAGTATCATGATTAAGGTTTATTGGCGCACATCTTTAATTCGAAGTGAACTCTACGCACGTATTTGCACTAAAATTGTACTATTTGATCAGTAATAATATAAAGAATAATAAATAAAAATAAGTTCCATATTATAAACATTTGGAACGCTATGATTGTATTTCCCGTTGTTCCTTAATTGCTTATTGTTTATTGAAAGTCTCATAATTTTTCCCATTGCATAATTTTAAATCATACTACAGATGCGGAAAATAGGAACTTTCAAAAGAAGTTGTGTGATGTCAGCGTGAATCAATAAGAATGAACGAAGCAAATTACGCAGTTAAAGTCGATTTTACCGCCTTTTCACTGCACCGTTCAACATGCACATTCCACCGCCAGATATTCTTCAGTCGCTTCATAATAACTAAAAATAGATTGCTGTAACTTTGTGTGATTTCTGACGAGTATCTGTGAACTATGCAAAAGATGCAGTTTCTGCAGTTAAACCCACCAACGAAATTATGTACATTGAATTTCATTTTAATTTCAAGAATTTGTAATTATATTTACGGCATTAATTTTATTAATTGCCATGTCTGAGACATGCTATTGATTATCCCTGTCAACTTTTTTTTATGGGGCTACAAATAAGTTGTTAAATAAATAATGTTGTACGGTCCTTCCAACTTTTATGTCTTTTTAGTTAGTTTGTCGGTATGTTTTTATGAATGGTTCCCGTGCAATACCCACACCCCGAACAGACAACCATTAACAATGGTTCAAATTAATAAAGGTGCAACATTTTAGAAGTCGTTTCAAATGAAGTTGAAACGCAGAAGGGTACGTGGCCAGGGGAAGTCAAAGTCAAATCTTGACGGCAAAATAGAAGGGCAAGACACAGTAAGACTATTACGAAAAAGGACAGGGTCGATCGGACCATTCTTTATTGCCGGAACAGCGATCTGGAATGATTGTCTGCCAAGTGGACCGTGCCCTGTTAAATGGAGGGGCTTGAAATAATGCACATGAGTTCAAAATTCAGCCATTGTACTGGTTATGAGGGCGGTGTACAAAAAATGATGATTATTCTCACTCAGGTCTGCCATTTTGAATTGTGCCAGACCAACACTTACCAAACAAAACATTATTAATGTTGTAACGGTAGAAGTTGGAAGCGAAAAATAAACGAGGGCGCTGTGTATGATAAATGGTTGGTGGCATTGGATTGGCAGGAGAATAATGAATGGGTTTTATCTGCTAAAAACGGTTTTAGAATCATCGTCCATCGGTTTCTGTGTGCATGTGTTTTGTTATTTTTTTGTCCTTTCTGTTTGTTTTTAATTCTTTTGCAACTTCTTGTAATTAATTTCATTTATTTCCATCCCGTTTACCATCGTGCGGGCCCCGCATGAAACTAACCGATGATACACATCCATCATACATTAGGTCGAATGCATCCACGGAGGAAGGAAAACAGATGCATCTAAGCTTGAAAATGCCTAACAGGGGACAATGTACCCCAGTCAAAAAGTGTCAACTGGCCTACAATGTCTAGCAAAATGGCCAAGTGTTACATAGTTTTCAGAAAGTTGGAAAAAGTGAGTAATTTCAAAGAACTCTCAGCCTGATGAGGGCGTTCCTCTTACTTTTTACTTAGTCTGGTTCCGAGGTCGGAAACCAGCCAGTGCTAGTGATAAAAAGGGAAGTCACGCTCATTATGCACACACTGCATGGTCGAGTTCGTTGAAAGGTGATCATTGGCCGGCCGCCGACGTTACTGTTCGCAAGCCAACAATAAACATTGTGATCCATGACTTACAATGGAGTAAAATGTGACGAATTTTTGGAATAGTTGGTATACAAACGCGTGACTTAGGTGTACGTGTGAAGAGAAACTTTACAGCCGGTCTCTTTACTTGGAGTTGGTGTTCAAAAACATTTTCTGTCGATCGGAGAGGTTTGGTTTGGTTTCACTGACGACTTTGCCGAATCCAGAGTATCGATACGTGTACTCATGTTGGCACAGCGGGAGGTGTGGCGAACGAGAGTGAGTAACCGACCAGTTGCCTAAGTGGAGTTATTTGCTCTGTGGAATACGGTTTTTCCGATCGGAATTCTTGTGGGAAAGCAACAACTGCTGCAAGCTAAGCTGAAGGAAAGATCATTGGTGAGTTACATGAATGATTAGGCTTACTTGTTGTTGCTTTCTTTATTTGTGGGGATGATGTGTCAAAATAAGTCGACGTGGTCAATGGGGCAGCAGAATCGTAATACTCAGTCATAGCCTCGGCCCAGGGCATGGCAGTCATGTCAGGGCCCACAACTTTTACAAGGCTATACACTTATTGCAGGCATAGGTCTTCCATGATTTCATTTAGGTAGTAACATTGTTATTATAGTTCACTTGCATGACTAGTTTGTTGCAAAGTTGCTCTAAATATGTTTGCCTTTCTACCATTGTGCCAATCACCCATGCAGTATTTGCGATAAGGCTTTAGTTGGACACTTGGTGAAAGAATGAAATTCACTAAATTGTACTAGGCCTCCCAATTTTTTCTAGTCTGATCTTAGCCTATAAATATTTATTTTATCCTGTTTCATTTTTAACTAATTTATTTATTCTTGATGGTTTGACTTTATTCATTTTATTTCTGCTACTTTTTATGTATTATTTATTTGTTTATTTACTTATTTATTTACTGGAATGATTAAACTTTTTAAAAGTTTTATATGTGTTGTTTATGGTCAGTAATATTGGAAATGGAGGCCCTCGGGTCACAGTTATTAGGTTAGCTTTTTCATCTCCTGGCATTTGCTGCTGGCCTTGTGTACTGTCTGTATTGTGCTGTGTCCTTGTGAAGAATGCCGAATAAATAATAATAATAATAAAAATCAGTGCTCTGGAATATGTGATTGCCGAGCTTTCAGTAACTGAGTACCTTCTTCAGGGCAAGCAGATTCAGTTCAATATTACATGTTGGCCTTGATGTAAGTGCCCCCAACTGGAATACCGGTAGTTCTTTGGCTGAGATGTTAGGGTGCCCATCAAACCCATCAAACAGTTAGACTTGTATGAATTAAGCTGACAAAATTAAACTTTGTTGGTTGAGAGCTAAAGTGATTGACCCTATTAACATTTAGTATTTTAGAATACAGTCAAGAACAAAACTTTTTTTCAATTGTGAATTTTAAAAACAAATGCCAGTACTTGAGTGCTGATGACTGACAATATGTATGCATGGGGGAAAAGGCTGCATTAATTACCTTTTTAGCAAGTACAAAAATTCATTTTTAGAAGTTACATTTTAGGATAGACTTTTTAATGTGACTGTCTTCCAGTGATCAATATCTCCCTAATTCCCTCTTTTTAAAGTTTTCACTTGCAGAAACCTTTCAAAGTCAGTGATTTAGCACTTACAAAATGTACAGGACTTATCAAGATGTGAGATTTTGTGCAATGCTACAGTTATGAATGTGTCTAATTCCATTTTGCCAGTAATGGTCACGGGTTTGATGAGAAGTCCAAGCAGTGTATATAACTTCCCTCTAACTGCAGTGCTTCACGTCTGGCATTGTCAATGCTGCCAGTTTTACCAGAGAATGCATCCCCACAGGCCCCCAGCCTTCCCCCGCCCCCACCGCCCCCCCACCGGGAGGGGGATGTAGGCGGAAAGGGGGGAAGCCCCTCCCCTGGGAAGGGGAAACAGAACGGTTCCCCGACTACGGAGTCCAGTAAGCACCACTTCCACATTGAGTTGCCAGCGGTTGTCAAGGATCCCAAAACCGGAAAGTCCTACCAGAGGGGTCGTCTGCTTGGGAAGGTGAGTTGATGCAAAGCGAGATTTTTGAAGAGTGGCTCGAGGAAATCATACGCCCTCCAATTATCTCCCCTCTGCCATCCCAACCCACTGCCTCAGGTCTTATGTTGGAGTTTGGTGAATGTAGTCACGTTCTTCAAGCCCCAGTATGAGGATTTTTATCGCTCAAAAACAGGCTGCCTTGAGGTAAGGTATTTTGCTAGCACGCCGAAAGTGATAATATACATGTAGGGTAGCTTTGGGGAAATCAATGGCAAAATGTCTTAGCAAGGCAGATTGAAGTTTCATTCATGTACATGTGCTTTGTACATGTACAATAATTCACTTAAAATTTAACACTGCATTTTTTGGGGCATGAACATTGAATAATTTACCGGTATGTGATACTCTCATCCCGTAGAGAATAACTTGGTAGGCCTTATGGTAGGCGTGAGTCTTACATGATTCCTTTGCTTACACAAGACTTCCACTGATGAACTGGCCTCTCATGCAATTCCTTGGAGTAAATTTGTTTGAGGTTCATAGTGCAAGAAACAGGTGTAGGAGGCATGCACGCGGGAAAATACCCACCCGTTCGAACCTTTTGCACGTGTTACCCACACTGGTTGCAATTAAGAGATACTTTGTATGGTTCAAGTACACACATTTTTTGCTAGTGTGTGTGCTTTTTGCCATGTCGAGCATACATGTATATTTTGCAACACCTGCTGAGAAAATTTTTATTTTTTTTTATGCGCAATGAAGAGGTTCTTATAAGGTTGGTTCGTACATTGTTCATGTACATGTACATGTAGATCCCAGCAGAAATGATCTGTTATTGTTTTTTCACCAACTTGAAAGGAAAGAAAGAAGCCTCTTGACTGTGGCCTTTTTACCTTACAGAAATACTTATGGGCACTATACTAGCAGTACCCTGGAGGGCATTTGATAGTAAACAAGTATGTACATGTTCGGTACCCCTGTGAAGTAGGGAGTATAAATCTTACCACATTCCCAGGCACATAAATGTAATAATTGGCATCTTTCCATGATATAGTGTCTACTTCTATGGAAGTGTGAATTTTGTGCTACACGTACAGTGTATATGACTCATTCTACTTGTTTTGTCACCTTGTTATTTTGTATAGCATCTGCGTATGGTATTTACATGTATACTGCATAATCACTCGCCTCCTGGTAACATTTGCCAAGACTGGTGCTTATGGGATTAGGAAGTCAAATTCAAGTTTACACATTTCATCAATCAGTGCTCGGTGAATCACGGTTTCTGTGTACACGCATGTGACTGTATATCCCCAACACCCTCATGGCCGCTGAACAACTGAACACTGGACGACAAAAACGTGCGGTTTCCGGTTCCTTTGTGACGCAACAAACGCCCGCAGAACTCGGGTGTGATTCTCAATGGGAGAGTCCCAACTGCTCACTCTTTGTGTACCTGGAAAGCGATATCAGTGGCACACATGTGCCTGTCCCCGTCTGATAAAAGAAATTCTTGTAATGTTACAGAAGCCTTGAAATGAATACCTGTTCATTGTTAGTGTCGCTACGGAAACAGTGGAATATGGCATTCCTGTGAACAGTTTCTGAGAACAAGTTTTTCTGCACTGGGCTGTAATTTGTGCGTTTATGCCTGCGGGCTGCCCGAGATATTCTTGCAATGTTACAGAAGAGGTGAAATATGAATACGTGTTAATAACATTAGTGTCACTACGGAAACTGAGGAATGTGGCATTCCTGTGAACAGTTTCAGAGAACAAGTTTTTCTGCACTAGGCTGTAATTTGTGCCTTTATGCCTGCAGGCTGCCCAATTCAGTAGGCCTTCCGGTATTTGTTATTTATTGTATGGTCTGTGAAATCAACATCATGGATGAAGTGCATACAGTGTACGTGTACATGTATTTGGAGAGTGCGCGGGGTAGGAACATACATGTAGCAGAATACATGTAGCAGAGTAGACTGACCCTACATGTACAGTAGCTTTATGGAGTGTCGAGTTTGTTCCACAAACAATTCACAGAACTGTTAAATGCTGTTCTTCACTTCACGGCACAATTACTGTGCTTTGAAAGATCAGCACACACATGTACATGTAGGCCTACATGTGTACATGTTTTCTTTTTCTTGGTACTCATATCAGTGCTTAGTATTGCAGTCTGCATGTACATGTACATTGTACTTGTAAATGGTGACCAGTGTAACTTGATCAACAAAGAAAGGTGTTTGTGTATTGTGTTGGAGTGTTTTCATTGGTATGTGTACTGGTACCCAGGTACACCTACAAGTTTAAATTTGCTGTGCATAATGCACAACTCACAGGTGTATGCATAATTGACGAGTTTGGTCTCTGTTTCCTTGCTCTATGGTTTAATGAACTACCGTTCAGTACGATGTACTTGTACTGGTACATGAGTAGGCCTGGTAGGTGCATTGTGGAAACTGCATTACACATTGCATTAGGTTGGGCTATTAAAAGTTACAGTCCCCCTTTCCCCAACAGAGAAATGAACTTTACAAAAACATAAAAGCGCTTATGCACCTGCCTGTCGTGCTCTTGATCAAAACCATGCATAAGTTTACATGTACACTGTACATATACATTTATATGCACTGACTTGATCAGTACATATATAGGCCTTGGATTAGTCACAGCAGGCTATAAAATTGCTGCACAAATCCAGCCAGCCTTCAGGGTAGAGTACATGTAGTCTCGAGGGGTATCTTCACAGTAGTGATACATGTAATTGTACATTGCATTGCATTGCAGGCTTATAGTCCTGGCATTATGTGGTAAGGTTGCTAAAGCTGTACATCGTGTACATGTACCTGGTGCACCATACAGAGTGTATACATACGTGTAGTTGCGGCATGTCAGTATGCTCAACATTGAACTTTTCAACTTTTTAGAACATGTTTTTGCAATAAAGGACTGCAGGCAGCAGTTGAGCACTCCATGTGGAACTTTGGAAAAAAATGGAAGTGAGCAAAGCTGCTTGAACAGGGGACAGTCAACAAAGAAGTTGAACACCGCTACACTATGAAAAGATCCACACTTTCAATGTTTCAGCTTTCATTTAATGGGTAGTGGTAGTTTTTTTAATTTGAATGTCACAGAATTATCTATTCAAGGTACATGTACATACATTTACATGCCTGGTGCGGTATATTGCAATGTAATGGGTCCAATATTGAATCAAATTTATGTGGTAAGCAAAAAGAAGCAGGGAATTGTAAAGCAAACACGTTTACGTTTGTTTTCCTTTGCTTACAAGATGTAGAACTGGGTTCCTTAATTTAACAAGCTGCCGTAGACAGTTTAACTTGAACCAGAAAATTGTCCCTTCAGAGTTAAATCGGCTGACTCAGTTGACGGTATTAAATTGATTAAAGTAAATTTTGGAACATACGGTACATGTACATGTATGTACAGGTACATACAGTAGCAGCATGCTTACAAGTCATCAATTTGAGATTTAACATGTACATGTATGTACAGAGTTTTTTTTACACACTTTTGAAAGGATTTATTGAAGATGACAACAATTACATATGTATAGGAAAAAGTTTAAGAATATGTTCGATTTATGAATTGCAAAACTCATTTAATGTGCCCATGACGTAATACTTTCGTTGAATAGTTGTTCAACAAATATTTGTTCAGTTTGAATCCTGCATGACATTCATGTACATTGACAGTGTAGTCAATAGGGTTAGGATTCCAAGACCGTCATTGGTGCATGAAATGAGTCAACGTTGGACAGTCTCCAATATTCCGCCCAAGATGGCGGCATTTTCTTACGCTGATTACAACCCGCAGTTTGTGACTGAGGCAACCCCTTGCTCGCCCTTGCATCGCTGCTGTGGGATTCTCTGCCTCTGCCGCTCCACCGGCAACCTTGATCCCGGGAGCCCCGCCGGAAGTAACAAGGAAAATAGGAAATGAATAAGCAATCATTGTCTTCCTGTATCCATCAGAGGCAAGTCCCCCCTTCCCCTCCCAGGTTGTGACCAGAGCCACCATGTGTCACCAGGAACAATTGATGCAGTCAATCATCCCAGTTATTGGCAAATGAGAAGAATAATTACATGTACCCGGTATGTTGGTGGGTCATTGCTGGCATGCACCATTTTCAAGAGGGATTGTTTTTCCTTATCACCCCTTCTTCTTTAATGTTGGCGCTCATAGTGTGCTAGGGGACCATTTATCATTCAAGTGTTCTTGATGGTGGATCCAGGGTCCAGACTACAGTCCAGTTCAGTCATTTGGAGGAGAGTAAGAGGGGGGCGGTTGTCAATTACATATGGTCGACCTTTTGCGTCTCTCCACATTCACATTGTGTGGGAGGATGCCAAACCCCATCGGTGCTCACAGGATACAAATAGGCCAACTCCCATCATTAGGCACTGTGGTGTGAATGTGCCGGAAATTGGGAGGTGGTATTGGGAGATGGGGAATTGTGGATGGGGGGGGGATGACTTGCCCGGCCATGGAAATTTGAAAGGGGAGGGAGGGGAGATGCTGACACTGTGTGACAGTATACAGGGGCGGTGTTCACGATACACAGCTGTGATTTTCATTACTTTCCTGAAGGATCTTACTCATGCTGGTGTATCAGAATGGCATTAAATACATCTCGGTTGTTGGGAAGTCAAAACGTTCTTCACAATCCTTCATTTTGTTTTTATTTCTCATTAAAAAAGTAGGGGGAGGGGACGATTCAATAAACTATCCTTCCCCTGTCAAAAAAGGGGAGGGGGATATACCCCATCCCCTTGGGATTTATGCCCATGATCCTGCAGTTTGTGTAAACTGCCTCTGTAAACACGTACCCTTGACAATTCTGCTTTAGAAAATGCTGCAGTTATACTGTTATACTGTCAAGCCAGAAGGGGGGGTGGGGGCAGAGGGACCCACCTGCCCATCACATACCAGAGGGTGGGTGTTCATTCGCTTTCGTGAAGTTAAGAAAACTCAGAGAAAAGAAAAAGGTTTTGTTTCTCGGTCTTCATCAAACACTCTTTAAGCTGACTTTTTTCGTTGATGATCCTGTTCATTTTGTGACGGATAGATGTTACATTGTAACCCAAACCCAAAATGCCTCAAAAAAGGTTTTTCAGAGATGGCAAAATCATTCATGTACTGGTACCTCGGCACCATACCTGTACATGCACATGTACCGGTTCATCTGTAGTTGACCCAGCTGCAAGTCCTCACAATGTCTTTGCAGCCTCCAGTTTGTGGACATCCTTTGCTCTCAAGTTCCCTAGAGGAGTACATCCATGCCCATTTCCGCACTGTACAGGAAGTCAGGTTTTACATACATGTGCATGTACTAGTATTGCACAACTTATGTATGTACTTTACATTTATCAGAGAGAAGGAATTGTGTTTCCTAATGTCGCCGAAATGTAGCAAATTCCCATTGGCGAAGCACAGGGTCTTACCATGAAAGAGGCTGATATACTTTGTCCTTGCCCAGGGCAAGACGAATGTTTTGTTCCCCTTGTGTGTCTGTCTTCTGTGGTAAAGTACAACATGTCTACACGGCTGTACTGTCACCTGCATACATGTACAGTACACCTGTAGCCACGCGGCATAGCAGCAATCAATGTGGTTCCCGTGACTCATTCCTTGAGAGTACGGCACCAGGCCACTTACTCACCGCCCAACCTGTCCACGTGCCAATATGTAATTTACCGGTCGCACGGTCTTAGTGTGTGAGAAAGCTCGCACAGTCTTGGCAAGTTGAAAAAGAGCAAGGCTTAGCTGTATGTGTTAATTTAGGTGGCACGGGCATTATGTGAGATTTTTGAGGATATCATGTGCATGCATGTGCGCCAGGGCGCTGCGTAATTGTTGTTAATGATATGGCCCTTGCCCTGCGCTGGTTGTTGACAGAGCTTGTCGTGGAGAGAAATTGTATGGTCCGTGCAATTGTCACTGCGAGGGCACTAGTCGCATCCATTCTCCTGAGCCAGTATTAAATGCATGTTTAAGACTGGCCAAGCTCTTAGGCCTATTTATTCCGTTATTAAACCCTACAGCCGTAGTGAATACATGTGCATGTCGATAAAACATTGAGCTCTAACTTCTTAGTACCAGTTCATGTGCATGAAATAGCTATACAGCTAACAAGCTTAGAAGAATGTAAAACTCTGGCTTCTTTCGTCAAAGAATTGAAGCAAACTATTATCACTTCTTATGCAGAGATTGAAATTTAATTTATTTATTATTATTTGGATCTCACATCAGCATCCATCAGCGGTGGGTGAAAAACACATTTTAGAAGATTTGAGCTGAAAATTTAAATAATTGTCCTAGTGTTTTCCTTTGGTTAAGAGGCACCGATATTTGCAGGAAGTAAGTTTTGATCTTAGGTCTTTTCATAAACCAGCTTGAATTTGTTTGAAATAATGTGTTGTGCTCGTGAATGTTGTAAGCTTGCTTTTGCCGTGTTGTAAATAGGAAAACCAATTTCATAGAGATGCTAAAATGATTGTGCTACATGTATTTGCTTAGCCAAAAGCAGGCTGTCCGCTTAACATAAATGTTCATGTGCACTGTACAGTATCAGTGAATTCTGTAACGAGGCAAAATATGCCGTATGCATATGCCGTGCTTGTCCTCACCGCGCGGAAGAACTACCCTACCCTAGTACTTGTAGACCTGTGCGCCCCTGGCTGAGACAATTTGATTTTCCAGAGTGCACAGAGAAGAAAAAAGCCTCCTGCCCTGTACTTGTAATCCAGTGCTTGAGCAGTCACTGTCAATGCCTAGTCTGTGGGCATACATGTAGAGACATTAACCTTGTCTGTCTGCAGGGGTATCTTACCAGAAACATTATCCGGATGATTGATGAAATTATTACTGGCCGGCACAGTACATTGCGTACATATGTGTATACATTACTTTACCTTGTACCATGAATACATGATACATATGCCGGTAAAATGCACTACGGTAGTTGCACCTCTTAATTGGAAGATCGGTAAATGTTAAGAAAACAGAACTTTGTAGGGCTCTGTATCCAGAACTTTATAATAACTAGTAGGCCTACTGTGCTTTTATGAGGAATTCATTTTGCAGCTAGGGGTTACTAGTTTTTTTTCTGCAAGAAAATTTCAGCTTCCCCATTTAATGCTATTATCATTGGTTGTTCTTCGTTCATACAGTACATGTAATTCTACCCATTTTTAACCCTAAACCCCTAGGGTGTACATGTATGTAAAATCATATTGAAATTAGATGGTTTGGGAGGGTTAAAATTGTTTTCTAAATCTTGTGCTCAATTTTTATCAAGATTTCCGTTACGTTGTTGTCCTTTTCCCCTCGTAATGCACCGTTGTTTTTCCTTGAGCACTTCCATGTATCTTATCAGCTGCATTCTACCTCTAACTGCACCTCACATCATATCATGTACCCAGGATATTCAACTTGTAACATTTTGGTCCAATTCACCCGTCTTTGTCTCGCATTTTACTCAGATCCCCTAACTTTTTCCCCCCCTCTTTTCTTCCTCGCTGCTGTAGGGTGGTTTTGCCAGGTGCTATGAGCTCATCGACTTGGAAACCCGACAAATTTATGCGGGCAAGATTGTGCCCAAGGCTCGCATCGCCAAGCCGATTCAAATGGAGAAGGTATGTGTCATCAGACCTGTCAGGAAGAAAAGACGGAAACACTTTTTTTGGAGGGCTGTATATTTCTGTGCGGATAATGTCAAAGGATGCGCATGAACATGAGATAAAGGCAGATGTACATGTAGGCCTACATGTTCCAGATATTGAGAAGCACTGCACAAAATCCATTTCTAAAGACATGTCATCAGTGGGTATTTTGGCGGGAGATTGAGAAAACCAAACTAACATTTTTATTCTGAGAAATTGATTCATGAGAAAATGTACCATCGTTGGTAAATCTTGGCACGAGCTTGTCATCAGTACCCAGTCTCGTCCTTGAAAAGCCGATGCTTTCACAAGATCCCGAGCAATTATTTGGCTGGCCGAGTTCTGCCGTCTCTCCTGAAAGCGGGAGGGGAGTGGGAAAAAAAAAAACCCAGTGGAGAAGACAAAGAAAAGCGTGAGTGCAATATTCAACATCCATCCGTCTGGAGAGCTCTTGACAAAATAACGGCTGGCAGAAACCGAAGGCCATTCAGCCCTGAGGCAATCTGCCGGCTTGTTCATTAAAAAATGTCAACTGGATGAGGGGGGGGGGAGATGGGTTACAAAACCGGTGGGGGAGGTTAGAGGGGAGGTCTGTGGTGGTAAACGAGACATGGCGGACACTTCGTGAGGATACGTTATCGGCCCCCAGCAAGACGGGCGACCAAAATTGTAAATGTCAGTCCGAGACTTAGTCACTCGCCCCGATGTGTTACACGCATCTCAAGTCTATGTACAAAGCCCGGAGCAAAAGTGTAGCCGTGAATTTTGAATAAGCCACAAAAGCACAGTTCATGGGAGTCGTGCCGGCATGTACATGTACACGAACATGAACTTGATTTGAAGTAATGAGAAAAATTATTCACTTTCCATGTGTGCAGTTGTTGTGTGTCTATATTTTTCATGACATCATAAATGAATCCATGTACATGTACCTGTGTGTAAGGATATACATCATATGGAGGTGTGCATTTGCATCAGTGCATTACAGGTGCACTTACATACATGTACATTTCTGCATACTTTTGTACATTACACATGTATGGAATGAGATCTTGGAATTTATTGGCATTAATTAACAGTCATTGAAATTACCTTTCATGCTTATATTTTTTCGCAAATGTGCAAATACATGTATGTACATGTACTTGCACACACAGTTGCATTTTGCTATGTGCACTACATACATGTACATGTACCGGTAGTCCTATCGTTGCATTTTGCTATGTACATGTACACTGCCTGCATGTACATGTAGGTGAGGAAACCTGGTTTGGATTGTTCCTACAATACTCCTTAACATTCACTCATAGAGTAAGCACAGGCATGTATTACTACTGAGGACATTGGACCAACCACTGAGGACAGGGTCCTATCTTTACAACACATGTACATGTAAGCCCTGTCGTTACCCTATATTTCATGTAGGATTACATCTACATGTACTTTTGAACCACCAACTTAAATAAGATATTATTCCACATGCCCCAGAGGAGGGAGGTTGCAAAGGTGTCAGTTTGTTACCATGGCGACACACAGCTGTACCCGATCCTAAAAAAAGGCCTAATTAAAAAGAAGTACATGTATGATGGAGAGACACTTCAAATAAAGAAACAGCACTTAGAGTTTAGGTCCAAACTTGTACCAGTACAACTGGGATTACCATATGATAGAACAGGACACCTTGCAAAAATCACTTCCAATATTGTCAGCATGTTACCCAAGGAATTATTCCACAGCAAGCCTTTCACTTCATCCACTGTAAATGTATGGTACATGTACGGTAGGAGTCATGGCATTTGCCGCTACTCAGCTAAATTTAGCCAGTGCACCCCAAACTGGGCCAAGATGTGCCGCGGAAGCGAGGGCATGCATAAAATTGAATTACAAATTGCGAGATGTGTCCCGTGCTCGGTAATGGATGAATTTGTGGCACTTTGAGGACATGAAACATGCGTTCATTTTAATGCATGCACTTAATGGAGCAAGGGACCGCCCTGTCATTCTCGTGCTTAGTTCTTTGTTGGATTGCCCCCTCTTGTAAACCATGGAGGAATAAAAATATAGCGAACCATTTGGTTTCAATTTTGTTTTTCCCCATCCAGTGAATCATATATGCATGACAGTGCTGTCAGAGTCAATTTTTCAGCAGTTGGGCTCAAATTTCAAGTGGAATTTTACTAGACTGCAGGACTATTTTGCTCGAGTGCTAGTAGACCAGATGTCGATTTTTCATGACAGGTTTAGCCCTTTATCTTTTTTTTTATCAGTTAACACGTGCACCTACCTAATTGTAGACCCCCTACGCTGAAACTGTATAAAAGAGTGCAAAATATAAGTTTCCTATCCATCTGTATAGCTTTCAGATACCATGTAATGAGAAGTACATGTACTTTTTTTTTGCTCTACTGCTCGTGAACATTGCCTAGACATCAGAACAGATGAGCATTTATCATTGAAGATGGGAAGATGCAGTATTCTGTGTTCTGAAAAGACTAACTACATGTACATGTACATGTAGTACACGTACAGTGTAGTGCACAAACCGTCAGAATACCAGTCCAGTTGAGTTCACAGAAAATGCAACACAAACACTGAAATTATTTGACTCAGTCAAGGATCTGTGGATGTCTCAAGCCCCCGCTGGAACAAAGACTGTTGGCCAAGGGAAACTCAATCCTGTAGTCACAGGAATAGCTGGAATAACTATGGCTGTACTGACTGAGCTGTCCAGCCTTGGGTGGACAGTTGTCCCACTGCTCCCCGAAATTCCCCACTGCCCACAAGAAGCCACGAGACCCCAAATGGTGTCAAATGCAATGTACAACTTTAGATGTGCCGATGTGAGTCCATGTGCTCAAACATCTCCATTTCAGATTTCATCGATCCTTTCCCTCCGTCTCTGTCTCCACAGATGCAGCGAGAGATCCACGTTCACTCCCTCCTCAAACATCCCAACGTGGTGGGCTTCCACAGTCATTTTGATGACGAGGACAACATCTACATCATCTTGGAACTATGCAGCCGAAAGGTTTGGTTATTAAACATTAAGTCTGTAATGTTTGTTTTCCCTCTTTCTGAATTTACATTTGTACAGAGAGCCCTTTTTTAATAATTACACAAATTCACAATATGCCAGCCCTAAGTGAAGTCCACCAGGAAGTTTGGGGAAGATTTTGCAGGCCTGAAAAAAGTGGAGTCCCTGAAGTAATTCTCTTCATATATGTGACCTGTTACAACAAAATGAGAGTAAAAATACATCTTGCTCTTTCCTATTTTGAGAGTTCAAAGTCATATTGAAGCGAAGGTCAGTTTTGAGGTTTTGTAATATTTGAAAAAAGTAACCTGTTTCCTATTTAATTCCAACTACTTCACAGGATCATATATTGAAAAAGGTCATTTTCGCACCAATTTTGACAATGGCATTATTCGTGCCTGGTATGAAATAATGAAAATAGGCCGGAAACCTTGACGCAAAGCTGCCAGAATAATGTCACATTGTCACCTTATACTTTTATCCTAAGTGCTTCATGTACGTGCCACTGGAACGCTCTTCTGCTGAATTCAAAAATACCAACATCTCAATTTTGGAAAATTCCAACTTGAGCTCATTTTGTGGTGACCAGTCACATATTTGTACTGTATACTATTAGTATAGACAGTGTGCCGTGGGCTTCATTGGATTTTAGAAGATCATCGAATGTCACTGCCAAAAATTGCTGGGAAGTTGGGGTTACAAAGGTCAGTGTACATGTTTTGGCAAGTTCACAGACATGTAGACGTGTGCTGAAGAAATAGTTTGTAATCACATGTCCACTTACCTCACCAGTCTTATGTCAAAGCTTTTTACAGACTGGGCGTACGACTGTTCACCAGCCAAGAAAAGTTGATATTTGTTTGTTTCTTGTCCCCTGTAGTCTTTGGTCCAGATGCTGAAGTTGCGGAAGACCTTCACGGAGCCGGAGGTGCGCTACTTCATGAAGCAGATCATCGAGGGAGTGCGTTACCTGCACAGCCACTGCGTGCTGCACCGGGACCTCAAGCTGGGTAACATGTTCCTGACAGACGACATGGGGGTCAAGATCGGCGATTTTGGGCTGGCCGCTAAGCTGGAGTTTCAGGGGGATCGCAAAAGGTGAGCGTAGGGGTGGGTCAATAGGGTACTTGTAGTATGTTTATGTGACCTGTCGTGTCCTTAGGCAAGATACTTTGTCATTAATTATTTCTACCCAGCACAGAGCCAGCCAATTAAAAGGTTGATTCCAATTCATGCACCATTAAGCCATGTACAATCATGTACCATCTTCCTTTTTTCTTTTTCCCAGAACTATGTGCGGGACTCCCAACTACATTGCCCCTGAAGTCCTGGGCAAGATCGGGCACAGCTTTGAGGCAGATGTTTGGGCACTGGGTTGCATACTGTGAGTTGACTCACTGTTCTAAGCTTCCTGAAATCATGAGATTATCAAGACAGCATATCCAGATGCTAGCATAAACACTTCTGTGTTGAGCGAGAGCTTACATGTACATATATCTAAATGAAGCCTGTAAAGTTATAGCCTATTTGTGTCAATAATAAATATTTCACTGTTTTCCTTTTGTTCACTGAAATATTAATTCTAAACCTTTGAGGTCAACACATTCAGGTGTTTGTCAAATACAGATCTGCATTATTTGAACTCTATACAGAATCAGTAGATGGTACATGTACTTAGAGATCACATGTGTGAGCACTTGTTACAATATGGGTGCCAGACACGGGTGACTGGAGATTTATTACGAAGAGCTTAAGCATTGAGGGGGCACATCAGATTCCCACTTCTTTTCCTGACTGTAGAAGTCTTCCTCACAAGGCAGTGCCTGTCGGGGCACACTGGTTTGTGTGGGTACAGTCTGCAGTACAAATGGCCAACTTAAAATTTTCATCTTGATGTGTACACACCTATGGCCTTTTTCGACAGGTGCGAAAAATACAACAGCAATGGATGCCAAGTATCTCTTATGTTTCTCGATCGCTGTTGGGACATGTATTTACTTGTGCACAGAGTTGCATAAATTGCAGGGTTTTTTGTGTGCCATCTCGCTGTAGATACACCATGCTCGTAGGCAAGCCACCATTTGAGACCACATCCCTCAAGGAGACGTACTCCCGGATCAAGCACAACAAGTACATTATCCCCGACCACCTCTCCCCGGGGGCCAAGTCCATCATCACGGCCCTCCTCTCCTCCGACCCAGATGAGCGGCCCCCGCTGGAGGCCATCCTGGACCATCCCTTCTTCACCGAGGGCTACGTCCCGGATTCCCTGCCCCCCAGCTCCTGCACCACGGCCCCGACGTTCCCTGTCACCAAGGTGCTGATCAGCGACAGCACGGGGGGGATTGTGACCAACGACTTCTGCCGGTTGAAGCGGGAGAGCACGCTGCAGCGTCGGGATGTGACGGCCCCCTTGGCCCAGCTCAAGATGTATTCGGACGGGAACGTCCCCAACACAAAACCAAAGTCTTCCTCAAGCGGAGTAAGTCCAATCGTTGTCCTCCTCATGGGCAGGCGACCCGTTGGTCAGGGTTTGTCACTCCCAGTCACAGGGTCATGGGTGCAAATCCAGCAAATGGTTGCTCATCGTAACCTTCAGCAATTCTGTTTGCACCGACTTGCTTTTTTTCCACCAGGGAGTATGAATGGATACCTGTTAGGGTTAGGGGCTAAATGGGTGTTGATACATTTTGTCAAACTTGGGCTCATTGCCTGTTGAACGGGGGTAATAATAAGTGCCGTTGCACTGTTAACCACAGCACACTGGCCATTTGTGCTTCATAAAAGTTGTTTTTGTCATTATTCAAAATAATTCAAAACAATTAGACAACACATTAGTTTTACTTATACCACAATTTCCTTTGAAGGGCAATCAATTTGCATGCAAATCAATTCATTCCAGCACCAATCCTGCTTGAAAAATAGCCTCAAACAGTCACTAGTTAGCATTTTCAAAAATACTCATTAATCAGTATTTTCTGTTCCAGTCTGGAAGTTCTGCAGTGAAAAATTCAGGCCAAGATTCTTTCTCACAGAAGTTGCTTTTGATGCAGCAGCAAATAATACAATTTGAAACTGGGTTGGCCAAAAAAATTATTGTTCCGTTTAAAAGTTTATAGTATTTTAATTTTTGTTGTAAAAACCAGACTCCCATGTCCTGAGCTGAAAGTGTTTTTCAGAAATCCACTGTTTGCCCTCCTGTTTGGGCGCATTGTACTTCCAATGTTTTTGTCACTCTGACCCATACAGTGTGATATGCAAAGTGAAACCGGCGATTGAAACACATTTTCGGGAAAGACCCTTTAATTTCTGGTGTTACGAAAGCTCTGTTTTAAGCCGAGGTGCAGATAGCAAAAGTGCGCGTTTGAGGTCATCAAACTTTGGAAAACATTTTCATGTCCATTGCTGTCTGTGTGAGTAACCTTTCAGTGAATACAGGTTCGCGAGAAAAAAGTCACAAATAACGTTGATAAGGTCAGCTTCCTGTTTGCTCTGTGGAAGTTCCCTGATGATCTTGAACGAAGAGGGGCAGCTTTTAATTCGTCAAGTGACTCACTGTTACGTGCTTTAGCAAACATGGATCCAATATTGATGGGTTTTTTGGCACTTTGTTTAGGCTGGTGCCAAGCAAGCAAGCACACCAAAGCTACGGACGAAGCACAACCATGGGTCCAGGCCCAAGATGCCCGTCACGACGGCACTAAAAAATGTCATGTCAACAGTGTCAGAGAAGAAAGGTGGGGCAACGTTCACTAACCCTTACCGGGATTCAACCATGAAAGACAGCTTTGTGGCTCTGCTACAAGATATTTCAAAACTCAAGATGCAAAGATTTATTCCTGCTAGGATTTATTCAGGATTTTATTCAAACTATTAATAAATGTTTCACTTTCTTGCAATGAAAAGAATCATACCATTCGGTTTCTGAAAATGAAATTATTTCTTAGTGTTGCACTCATAAACTATCCTTTTCCTATGTATGCCATGCACATTCCTAGTTCTTGCACTGGTAACATCTTCCGTGTGGTCTTGATTCTGTGATTTGAAGAATAAACGTGTCGCGTTCCTTTGTCCCCGACAGCTGTCGTGAGCAGACCATGCACTCCCGTTGCCATAGAGACCGTCGCGGAGATGCTGCAGACATGCTTAGAACACTTGCCAAAGGGTAAAGTTGGATCCCGGTAAAAACCACGCGGCTGTGGCTAATAGTAATGCATGGGTCTATTGGAAATGGGAGCAGCCGCTAACTAGCAGTTTTCCCATAGGGGCATGCATTACTCCCAGCCTAGCCAAATGATTTTTGACATGGCCAGTAGCTTCCTACTGAGGCTAGGGATGTTTGCCGCAAAGAGACCAGGCAGACAATTCCTCAGAATTTCATATTAGAAATGTCACTTCTTGAATTTACTCTGTGAGCAAAAATTCAGCTTTGGCCATCACAACACGATACAAATTGACAATTTAGCCTATTCTCGCTTGGCCAATATTTTCTGTGTTAAACAAACTTTTTTCAATATGGAGTTGTGGTCACATGCAACAGATTGTATGCTGTGTATTAAATTTACACAGAAGCAGCCGGAAAACAAAAATAAAAACGAAAACAAGGGAAAAATGCAACCAGTAACTGACCCGAAAAATCCAGATAGTTCTGGCAGCTTTAAGTGTCAAAGCAGCTGCCTTAAGGAAGTGACAGCCCTGAGATGACATCACCTCTTTGGTCATGAATATGGAAATCAGCTTCAGCATAACACTAAAACAAGGTCCAGGAACACCTACAGACGTGGCGAAACGAAGACCCAAAACGAATGCACATGGCATTCAGTGATGCAATGCATGAGTGTCACATGCGGGAATAATCTGTTTCGGGGACCTTGCTACTTCATTTAAATGACATTCAGCTGTGTCATTGCTAAAAGGCCCTTACTGAAAAATGGCATTAAAAAGTCCTTATTGAAAAATACAATTTTTTACATGAAATCAGTCAAGAAAATTTGTTGAAATTTAAGTATATTGACCCCAGAAAAGAAATTGTTAAGAATTAAAAGTAAAACAAATGTGATCTGTTTCATGCTCAGAGTAAGGCCTTAAGAGTATTTTCAAAAATTATATTTTTGCTGTAATGGCCTTTACCACTGACCTGACATCGAACGCCTGAGACAATTTGAAAACCGCCTGAAGATCCATCAAGTGTTTTTTTCTCTGCATGATCAGGTGAGAATCAGGGTACCAGCAAGTACAGGCCCCAACCGGGGGAGGTGCTGTGGGTCACCAAGTGGGTGGATTACTCCAACAAGTACGGCTTTGGCTATCAGCTCTCTGACCGGACCGTCGGGGTCATGTTCAATGACAAGTCCCGCATTTCCTTCTCTCCAGATCGGAGGTGAGATGTTGTCTCTCGGCCAACCTTGGGAAACGGAAGACATTAATCACAACTCAACGCTTAAGGAGCTAGTTATGGTTTTCAGGTTTTTTTTTTTAATTAATACCCTGTCTGAGTTCTTTGGAGGTTAATTCCGATTTAGTCTGTTGGTTTTTAGTTAAATTTATTCGTCATCATTCATCACCATTCTCTCAGGCCAGGCCATCTGGCGTGAAGGTCACACCTTTTACCAGGTTCATCCCTCTAAGACAGACTTTCTCTTTGTTGCTTGCTTGATGCCAGGAAGACCCAAAGCATTGAAGTCATTTATCATTTGTTAAAACTGAGCATGATGTGTTATCCATGCTTGATTGGTTTTTGGGGGGCAAAGTTTTCCCCAAATCAGGTCAAGCTTTTTGCTGATGGGGTCATTTGTGTTTATGCTCAAGTATCGTGACTCTGAAGAGGTATATTTTCTCCTCATTTTGTGTCACAGTTCAGTGCAATACTTATCCACAGACGACAAGGCTCATTCATTCAGCCTCTCGTCCGTTCCCTCGCGGCTGTCAAAGAAGGTCACCCTCCTGGACTACTTCTCAACCTACATGGACGAACACCTCATTAAGGTACACAGATAGTCGTTTTGAACATCGAGAAGTACCGTATTGTCAGTGCTGTAGTTGTCGGCAGCAATTTCTTTCCTCGTTATTATCAAGGTTGGATAGCATCTGTGTAGAATTCATTTCAACCTGTGAACAAAAAATACCACTTCACTTGTTTCTTCACTGTCAACAGAACCTGCTCCTCACTTATTTCATTTCAAACGTCTTGATATTGTCTTTTAAGTGATAATTGATTATGGTTTGCGGAGAGGGATCACTCTTCTTGGGGACTTTTTTGTAAATCTGTTAGAATTGAAGACATTTTCTCAATATTTCCGTTTGAAGGGGCCATCGTCAGATCTTGCGAGCCCAACATCACCCATTGGAGATTTGAAGGTTAGCATAACAACTCAAGAAAAAAAGACACTTTGTTAACGTATTTGTTTTGAATAACTGCTAACGTTTGGCACAATGTTGATGCCGCATAACCTGGCGCTCATAAATTCAAACCTCTCATAGTCATTTGCTGATAATGCTTGTGTAGATGTCATTTTTTAGTCACCGCTTACCGCTTTTTACACCCTGCACATGTGCACAGTTTCTACTCAAAATCTGTAATAAAAAAAATTATTTTTCGAAAATGTTTTTTCAGGCGAGCGAAGCCAGCGAGTGCGCCATACGTTCCCCGTCGCCCAAGAGGAAGGGAACAGACCAGTCACAGGCTGGGGGCACCCTCCAGCCGTGCCCGTACCTTGTGCAATGGAACCGCACCCCAAAGGCGATAGCGATGTATCTCAGTAACGGAACATTCCAGGTGAGACAGCAGATGGGAAAAAAGAGCTGTTTTGTAACTCTTAACAGGTATCTCTAGCACATCCATTAGTCCCAGTACAGCGTCAGACCCTCCTGCCCGTTACTTCTTTAGGCTAGTCCAAGGAGGCAATATTCCTCGTGTTAGGGTTTGTAGCTTCTGCTCATAAGGTCAGGGGTACAAATCCCCGGAAGTGGTTACATGTTGTGACCCATGGGCAAGTCACTTTACCACCGCTCATGCCTCTCTCTACCCAGGAGTAAATGGGTCCAGGCAGGGCAGATGTAGTTTTATTTTTCCGTGCGCACCTGAAATGGTAACATCTGGCAAACGTGCTCCCCAGGGAGTTGGTCTGATCTCTGGAATGTTAAGATGTTGTGAGCCCAATGAGCAGGGATAATGATAATCATGGCAGACACCGATGGACGCTGTGCGCCTTACAAATGTGACCTTTCACAACAAAATGAGCGTAAAGTCGCGTTCTGATTTTTCCTATTTCGACGGTTCAAAGTGAAATATTGAGGGGGAGGTCAATTTTGGATTTTTGTAATGTTTGGAAAGAGTAACCTCTCTCCTATTTAATTCCAAATATTGCAGGATCATATATTTAAAAGAGTCATTTTCTCAGCAATTCTGAAGTCAGTATTATTCATGCCTAAGCAGAAATTTTGAAGCAGTGTCGGAAACAAGACACAAAGTTGTTAGAGCAATGTCACATTGTTACCATATACTTTTACCCTACGTGTTCCATGTTCATATCTCTGGAAAGCTCTTCTGCTGAATTCAACTTTTGAAAATTCTGACTTTCTGCCCATTTTGCGGTGACAGGTCACAAATGCTCTGATATTGTCACTGTTATTACAGCAGGGACATAGATTTGCAGCACAAACATTTCCTTTGAGGTCACACATTCATATAACCTTTTGCAACAAGAAAGGAAACAGCCTTAAATGTTATTCAAGAGATAAAGAGTTCTCTCCCACAATTGTTGATCATTATGAGCTCGTCTTTATGATATGATGAAGTTAGTTGATGAATCAACATTAAGTGGATGAATTTATTTGACTAAAGGGCCTTCAAGCATTGCTTAGCAGAAAAGAAAGATTTGTTGCAGCATTTGTTAATGAAGGATTTCTTGTGATTAGATGAATTTATTCGATGACCACACCAAGCTGGTCCTGAACCACAATGACAGCGACCACCTCATCACCTACATCAACGAGGAGCGCCTGGCCAGCACCTACCGGATGGTCCAGGTCACGCACCACGGCTGCTCGGATGCCATCACCAAACGACTTCACTTGGCCCGGGAGAGGATGCGGGAGATGATGGGCGTGGTCAGCGATGCGTCGGAGGAGGAAGTGGAGGAAAGCACCGACCTATAGGGGGAAAGGGCCATGGGCAAGGGCAGGGCTGGACATTACTGGGGGTAGTCAGATGGAGGAAGGGGAAATGGGCTGTGCCAGTATTGGGGGGGGGTGGATGAATATTAAGGTTTACAGCTAAAGAACTGTGGGATGTTGTAGGAAGAGCTGAGAAGTTTGTAGAGGAGTCTGAAAAGGAAAATTGTAGTAAGAAATGGTGGGTGTGGCTAAAGATACAGGAGGGGGTGAGAATCCTTCAGGATTATAAAAAAGAGGAAGGGGCATGGTGGATTGAGCTTTCTCATTGTGGGAGGTCGAGGAAAGGGCAGATATTTGGTGAAGGGGGAAAGTCTATGGGCATGGCCATCAGTGTATTTGGGGGTGGAAGGCTTTGAGGAAGGTAACAAAACAGTTAGTGGGCTGTGTTGTACCTGACATTGAGAGTGGTTCCAAAGTTGAGCATAATTGCCGAATGTGCATGCATCATGCGAAAGATGGTTTTACTCCATGGCTTAGTACCTAATGGAGATTATCTGGTTATCCCTGAGATGCAGTTCAGCAAGGAATGCCCCCCCCATTCCTCCAAAATTCTCTACTTTGGAGGCACTATCAAAGGGCATCAAGCCCCATGTGAAGTAACAGTGGCTGAGCTCTACCTTACTCAACATCATCCCAAATCCTCCAAACTTTGGAGCAAACTTTGAACCACCTGGTAGTGCTTAGTAGCATCATTAAGCTCTCCTTTGCCCAAATTTTACATGCAACCAAATTTTCTTTCGCGAATTGATGGTCCTCTAATCTTATTCCAACCGAAGAACTGTATAAATTGTATGTAACTGAATTGAAATTACAGATTGCTTGTGTAATTTTTCTGTGATAAAACTTACAAGATGCAGATTTTATTGACGATTTTTTTCCTGAAAGTGTAAGAGCTGTGTGTTCGGTTCTTTCCTGACTTCTACCGTGCAATGTTTTTGAAGGGGAAAATGCTACACTGAATACTGTGTGTAATCTGGAAATGTTGAAGTGTAATCCCCTTAATGCCAATTAATCGTTCAGAAAATTCTCCAAAATCTAAAAATCCAAAACTAGAATTATGCCAGACCTGCAAATCTCACTCCAGCTTTAAAAGGAAAAAAACGCAAACGAAAGAAGAAATAAAATGGAAAGGCCAGAACGGCCTTAGAAATGTTTCGTTTGTAATAAACAGTGGATTTGCATTAGAAAAAAAATTACTTTTCAGTATTAAACGTTAATTAAATACTTTTTGTAAACTACATTATGCAACATATTTGGTAGTGAATGTGAAACAGCAAAATGGTAAACTGAAATTTGTGCACCAATAACAACCAGTATAATACAGGCACATGATATATGCATTGTACCATTCGCTCTGTTTGTAATATGCGGGTAAGACGTTTTGAAAATGATGCATTCCTTTGAAAAGCAGGTGCAGTCTAGGGTCATTAATATGCATGAAGTTTAAAGCTTATACAAGTACGGAAAAGGTCCAGCAAGATTGACGAGTTACTTTAGGGGAGTGTTTACTTTTGAATTCGGTTTACTGGATATTCTGTGGTGGAGTTCTCCATCTGTAGAGCATTGTCACAGATGATGACAAAAGTTCGCCCAGTTCGCAGCGGTATATGCACACCGTTTGTAATTGTCCACTGTTGTCAGGTTTTTATTGCTAATCTAAATCGGATTGAATAAGCCTTTTGCGAGTTAAATTTAAATAAAATCTGGAACACTGAGTTATCTGATTGCACACACACATGACAATTTGAACTCCCCAGACTAAAGACACTGTTGCTATACCTCGTGATTCGGGGCAAGCTTTTGCATAGCAACCATCATTCCTTGAATAGACTGGTTCCTTTGTGCCTTTCTTAACTGGAAACGGTGCATCGGTGCAAGGCATCTCTAATTTGACTACGCAAAAGCTTGCCCCGAATCACGAGGTATAGCAACAGTGTCTTTAGTACGGAAGATTCAAATTGTTACGTTCACTTGAATTTAAAGAAATCTGTGTACCGGATTTTATTCAAATTTAACTCGCAAACAGCTTATTCTACACCCAGCATTCGAAGATTAGCCATTGCAAAGTGAAACCCTTGGAGTAATCATATCCCGAAATGTGTTTCAACCGGGCATTCAGGTATACTGTGAGCAGGGGAGTGGCACTCCCACGATGCACTTATCCTCGGACTCATTCGTATCACCGGAGACAGATTTGTGCACATTCTTATTGAAAACTGGTCATGTTAGGCCACACATGGTCATCGTCGTAGCCCATTGATCAGATTTTACCGGTCTCAGTTTCACAGGTAGACCCACATAAAAACCTTTTGTTGTCATGACTGTAAGCTTTTTGTAAAGTATCAAGATTATTTTGTAAAATATTTCAGGGATGGATCGCTTAATAGTGATGCCGATATGCACGATTAAGAAACAGTCGTATTCTCATAGAAATTTTTGTTGTACAGAATGTATGAAACATTGTAAATTATGAGCAGAGGATATTTTCTATTTATTTTATCGTTTAGAATTCTATGTTTACCCGGTGCTAATATAGAAGATAATGGCAGTGAATGCGATTTTCGTTTAGATTTTTTTTAGATAGTTTCTGAAATGATATTTGAATAAGGTTTATTTTATGCATATTAGCTGTATATTGTTGGAAGTTGTCCTCATCGAAGCACTTTCAAGAGATGGGTTTCAGTAATAACTCTTTGCTAGCATCATGAAAAGGAGGATTCAGACTTTTGCAATTAGCAATTCGGACACGCCAATAATACGGGCGATTCACAAAAGTGCGCCTCCAAGAGTTTGCAACGCGTTGGCCAATCACAAAGCACGAATTCTGTCGACCCTTTCCAAGCGCGCATTGGGTCGACAGGTTTCGCGCATTGTGATTGGCCGACGCGTTGCAAACTCTTGGAGGCGCACTGTTGTGAATCGCCCGTATTGTTTCCCTTTGGGGCTAACCTGTCACGGCGCAGCAACGATCCCATGTCACAAAGCAAATCAAATTTATGGAAATCTGATTTGGAATTTTTGTATGTGTCTAGTTTGTGTATTTTTTTTCTGTTGTTAGTTTTTTTCTTTTGGTGTTTGTATTCAAAGAACATTTTTCAATGACTTATTGACCCCAGTCATTCGTGACAAAATAAGGCTGATAGAAGTGTGTAATATACTACCCCCAATGCAGGTTGGTTTGCAGGGCATTGCATTTTAAAATAATGTAGTAAACTTCATAAACCGGTTGTTTTCCAACCGAGCGCAGTCGCCTGGCTGTAGTATAGTGTTATGAGCAATAGTTGTGCCTTCCTTTTTCTTCACGTTTTGTACTCAAACCGTTGCTTTGCGGCGTTGTTCTATTTATTTTTCATTTCGAATTTATTTTGCCTTTGGCCAGTTGTGATATGACAAAGCCACCCCAAATCTGGTTGTACGCATGATTCGGGGTTGGTTGTGACTTCAGCTTTGAGTTAAACTGAAGAACAACGCATCGAATCTTATGTTGTCGAAAATATTAAGGGATACAGTGCCAACAGAAAATCGAAAAATAAGAACATGAAAAAAAAGCGCTTGTGGCAGTGTGGAGATTTTACCCTTTTGTCTGCTTACTGACAAGTTGAAAGCAAACGAAACTTATTCTTTGTAATGTTTTGAAAGCCGGCGTCATCGAAACTTGCCATTTTTGATACGGTCAAATGCCAGTGACATCTTGTATTCCATATTGATTTTGTTTTATTTTTGTACAAAAGTGTACATTTATTCGACACTTTGCTTGATTGTATAGATGTCTACAGTCCAGGATTTGTAAGGTGTTTTCGTCTTCCCCAAGACTAACTCCAAAGAATAATTAAAAGCAGAGATTCCTTTCATATGTAGCCTGCTGGGCCTTTAAAAATGCATGTGTTGTAACCATACCATCGTTAAATTTAAATGTTTCTTCTTTTTACAGTGGACAAAACGGTACAGATTAATTTGTCGCACGTGAGCTCTTTGTAGTGGTAATTGTCTCAAAGCCCTTTTTTGCAAATGACGTCCTGTGCTTGAGCAGGATACGTGTAAATGTCGTTTTTTTTATAAGACTTTTAGGTTTGAGGTGAATAATTGGCGCTTCGGAAGAGGAAAGCTAGTTTTTGTCAGATGGTCAAATCCCACAGAAATGTTTCTTGTAGTTTGGACGGCCTGTAACTATTCATTGAAGTTGTAAAATCGCGTCTCATGTCGTTTCCCTTGTGCTCTTAAAAAGAGGCTTGTTTTGTGTCACAATCGAATACCTCCATTGTATCGTCTCTTGCAATGTTTATATTGGCCGGTGGAGAGTTACAATGCGTTTTCAAAAGTTAGAGTGGTATTGCCCCCGACACTGTTTATCGGTAACTGGCAGGCTTTCTGTACCGGGAAACGTAAGAAAAGATGGTTCAATATTGCTTTGGGTCGAAATAATTCAGGCATTTTCTGTCAAACCTCCTCGCACGCGTTACTGCCAACGTCAGTGTCAGTTTGGTCGCGATCAAGTTGTGAAATGACTTGGCCCAAAACTTGTTCACTTCTATGAGCTACTCCAGGCCAAGAAAAAAATAATCTCAATGACTTTTGTAATGCGGGGAGCAATTCCTTACAATATATTGGACGATTGAATTTCACCATTTCGAACGTGCGGCTTAATAGCACCTACAGTCTAGCATTGGATGTAAACATTGGTGTGTACACAATCATGTCAGTTGTAGAATTCTCTTTAAATCAGACGTAAATAAGGGAGATACGGGGTTGTGTTTCATAAAATAAGCTAGTCGGGTAATCTGTTACAGTAGAAGAGTTTACAATAAAAATAAAATATCAAGGGTGCAGAATGGAGTTGTGTAAAGAATCTAAGAGCGGTTCTCCGAAAACGGCACTTGGAAATAAAATTTTGAAAGGAACGAACATCGTAGCACTTGTCTCTTGGTCGTGAGGTCTCAGACTGTAGATCGATTGTTGACTGCCGACCCCACCATCCCCTTGTGCAACCCGGCCTACCCTCGATCTCCCCGACTGAGCATTGGTACTATGCCAAAGTGTATTTTTTTAAGTTACAGAAGAAAAATAAATCACCTCGCAAGTCGAGGAGAGAGTAGGGCCTATATGTGGGGTTTTGAAATTGCTTCGAAATCGAAACTTCTCCAAATCCTTCATGTAAACTTTTGGACATAGATGCGAGGTGTTGGGCCTTGTCGAACAGAGTTAATTTTGGATTACGAATTTATGATCAACCCGACCACTGCACAAACTCAAATTGTCCAATGTATCCTTTTCCATCCCTCGTGGACAGGCCTACAGTCATAGCATAACACCCCTGGGAAAATTAGTGATTCGCTTCCTACGTATCATCTTCACGTTCGTAAATTTGCTTGAATATGATTGAGGGCGCCATTCAACATTCAACGCATGGCGTGATTCTTCGGTGGAAGGCAGGGTGCAGTGGTAATTTTCGTGTTGTATTCAGAAGACAGAAATCACCTCGGATATGGATGTAAGTAGACCTGCAGCAATATTACTCTATTACATATTTCAGAAATTGGAAAATCTTGTATTTGATTGCCACTTTTGGTTAAGGTAGGCCTTGCCTACTCAGTAGGCCAAATGTCACTGCAAACTAACGAGGTACGAGTTCGCTTGACGCGTGCGAACCTTGACCACCTACAGTACAGGCTACATTAGCCCAGGTGGACAACCGACTCCCTGACCGTACTGCGTTACGGAGGGACAGTGTGTACTTGTGAAGACAAGCCGTGACCAAATGGTTGACTATGAAGGCGGTCGATACACAAGACATGGGAATTGGCTGCTGCCACTCTCTGTATATATGTGTGTGTAACTCTTACTACCACGGGTGGAGTGACCGGTTGAAATTGCAGTTGGCTGTGGCACGTGGGGGGTCACAGTGACCAATCATAGGGTTCCTCATTATTTACACCCAAATGGCATAAATGACAACCAACAGCCGTTGATCACCGCGAGCCATGTGCTCCACAGACATTGTTCACACTGCAACTGCTCGCTCACGTGCACTCGGACCTGTTTCAAGCTCTGTAGAACTTAATACATTGAAATGTTTTGAAATTTTCCATCTGTGGCAGATCAAAATATTGGATTCGAGGAGCAGTAAGGAACTTCTTACACTTACAGAAGTGAGTAGCTACCAGTACCTTGACCTATTGGAAGGTGAAATTAACACGTGCAGTTGCAAGTTACCAATCTTTTTATTTGGAGAAAGTTAATCGTTTTGTCTGTAATTTTAATAATGCTTGTATGGTATCCACTGACTTTATAGTGGTTGGATTGTTCAATTTTAGCTTGGTAAGGCCACAACCATTGCTGATGTCAAAACCCAAGTCCACCTCAAAAGTAAGTACATGTACATGTCTGACGCTTAGAGTGCCATGGTTTAAAGGTTTCGAAGTCTGACTGACGCAGCAATACGCAGGCTCGAACCCCAATGGTGATCGTGGTGTTCGTGTCCTTGGGAAAGATACTTTACCACAATTACTTTTCTTTCCTGGGAGTGTAAATGGGTCCCTGTGTAGGTGACACATTGCGCTCATTTCAAACTGTTGCATGAAAACTTATCTTGATAATAGTTTTGAAGCTATTTGAGACGCACAATTAAAGGAGCACTTTTTTTAAAGCTTGTCACAGACACCACAGAATTCAAATCGTCATCATTGGAACAGCAATTTTTTATACCATCATCACTTGACAGATTTGTAATATTTCAAACAAATAAGACTATAAGTTGTTATACAAAAGTTGAGAGGCAGCGCACACTGTTAATGTACAGTGCAGAAGGCATCAGATGTAAGACTTGAGTGAACCTTGCCGTTTCTTATTTCAGAGAGAAATCTTTATCCTGAGAGGCAGTCCCTCCGCACGACTGCAAGTGAGTATATCTACAGTTTGTTACAACTTGTCATACTAATTGATTGTCACGTGGAATTTTATGGCCAGCAGAGTGACACTATTGTCATATTGATATTTGGCCAATAGAACCTTTACCCATTTTTTAATATTCAAAGTAACTTGCGACCATAAAGCAAAACCATTATAATGTCAGGGGGGAGAATTTTTCCACAAAGCAGTTCATCAGAGATCTCCACATTGCGATCTTAATCTTGAGTGGGTCGTGGAAAACACTTTATCCACAAAACTCGAGCAAAAGGCAAAGGAGAGTTGGGATTTCATGAAATTCCGTGGCCTTGGAAGGTCAGGGTGATACCTGTGTCTTTGGCTTTTGCAGAGGGGAAATCCCTCAAGGATGACTGTACCTTGGAGTCGTTGGACCTCGGAAGCAGCGGTAAGCTCTACTTCAAGGACCTGGGACCGCAAGTGAGCTGGACCACTGTAAGTGGAGCAAACTCAAGCTGCTTTGGAATTTCGGATGTCACTGAACTGTTCCCAACCCTCTCAGATCCTTCAAAATCTTTCAAGAGGATTTGAGAAGCTCTTGGCCCATAACAATTGAAGGGTGGGGGAACTCTGTGAACTGGCATTTCCTCTCCAATCACTGCCATCCATATTTTTTGTACAAAGTGATCTTAGAGTTTGTAGGGTGATGCCTAATGTATGTTTTGCCATCATTTTCTGTGAAATTTATGCCTGCCAATCTTCCAATTTTTTTAAAGATTATGTGTGAAATAAGTTTAAACCTCTCATCAGCTGAATATATGAACAAGTGTTGAAAAAACAAACACAGGTGTAAGTTCTGACTGTAGTTACAAACTGCTTTGAGTCTGACACGGGCTGAAACTTTGCAGACTTAGTAAGTGTAGATGTTTCTTCTGCCAACTTTTATAAACAATCTCTGACATTGTGTGTCAGAGATCTGAAGAGGTACCTTGCCTCTCTCAAGGTAGTTCATGATGGCAGCTACTCTTTCATAGTTACCTGTCACTCATCTATACCTCTCAAGATTCACTCTGGATGTTTCAAAAAGCCTGCAAAGTTTCCCCAAAGCTCTTTTAACCGATATATTAGCGTTTCTGTCTGAAAAACCGAATCCTGCTGACAACATGTTTTTCCTTGCAGGTGTTTATGACTGAATACACCGGTCCATTGGTTGCCTACCTGCTTTTCTACAGCCGCCCAGCGATCATTTATGGGGCCGAAGCTGCAAGCGCGCCAAGGCACCCCGTGGTGCAGTAAGTACCAGTTCATATGTAGTCAAACTGTCTCAGGATATCATCGACCATTACACCCCCAGTTTGGCGCAGACGCGAAGACTGTACATTCCGGCGTAAATTGGTAGTGCATACTCAGCGTGCCTTGAGCCAAGCACGCATAAAACTTGCGCACTCTCATGGTGAGTGCCCCCAGAGGACCATGGATTCCATATAAAAACACACCCTTTCATGTTCCTGCTCACAGTGGATACTGACAGCTGTCAGTAAACCATTATTACCCCTGCTCGGTCAGCATATATAAAGTAGTCCATTACAACTCTGTGGACATTGTCTGTTGTAAATGGCTCATCCTACAGAACATTTCACTTTGCTAGTACTCCTCAATGGGAGACGCAATTGCAGTAAAGTGCCTTGCCTATGGACACAGCCCAGACACACGTCATTAGTGTTTATGTTTACAAGTGATGAGCACGTTGTTGTTTGTGTGAACAGAATTGCTGCGGCCTGCTGGACCTTCCACTTTGCCAAGAGACTACTCGAGACCATCTTCGTCCATCGCTTCTCCCATGCCACCATGCCGATCTTCAACATCTTCAAGGTTCGCTACCAACCTGGACTTTGGAGTTCCCTACTTTGAAGTGGTGCTCGAGATTTTGATGCTGAGATTGAAAGGGAGCACTGTTTGGTTTTGTAAAAAGATCCCTGAGAAATCAGCTGTATACAGGCTTTGACAAACCTTTAACGAAGGCAAAAGCATGATGACTAGTTTTATAGTTGCGTCAGTCCTTACCCAACAAAGGTGTTTTACTCGAAACTTTTTATAAAGTTTGATCCAGCCTTTTTACATCTTGACTTATGTGATAAATGCAAAGGGTAAAGTCGTGATTAGACATTTTCCAACCATCGACCTCATTTTGCCAAACAAAAGTGGATAAAATTCTGCACAAGACAGCTCATGTCACCTTGATCAGGGGCAGTCTAACATAGCAGGAGGCCCAAACACTTCTTGTGTTCAAGATTCACACCGAATTTCACTCTCTCTCTGAACCTTTCCACAAGCGTAATAGAAAAAGCACTGGTGAAGTGAGGAACCAATCAGCACCAGTTTTCTTCTTTCCTCTCATCAATTTTGGTTTGTTTTCTCATTGTAGAATAGCTCCTACTACTGGGGATTTGCGGCTTTTGTCTCGTACTTTATCAACCATCCGTTGTATACTCCACCAGGTGAGCATCTCAAATGTACATAATCTCCACAGGTTATGAGAAGAAACCACGTGCTGTAAACGAAGTATGAAAATAGTTTTATTCATCCATCTGATCTGCACTGCCCTCGTGGAGTGGTTTTATTCATCCATCTGATCTGCACTGCCCTCGTGGAGTGGTTTTATTCATCCATCTGATCTGCACTGCCCTCGTGGAGTGGTTTTATTCATCCATCTGATCTGCACTGCCCTCGTGGAGTGGTTTTATTCATCCATCTGATCTGCACTGCCCTCGTGGAGGGACACCTGGTTTGGAAATGTGCCTCTCTAACTGCTACATTGAAACTGTTAGTCACCGTTTTGGTATTAGAAGGAGAAATGGTATCATTCCTATTGATTTTATAATGCCTCACCGACAAAATTGAAGGGGGCCGAAAGGCTTCAACTACGGTTTGTGGATTTCTGTTAATTGTCCTCAGAAGCCTACCACGTTTGGGGTGGAAGGGTCAAGGTCACAGTAGTTTAAATGGTAGATTTCTTGAAATCCCAAATTGAAGTCCTTGTTACAGCATTAGATTGATGGTGCATTTCCATTAACGCATCATTCTTCTGGTGTCTCTGCAGCCGGAGGGGACCTTCAGATCTACAGTGGGCTTGCTGCCTTCCTGGTAAGAAATATCAAACTTTCAAGCCTTTGTTGAGTTGAGTGACCATTTGGAAGGAATGTTCAGTCATATGATCTTTCTACTTGAGTTGATGGATCCTCGTATTGTCAGTTTTACTGTTAACTACCAACGCTGTCGCTGTAACTCTGGGCAATGTGAATTGCACTTGAAAAGCACCTGTTTGATAAGTCAGCTCACTAAAAATGCTTGCCACAGACAACATGGCATAACATCGGTGCAGTAAGCCCGAAGGAAACTCAAATTTAAATGCTTAAGTTTGTAAGGTTGCCAGGTCACTAGATATTAGGAGGCATCTTGAGAAAGAAATGTTTCTGTTACCACTGAATGCTCTGTGCAGGAGCGCTGTATATCCCATGTGGAAGTTCACTGTTCTGCAGGTGCATTCCTTATGGAAACACCCAAGTTTTGTGTACAGGCACATACATCATTTTTTTCCATTCAGGAACGAGTGACATTCCCAAGTTGTTTTCAGTAGGAGCAGCAAATGTTTCCAACAGGAACGGGCCGTGTTTGTTTGAGTGTTTTTAAGCATTCCAACCATCAAGTTGCTCTCATATTCAACTTGAACTCACAAGGGATTCGCTCAGTGTTGCTGACCTCAAATTCTGTGTCGCAAACTTTGATCATGCCCTCAGGTCTGTGAGCTGGGTAACCTCAGCATCCACGTGGCCCTGCGCAACCTGCGTCCACCTGGCACCAAGGAGCGCCGCATCCCTAAGCCTACCTCCAACCCCATGACGTTCCTCTTCAGCATGGTCAGCTGCCCCAACTACACCTACGAGACAGGGGCCTGGATCGCCTTCAGCGTCATGACCCAGTGCCTTCCAGGTGAGAGAACCCTTTCCCAGAACCCATCGTCAAAGTCGAGTACTCAGTCGCATCTAGGCGAGTGGTGACAAAGGAATGTCAGTGTTAAGGCACCTTTCCAATAGGCCTGTCAGCACTTACGGCAATCGCTACCGCGGTGATTTTGAGGGCCTAACGCAACGCACACGTGTGTTATGTTAAGGGAGTTGATTTCTGTTTCTGTGAGAGTACAAGCATCGTGTTTGCAACGCGCTAAAAAAAGGTACATATGGAAAGGTGCCTTTACAGATAAGGCGTGAAAAGCTCAAGGCTCACATCGAGGCTTGGATATTTGTGATTACTTATGAAGTAACAGGCCCACTTTGTTTTCTTGCGTCCTTTCCTACGGAGCCGGTGGGGGTCCACAGTCCTTTCAGCAACTCATAAAGTGTGGCATCATTAGTGCAGAACTTGGCCATGGGGGCGTCCTAGCGGCGGTCAATGCTTTGAAGCCAGTCTGACCCAACCATGACCTGACCTGTAGTGGCATCAAACCACAAAATGGTTGACACCCTCGCCAAGAAAAAAAAATTTGAAATTGAATTCTTGTGTGATTTATCCTCCCCCCAGCTGTTCTCTTCGCCGTGGCCGGCTTTGGCCAAATGGCCATCTGGGCCCTTGGCAAACACCGTAACTACAAGAAGGAGTTTTCCAACTACCCGCGACAGCGCAAGTCGATCCTTCCATTTCTCCTCTAACTCTCCCCCCGACGTGTATTCCAGGGAGGGGAAAATCAAAACGTCTCCGAACTCGGCATCGGTTTGGAGTAATTTGGTGTTTTTTGGTGTGTGTCTGTGTAATGCAAATTTTACAATCGTAACTTGCTAGTATGTACTCGTTTGTAATGTGACCATTTTTGAAAAAAAAAATCGTTGGTACGTTACGTTTGTGATTTGCAAGGTGCCTGTTTCACATGTGAATGCTGTGATGTTTACACACATGAATTTATGATTTGGTGTGAGGCCATTTTAACTGAAAGTACATGATAATTGAAATTTATTGTATCAAAACTGTTTTTTGATTGTTTAGTGGAATTGTTGGGGAAATATCAGTGAAAAACCGAACCATCATCACAAATTGATTCTAACAGTGTCCTACTGCAGCCTAGCTGGCTTGTCTCGAACCAAGCATAATTAGAAATTTGTCCCAACTAAACGTTTGAAATTACTTGCTATTTTGATTGAATCACACAAAGGTCACATTGTCTTTTCAAGGGACTACAATTTTCACGATGTTTGGCTTCCATGTAGTGGATGTGTGCAAGAAACCATTTGTGAAGTTCACCTGTTTTTGCACATCTTCATCCGCATTCTTTTTTTCTCCATACTTTGTGCTTGTGACATGCATCTCATATATAGTGTTGTATTTGAGTCTGTCACGAGTCCCTGCAAGTCCCTGTAAGTCCGTCAATGACATTTAGTCACAAGCCATTCAAATGAGCTATGATGAAAGCATTCTTTTGTCATCACTCACCCTGTTACTCATGACTTGCCTTGTGAAGGGACTCGTGACTCAACTTGTGAAAGGACTTGTAGTGGACTCAAATACAACACTGCTCATTAAACAGTGCAAACGTTTGTGATAAGTGCATGCGGTAATTTTTGGTGGGACTAGGTGACAGCTACATCTTGGCCTGCTGTTCGTCTAAAATTGGGGTTACAGCGTTAACTTGGTTAACCGTACAGGGATCTTGTATTGTGGTACTCGTTAAGAGACAACGGTTTCAATGTTTGGACAGTCACAGACAGTGCACAGTTTTGTCCATTTCCCCCTGCCAAATTACATAGACATATCTGCGCCAGTTGATAAAAAAGACAGTTCCAGACTGTGTGGTTTTGCATAGGAGGTTTGAATTGAAGTGTCATGTGAGTAAAAAAAACACAGGGTAGAACTCTGATTCAGCACTCAGCAATCAAAATATTTAAAGAACAAAAAAATGACATTTTGGCTGATGGCCTTTTTTTGTCCACACCCAAAACTTCAGGGAGTATTTTTTTTTTTGGGGGGGGGAACATGCACGCTCGGCAGTGCCTCTGAATTGGCCCTTAGCCAGTGAAATAAAGCCCCTCCACCCTCCCGAGATCCCTCTAGGGGTTGCCAGAAAGCACCTGGGCCAACAACTGTCAAAGCCCTGGGCTTTGCTGGACACGTGTTCAGGTTGATGAGCCAAGAAGGTGGCTGAAAATGATGACACATACTTACTTTTTCTCCTTGTCGACCATGCTGTAGGCCAATAAAACACAAGATCTCTGTACCCCTTTAATCCCAAAGAAATGGCAGAAACATCACGCCGGTTACTGTTCAGGAGAAAAATATCAAGAAAGTGCTTTCATTACGTAGCTCAAGTGTTTCATTCTGCGTCACAATTCTAGTTTTTTTTAGGTTGGCAAATTGTAGATGGCTTTCAGGACACTTGACAACAGCGAAATTCACAAAGTGTTTACAAAATATCGTGCAGCTATGAAAATACCAAGTTGTAAGATGCCACACTGTAATACTTCATGACAGTACCTCCCTCTTTAAACGCAGATGGTGCAGATGGGTATTTTGAGGCAAACCCTGTCACTACCCAAGGGTGAAGCTTCCACAAATTTCAGTCACTCGCACAAAACGCATGGGAATAAGAAAACCGTCTGTAGGCAGGCAAGCCAGGACTTGCAGAGGACTCTGGCGATATGTGGCACGTTAACGTTTGTTGCAACTTGCACCGTCATCACATTGTATCTGTCACGTGAAGAATCTCCACTGCAGTAGCTACATTGTGTGTTTGCCCAGAACCCACCCCTGTAAATAGGGCCTCACGATCCTGGAAAGTGGGGTAACTGAAGGGGGATGGGGTACATTCTACCCCCACTCAGGGCCTGTGCCCCCATGTACCACCCACCACCTCCTCAGAAATTAGAGAAGGGAAAAGTCTGGTGATCGTCCACCTTGATCAGCATTTTAACTGTGATTTAACCCATTGAGTGTCCCCTCCAGAAAATGAGGGGCCCCAAGTGCCCGCACCCCCTGCAAATATACTCCAGTTATTCCACTTATCCTGGAATACCGTGGTATCCTGGCCCCCAGTACAACTGGGGGAAAACTTGAAGAAAATTTGTGGCTTTTTTCCCCAAAATGTTGCAAAGAAATATGGATGATTTCAGTTTCCAGAGCCTACCCTCTAAGTTAACCTCCAGCTGTCTGACGGAGCATTTCTAGATGTGTCCTTCCTTTGTATTTTCCTTATGAAATTACTCACTCTGACTGCAAGTATTTGGTCTAGTTAAATCCAATTCATATGGCACACCATTGGATATTGTTAAAATTCCAAGGCTATATTGTGCACATAATGTACACCATTTAGTGAAAGAGCTGCATTTCATAGATACCAAATGATCCATAGAAATCTACATGTATTTCAAAGAGTTATGGCATTAACTAATCTCGGTAAAGTGTGTTCGAAAACAGATTTACATGTATTTATATTTTATCAAGCAGGTCTAATTTATGATAAAGTCTACTTCAAGTAATTGATCCATATCTTGCGAATTATCATCAGAAAAGCCCCCATCTTCCCAAAAGTTTATAGTGGAGCTATAAAAAAGGAGGTCCGTGTTATGGATGTGGGTCACCTCGCCCCTAATCACTTCGCTCCGTCGCCACTTCTCCCCATTTTCACTTCGCTCCACCAATTATCGTTCATTCTGTTCTTTAGTAGTCAGAGAGGCATCTGCCCAGATGGAACAAATGGAAACATCGACGTTCAGCATCCTTACTCTATGGTTTGAGGAGCAACCAAATAACGGTGGGAGAATCCAACTTTCAATTGCCAAAACATGCTTTCGATTTCCCAACAACCCTAATATTTGGCGAGACCTTGCATGTTTTTCCAGTTACATTTGCAACATTTGAAAAGCCTGACCTCTGCTAATTTCATGAGTCCTTTTCGTGTTGCGCTGTGCGCTCGCTGTGGTAAAAAACACGTGCGCAAAGCGCTGGTTCCCGCCGCGCTGCACCCATGCAAGAGGATGCGTGATGGAGTGTGGCAGCCAGTCTATTCATGCCGCGGCGACCTACATGTACGTGACCTCACGCATCGAAAAAAATCGATTTAGCAAGATTTCTGAGAGTGAATTCACAGAATTCAGTATCTTTTCTATGTGACTGTGTGTGTTAGGTTGTTTTGCTTGAAGCGAGCATGTCTCCACCATCGGCATTAAGTGAATGCCGTAGAGTTTTTCTGTATACATGTGTAACTCTATCATGATGTCGTTTCAATTGGAACTGTCCTCTCTCTACCATTTTTTGAAGGGGCTTATAACACACTCGAGTTCGGACGGGGCAAAATGGAAATTGGGGATGTGGAGATGGGGCGAAGTCACTGTAAACCCGTGTTATAATTAATGACTTCCCACCTACGTTAAGTTTATAGTTCCTAAATGAAAAATAGAAGAGGAAATCCGGTATTTTAGACACGATTTTTAATTTCAGCAACAGCTGCTAACTGAATCCGGAAGTAGTTAAAACGTGCGGAATAGAAAGAGTTAACTGGAAAACTTGGCTTGGGGCCTTTTTCATGTGCGTTTGACTCATGCTGGAATTGTTTGACCAAAACGTTTGCTTTTTTCCAATGGATTTTTACGGTGGATTGCAATAAATTTCATTAGCTTAAGTGGTTGTGTTGCGTTGTGTTGCTTTATAAGGACCTTGGAGCTCCATGGTAGTGTACGAAACGCCACCCCTTTTCCGTGAATTTACGAAGTTGAGGAATCGAGCCCAACGGTTTATCGAGCCAAGCTCAGTTACTAAGCCCAAATTACCTTCAGAGTCGCTGATATATCGGCAAAGATGACAGTGTCAACCCAATTCCACTGAATTCAGGTCTTTCAGCGCAATCCCCTTCCGAATGTTCTTTTTTCTCAAAAATTAAATGTACAAGGTGGAAATTGTAAATCGGAGATCGGGGCTCCAATTCCGAATGTAAAATTCATTACCAAGTACAAATCGGCTTTATGTCGTGCAGTCAAAATCCAACTTCAGGGTTACCGATTGCTACGAGGTGAGGCTCGGGACTTCTGTCACTCGGAGTCTGGCTTCGATTCCAGTGGGGTGCAGTGGCGTAGCCACGGGGGAGGGGGGCAGTGCCCTACAAATTCCCAGTGGCCCCGCCCCCCAGGTTCCCCTCACTAAAAAAAAAAATCTATAACTTATTGATATCAGTTTTTAAAAAGGTCGGGAAAGTTTGTTTAAAAATTCAACATTTCGCAATGATCCGAAAAAAAAACACAAAAGGGAAATTAGTTTTTGAAAAATTTCTAAAAACTTGCTTTTCTTCAACCAAATCAGCAAAATCATAACTTGATTCGATTGTAAATATTTATGAATTAATTGGATTTCCGCTGGGGGACGAGTCAACGGAAATCTGCCTCCGAGGAATGGTAATTTCGGTGTACCTTGTTAATGTGTAAAATAGTTCAAAGCATGTTAAACATTATTTCATCACTGATCTTTATCATGACTATTGTGGGCTTGGACCCACCTGGCCCATACACAGTGGTGTAAATTTGTGATAGAAATTGGGGTGGGGGTGGGGGATGGGCAAAGGTGGGGGGGGTTCACTTGCCCGGCCAAGAAAATTTGAAAATATTGAAGATGGCATATTTATGACTTTTAAAATTGTTTTGCCTCTTGAGTGATAATGAATGCATTCTAGTCGTTGAAAGTCTGAAAAATTCTTTAAAATCCACTTTATTTTTTTTATACCCAGCAAGAAATTGTCCAATCCCTATACACATTCCAGACTATTGTTACTTAACACATCCCCCCCAAGATGTCTGAAAGGAATTCCCCAGATTCCTACGAGACAATGACCAACACAAAGCAGGGGGGGTTCTCTCCGTCTCATACCTTGCTGCATATGTATTTTTTTTGCTCCCAGCAAGAAAGTATGGTGGGGGTGACTCAATATCCCCCCACCTCAAAAAGGGAGGGGGTATATACCCCAACTCCCCTCAGGACAATTTTCGACAAACAAATTCACGCTAATTCAGTGAAGACGTGCAAGTCGTCAAGCAAACTCGCCCACAGTACAGAATGCCTTCACTGACATTTGTTCGCACTCGCATATGCAGGATTCCCCTGGTTGAAACAAATCACACTAATACGCCATACGAGAAAATAAACTTCAGGTTTTGTTACAAAATGTTTTAATAAATTTCAACACTCCTGTGGGGTTCACAAGATACATGAAATGAATATAAATTACGCACGCTGCGTTTATTTTTAATTATACTGTTACAGTTCTACTAAATTAGAAAAACTACATTTCGTAGATCACAATGCCTTTATTTCGCCACTGCATGTTAAATCATAAATGCATTTCGTGACTGTTAAGTTATGACACACAATATTAGTCGAGTGTGACGTCGCGTGAAATAGATTAAAAACAAGTGGCACGCCAGGAAAAATGAACTCGTTTCAACCGTGCATGTATTGCAGACGTTTACGCACCGACATCCCTGGATTTAACCATGACAATAAGCCTCGCTAGTAAAAAGGAATTCTAATTTAAAAAGTGGTCCAGTCTTCATGATGAGTTGACCTTTCCATCTGCACAGGCTTTGCGTGGTAGCCGTCTTGCAGGGTAGTACTCTTGTTCCACAGCGAAACTACCTTTGTGCACACCCTGTGGAACAAAAGCACTGGCCTGCAAGATGGCAGTCATGCAAACCCTCTATTCAAGAAAGTACAAATGCGCAGACGGATCGAGAAATTGAAAACGGTTGAACTTCTCCATGATATAGTGTATTTCCCCTTTGGGGATTTACATCCAGTGACAAGTTAATATCTCTCACAATTATGTCCCATGAATGTGCTGCCGTGTTCATACAAAAAAATGGGAAAACCGCGAAGTTTTTCCTCCCCTTCACTGAAGGTCTAGCGTAAACGTACAAGGGTGACGACATCCGATGAACGCCTGGCTGTATGCGTGCATTTCTGCACACATCAGGTTCATCGACGGCCAAGGACCCATTTTCACCATGGTTTCTACAGCGTTGCTAAAGTACGTATTCATTAATTTCTGCCTGCCCAGCCTCCGTAAGTCCTTTCCGGACACAATTTCCTTGACACACCAACAAATCCTCACGTGGATTACAGTATCTTGGCGTCGGCCACCAATCACGTCCACCACTGCACAGAATGGTACAACCATGACTCACCAACACTCCAAATATTCTTCTCACTGTCGACCCTTTTAACACTATTTTTGAATTCCTAAAAGCCGTAGAGCAGCCAAACAGGAAATCTGTCCTAACAATCAATTTACTTTATGTAATGTAACATCACGCAGGCGAACAGTATACCACCAAAAACTCGCTTCAGAATCTTTCGGGTTTGCTTGGTGTTTTTGGTATGAAAGTAAGTTCAACAGAGCTTTCATTCATCAATTCACAACCACGAGCGACATGTAGTTTACAAAAGGTACTGACGACAAAGCAGCTCCTTCAATGCATACGTGTAATTTTAAATTAATACCCTAAACTGTCCTTTTAATATTGCTACACCAAAAGGGCAAACTTTAATTCCATAAATCTCTCTATGAACAAATGTACACATTATGATACAAACTTCCTTGGCAATGTGCTCGTGGGACCCCATTCATCTCAATACAAAGGTCTATCAATCATCTAATACAGATTTCAGATTTTATAAATTATACTAAAACGATAGCTGACATTCCTCAAGTTTTCTTCAGTACTACCATAAAAGACTCGACACACAAGCACTGGCATACCATTATTGGGAGACCGCAGACACCAATGGGTACTCCCCCCCCCCAAAAAAAAACACAGTGTTGATGCCTGCACATAGTAATAGGTTTACCTTGACCTGCTACGGAGGCACAGCCAAATTTTCCAGACGAAATCATTCTTATTCTGTGCTTGCACTTTTTCCTCATTGCTGACAGTGACACGAGTGTTTCTACATGTCTGTATACGACAGCAGAACGATCGTGTGGTGAATGCCAGGCACCCAGGGGCAACTCAAAATCATGAATACATACTGTGCGCGTGTACATCCATCACGAACACGCCCGTTTAACCGTCCTCCCCGAGCAAATTGTTTGATTTCGAGAAAGAAATGCTAGAAACTAAAACTCAGTTCTTTTATGAGGGAAAACACAAGTTCTAGTCTGGCAACCATAGTCTCTCTTTTCCTCACAGAATTACATCAGGTGACTTTAAGAGTACTCAATACAATCACATAAGAATTTAAAGAAAACAGCAACACGAACATATACATTCTATGATGTAGCAGATGTGTTTTGTTCAGGGTCATTCAAACATATCTGGCTGTGCACTAGCCTTAATTTTTATGAAAAACAGTAAAACTTTTAAAACAAATCATTTCTCACATATAACACCACACGAAAGACAACATTTCAATTCAAGTGACGTATAAACCTTTGGAAAACCCCCTGAAGCATGAAGAACACTGTAATTCTGACATAATGAATCTCGGCTGAAATCTTGACAGACAAATAAGGATAGAACTGGAACAAACAATTTCCCAGCCCTTTTTTTTTAAATTGCCACAGTGTGAAATGTCAGACAACTTGCCTGATAAAATATGCATGAATACGCTCAATAAATATATTGCAAAACTAGTCTTCTTCCTTGAGGACCAAAATTAAAAAAAAAACAACACTTTGTCTTCCTGTTTGCCTGCATTGTCGAACAACTGATTTTTTTTCCCTTTGAGAGTACCTTTTGAGACAACTCTCAAAAAAACCCAAAACAAACTACATGTAAGTCGTTCAAAGACAAAAAGTAATCTACTGTGTCTACAATGCAGATCATACAACAAGCAAGAGTGGTGTTTTTTCAAGGCCCAAACTGCAGACAGAAGCCTTCAGGAAGGGTGATTCTGATGCCCAGCCACGAAAAATAAAATCTCTTGAAATGTGCTCCGACCATTACAAAATTTATGTACAATATGATGATACAAAACTGAAAGGAAACAAAACAGTTGTGCATGTTGACAGTCTTCAAGGCTGAAGTCTGGCATGGACTACCAACGTACTTAGGTGCTTTGCTAATACCACAAATATTGAAAAAAACATCTTCATGTTATCTTGAGTGTGTTCACACGCGGCTCCGGGGATGCTATGACACTGGCAATAAGTTAATCTGCTTTTGAAGTCCATTGTGAACAAAATAAAAATAAACTCCTCCTCGGTCAATGTGGCAGTTTTGTCTTTAAATTCCCGCCTGAAATTTTCCAAGGGATTTCCTAACGACTAAGAACAGCACCATGCGAACGTGGTATGATAATACACAAAAGTCTCACATAAAATTGAGCATATTTGCGGTTTGTCTGCTGACTGGCAAAGTAAACGTTGGTAATTAAATAAGTCTTCCCTCAATTAAATGAACACAGAGCTGGCACAGCCCTTCTTTTGTACAGCTTCAATGCGTCTGTCTGCCTTTCTCAGGGTAGGCAGTCGGCTAGAACCTCTTTGGTAGAACTATTGAGGTACTCGGGGAAGGCAACATCGAAGCTGACGTGCATGTCACCTCTCTTGGAGGGCTGCTTGGGGTAGGGCAGACCCTCCCCGCTCACTCGCTTGACGGAGCTGGGCTTGATGATTTCCCTGCAGGGCAAAGATATCGTGCCGCCTTTGATGGAGGGCACCCGCAAAGTGGTTCCGGTCAGGGCCTGCAAGAAACAGAAATAGAAATTTAACACCAGAGAGTCGCTGATGAAATGAAATGTTGTTCAAGAGGTACATGTAAGTATCAAACTGTGTTAAGTTAGATTTGTTTAAGTACATTTTGGAAATTGATCAAGACTCTTAATTTTGAACTCTCTTAGAATTTTTTTTTTAACTTAAGAAGGTTCAGTTACTTAGAGAATACCTCTAATTTTTCTTTCATAATATGAGTTTCCTAACTCTTTATAATTCCTCCAAAATATCTTCTATTAAAAAATATGTGCACATTTATGTCTTACAGTTATGTCAGATCAATTCTATCGCTGAATAATAGCCTACCCCTAACAGTCCCAAATCCTCCGATTTCAATATGATTTTACATACACCCTAGGGGGTTTGGGGTAAACAAGCAATCATCCGAATGTTAACATGTGTGGACAAGCCTCATCTCATATCTCAAATGGAAAATGAGTATTTGTCCCCAGCTTAAGCCTTTATAAACTGAATGAAGACCCAATGATGCTCCAACCTTTATCTTGATTGAATATGATGATGTAGCACTTTTACACAGATAATTGGAGACGCAGCATAATGATTAATTAACAGGACTGGTGTGTGTTGCTTGAGGCAACAGACTATGTAGGCAAGGGACCATACAAATGCTGGGAAGGTCGTTCCAAACATCATCCGTTATCCTTCTGGATCCATCAAAATCAAGTCTTCGTGCATTTTTGCAGGGTTGATAAAGTGCAGCCCGGACACTGTTACACTGCATGAGGCTCGATGGCCCTTGGCAGTTTCGGTGCAAAGAATATGTGCCCTCTGTTTCCGCCCAAGTGGTGTATTTTGGAAACTTTTGGAAAGTTTAGTACCTACTAAGCATGAAGGCGTCCTGGAACTTACCTCTTTGAGTGATATCTTTGCTTTGTAGTGTAAGTTACTGCCGTCCCGCTTGAAATACTGATGGGGTTTGTCCTTTAATGTGAACACAATGTCTGCGGGGATCCGGTCTGGGTACTGGTCTCCCTCTTTGGGAAATGTGATTTTGGTTCCCGCTTTCCAGCCAGGCTTGACGTTGATCTCCAGTACTTTCTCTTCCAGTTTGGTGCTGCGGCCATCCGGGTTCAGCACCTGCCGGGAGATCTTCATCTTCTTGACGCAGCCGGTGTTAATGTCCTCCAGTGACACTCTGAGATCATGATGGACGGATGGGTCCTGGCGCTTGGCCCCCCTCTGCGGCATGCCGGTCATACCTGACATGCCGAAGCCCGGGAAGCCGAAGTCATCGTCGATCTCCATGGGGTCACCACCCGTCGAGAAGACGGTGCGGTGGTGGCCACTACCCCCTTGCCCACCAAAGTTCATGAAGATCTTGAAGGGGTCCTGGCCCCCGAAGAAGCTCTGGAAGGTGGCATTGGGGTCGCCGTGGTAGGTCCAGGACTTGAAGGAGCCTGAACCAGGGGCGGGGCCTCCACCCCCCTTCAGCCCCTCCTCGCCGTACTTGTCAAAGATGCTGCGCTTCTCCTTGTCGCTCAAGACCTCGTAGGCCTCTGAGATCTCCTTGAACTTGTCCTCGGCACCCTTGCTCTTGTTTTTATCCGGGTGGTACTTGAGGGCCATCTTCCGGTAGGCCTTCTTGATTTGGTCCTCAGTGGCATTGCGGTCGATGCCCAAAGTCTTGTAGTAGTCTTTACCCATTGTTAGTTGGACGAGGGCAAAGGGTGTCCCTCAGATGACTTTGGCTTCAAGTTTGACAGACTCACTCACGAGGTTCACAAACAACCTGGTATATGTACATGTACAAAAGGCAAAGGAGGTCTGAACGTTAAAAATTCTAGAAGTCATGGTCTGTCCGCCTGTCTGGATGACGTATAGCAGGTCACCAATTTCCAGTTAATCTCAAGCTTCCCTGCACAAAGTCAGAAACTGAAAACTCTGATAAGACCCTTTTCCATTAGGTTGAACAAACATACACAGACCTTTTAAAATAATTTTTTGTGTCTTAACCTCGTTGCAGATGTACATCAAGAATGTGGAAGTTTAATGACCTTCACTGATGTGCACGTGTACATGTGGTTACACACTAATAACACACAGCATACTCAACATGTACATGTGCTGGCAGTGTATCAAGGCTCATTTCTTGACTCACTGTTCAAGAATTTTATGTACTCAGGGGTCAGAAAGACATTATGCTACCAGTCCATGTGCAAAGGCACATGCTTGAAAACAGTTAACTTAGTGCCAGGGGCACCCAAAGCTGATGGACTAGGGCTTGTCCATAGGTTGCATACATTTCAAATGGGGAGGGGGAGGGATTACCAGACAGGGCAGGGGCCTCTGCTGGAGGCACATGGCCACATGCCCCCCTCGTGGCTGTAAACCCCACTGCTTAGAGTGGAGAGTTATTTGTAAATGACTGAAAAGACTGGTCGTGATGTGTGAAACTGAAAGTACATGTCCATATGTACATGTAACATGCATGCATATAGCCCCATAACTGCGTGGATCATGGCATTATGCATAAAATTAATCCTACCACTTAACCTCACCCTGATCCTGCCAACCAGTAACGCTTACGATACGCACAAAATGTACGTGCAAATATACTGTAAATATTAGGACACTACTCCACTATGAACTGACAGCATTGATATGACCAATGAATTCAACCATTTTAATTATGGATCCGGATTTCCTGAATTACAGCAAAGTATAATCCTTGACAACTTCGTTCAAGGAGGAAGCATGCATGATGCATGGATGGATGCTGATTCTTCTCAAAACAGATCTAATTTCCTTCAAAAGCTTGAGTCATGACTGGCTGTCCATCGCACGAGTCGTGTTGGAATGAGTAATTAGTGTCAGCGGATGGAATATTCAATTAAATCAAATATTCTGGTGCTCTGAAATTCCGACCATCTCAATGGCACGTTTGGAGTGTGCTAGTGAGTGAAAGAAGACAGCATGGGAATTTAATATTAGGATTTGGGGTTGGGGGATTACATGCTACGTGACACAAGCATGACGAGTAAAGTCACTCCTTGTCTGAGTAGGCCAAACCCGGACTCTACAAATCCCCTCTTTCGACATTGAAAGAGGCAAATTGTAGAGTCCTACCAATAGTTTATATCATGTCCTTACCCTATGATTACACACATTTCATGGAGAAATAGTCTATCCATCCCTCCATAAGCCTCATCGTAAATACTGCATGGGTGATCTTGGAAAATGGTAGAAAGGCATTGTGGGAAGGAAAAAGGGCAATATTTGCAAAATCACCCATGCAGGATTTGCGATAAGGCTTATGGTTACTTGCTTGGACTAAGCCCCTCCCATTATTTGGCATTATTTAAAATGTATCACTATCAATTGCATGTGAAAACATCATCTAGCAGGCCTAGAGCCTAATTTATGTGTAGAAAATGTCCCCACGTAGGCCCTAGGCCAATGTATAGGCCTAGTTCCACCATGGATGAAGGAAAACTGTTTTCCTTCCTCCATGGTTCCACTTACACAATGTACAGTTGCGGTGGAACGTAGAGGTTAGAACTAAGTTAGAGAAAGTATTTTACATATTTTGAGAAAATAATTAAAGAGTTGTCGATTATGTCTGATTGCGGAACGTTTTCGGTTTCTATGAAAATTCTCTACACAGGGGAATACAGCCAATAAAAACCGCAGCCAGTTACAGCTTCGAGAATGCTTTGATCTTGGCAAACCGAACTGCGCAGGAATCTTAAGCAAGATCAATAAATATGAAATCTGTCAGTCTTACCAATTTCTGAAGTCCAACACTATGTCCAGTGACAATATTCCAACTTCCAAACTAGTTCACGTTAGCAAGTTAGCGAGAACGGTAAGCAGTATCTTCAGCTTAAATACCGTTCGTAGAGCACTAGATTTTAGGCACACTGACAATGTGAAAAACTAAACACTGAACTACCTTTCTTGCTCCCGCTCACATTTATATAAATCAAAATCGAAAATTCTAGATATTAGTAGCGACTGGTAGAAACGACCGGTGACGCCTAGATTTTGTCTACGCACGTCGGCGCTGTTCCAAAGGCCAGGACGTGTTTACAATAATTTCCGTGGTACTACACGGCCCTCGTTTGTATGTTTAACCAATGTGGCATCCAACGGAACCAGCGAAATGGAACTTTCTGGACTTGAGATGACGTCATTGGAATGCCTCCAAAATAGACTCGCCTGTAGGTCGTTTCTGTGAGCAGTCACTGTTCTCTGTCATGTCTTCCCCAGCATCAATTTCGGTGTCGATGCACGATGGAAAATTTATTGAAATGGGGTCATATTAAAAGGGGACCGGAGGGGGTGTACATGCTTGAGTCGCGCGTCATCTTTTGTGCTGTTGGCAATGATATGGGGCTAAAACAAACAATGCTTTGTTTCAGAATGCCGCTGGGGAGACGAAAGTAGACTGGGTCGGGCCATTCCTCCATGGTCGGACAGACTTCATTTAGGAGGGGGACAGACCCTCCGCCCTCCCGTTTCCTGCACTCAGCAGCCCCCAAAACAGGAAAGTGTAGGTAGGTAGGCTATATTTTCAATTAAGTTTTCGATTGAATGGGGAAACTATCTTGTGTTCTGAGTGGGTGATAAGGGCGGTGGCATAGCTAGGATTTTACTGGGGGGCACAAGGGGGTACCGTGCTTCCAGTGGTGTGGTTTTTTGGGGGCAAGGTTTATTACCCTTGTTCAATATCCATTCATCTGGTTTTTTTTAGTGGGAGGGGGGGCCACCGGGAATTTGGGGGGGGGGGACGTGGCCCCAAGGGCCCCCCATGGCTATGCCACAGTATACAGCCCATAAAAGACAACAAATAGGAGAAATCCTATGGCAACAGTGTTACATACATAAAGAAGGGAGCCCTAGATTTTAACTTTTGGATTCACCACCGGGCAGATGACTGACATGCTCAATATCTGCGGGGTTCATGTTGTGAAAAGAGGGCAGGGTTGAAGGGAATTATGAGGGGAAACTGTGCTTTGACAAGACACACATTGGATTCAAATTTGCATGGCATTTCTTATCAGTAAGTAAGTCAAAGTTTCTCACAATTCAAATTCGACGTTTCCCCAAAATAGGGTCAGCGGAATAAAGAGAGCACTGCCTTTAGATTTATTGGGGGACTGACCGATTTTACAAGATTCAAATGCCAAAAAAACCTGGGGGTCCCTGCATATACGAATCCCCCATTTATCAAGCAAGCATTTAAAGGAAGGAAAATGTCCACTCCTAAGTAAACCTTTTCTGACGTGTATACATCCTCAACCAAGAAGAATAGATATTTTATTATTATATATTTATTATTATATATTTAACCAAGAGGAATAGAATTTCATCCATTTATAATGACACATTATACAGGCAGTTTGACTGTGACGAATATATAATAGAAAAATGTTTCTATAGTCAATTTTCAGAAATTAAAAAAAAAGAACTCTTAATGACAGGACAATTCAGAGATAGTTGTCTTACAAATAATAAATGTTTATGAGTGCAATGGTGTATAAAGAATCATTTTATGAAGTGACATGAAACATTTCATTCCAAGAGGCAAGGCTGAGTGGAATGAAACATTTTATATGTCACTGAATGGAATTACTGTTAGCACTGCACGAATGTGAACATTTAATATTTGTTCTATACAAAACCAACATAAAGCCTCTTCTGCTTGGATAAAAAATTAACGGTCCTCACAACTTACGTCCGCTAATTTGCCAAACAGATTTCTGTCTGAAGTACCACCCACTGGTGCCCGTTGCCAAGGGGAGCCGGGGGGGGGGGGGGCTGGCCAGGCCCCCTGGCGGGATGCTGCCCCCCATCAGTAAAAAGTATAAGCATGAAAAATAAGATTTGTTCCTGTGATGTGGGCCCCCCCAGCTGATACTGTGGCCCCCCTTAATGCCTGAAGCTGAAGACAGTGCTGGGTACCTTGTACCGGTACGTGTAGTTTCATGTAATATTACAATGGTTCCCATCACTACATTATTTTCCTCTTTCTTACAGTGAATGAAATATATGAAATGGCGACAGGAACCAGGTAAGTGAAATGAACTTTCTATTCAATGGTACCTATTGAATAGAACAAATGATTCAATGACACGTGATCAACATCCATCAATCAATGACAGGGATTGATGCAGGTACTGAAAAATCATATTTAGTCCAGCCAAAACAAAGATATTAAAATCCTCTCCCTACAAGACAAAAGTGTGACTATTATGTTACATCATTATTTGACATCACTAACTGGGCACTTTGAAAGTCAGAAATACAACAAAGACATAAACTGTACACAATGGTAAAATACTGTCATCTTTCACTATTTCTTGGAAATGTTAAACGTCATCTTTCACTATTTCTTGGAAATGTTAAATGTTATCTTTCACTATTTCTTGGAAATGTTAAAATACATGAACTGTGTTATCTTTCACTATTTCTTGGAAATGTTAAAATACATGAACTGTGTTATCTTTCACTATTTCTTGGAAATGTTAAAACACATGAACTGTGTTATCTTTCACTATTTCTTGGAACTGAATCAAAGAGATTACTTCAATACACCATGAATTTACTACAACTACTTAAAGTAGTTCCATACAAAACATATGACACAAAAAGTCTCTCTAACCAAGGCAGTACTGATACCTCCTTCTCTTTGAAATGAAAAAAAAATAATGCAGAAAAATCTTATTTCAGAGGTAGTAATATTCACGCTGTCACACTAGGCCAGGGTTGTCAAGTATGTATCCAGAAATAGGTTTTTGGAGGAGAGGAGGCCAATGTTCGGGCTTGTTATGTCCTGGAAGACAGTGAAATATCCCAACTCGCATTTTCACATTATTTTGTAAACGCTATGTACATGTTTGCTGTGGAAAGGGGGCACCCCTCCTCCCCAGGCCGACCTGGAGTCTGGGTCATGCCATGAATTGGAATCCAATGTGTGACACGTTGCTGTCTCTGCTACACCTGACCTGTGTAACTTGACGAGGAATACATGTATGTCACCGAAATTGACATCAAACTATTGTCAATATGTTTGGTGGGTAATCTGCACAACCTAATCACTCTCGGAAATTTAAGAATGTGTTTTAATCTAAGGAAATCATACTCCAGATGTCACTGGGTCAGGAAAACGTAGGACCCCAAATTTATAGAATGGCCCCCCTCTGCCAATGAGAGTAGGAGACAGACAAGGAAGGACCCCCCTACACACATTGCAGCAAAAGTGGGTAACACATTCAAAAAGTCCACACAGTCTTCTGAAAATTGTTGAACATTTTGTGAGTGACATTCTGAAAAATTATCTATTCTCGCTCCACCCCATCACCATTTAAACCTGATACAAACTAGTAAATAGTAGAAAGGTATTTTACAGCTTGAATTCCAATAGAAACATTGTTCTCCCTGCATTAGGCACATGATACAGTAAAACATGTAAAAACATCTGCAATTTTCATCATTTACTATCTATATTACGTTTAGACAGTTGCTAAAATATTCAAACAGCCACTTTAATTAACTTGTATAAACCATGATCATGGATGTTGAAAAATTCAGATTCGACATACATAAAATTCAATTTAATTTAATTTAATGCAATTGCACATTCAAAGCAATTGCAAGGTTTAGTGAAATTACTGCACCTAGCAATTAAAACAATTAAACTTATTTATTGAAAGATATCGACTAAATATCACCATTAAGTTCAAATATTCAGACTACCACACTGCCTTTCTAAACTACAGAGACCTCTGAGATCATTCAAGTTTCAGTAAACTAATACAACAATGTAGATTACTCCATGAGCAAAAACGTAATCAAAATATCCATTACTTACAAAAACTTTGTAGGGCTGCAAAAACTGCACCGTCTTCTGATGATGTAGAAATCTTATTTCAGTTGCTAGTTTCAGGTCAATATCCCAACCTTTTGGGAGATTTTCAGTGGGAGGTTCTGGATTGCGCTCAAATTTTCACAATGTGCAATACACTACTGATTAGGGGCGTAACCAAAAATCGATTTAGCAATCATCGTGATACAAGAATGCCACTTTTCGTCATCGTGATACATAAAATCTCTATCAAGGTATTCGGTAGTAAACAAACTTGACACTTGGCTGTGAACAAACATGCTCAAAACGTGGACTGTTTCCACCAACAAAAGATGGAGGGCAGTTTCTGCATCCGTTTCTGTGGACAACAAAACTTGAAAAGAGTAATAAAATAAGGCATTGAGGATTTATTACTTGAGCTCCACAGGCAATGGAGAAGGAGACACTGCCTTGCCCTTTCATGAACAAAGCTCCAGCCCTGTGAAAAAATACATTTTGAAACATGACACGCATTAAAAACCTGGCAGAAAAATTCTGAACACGTAAATGCAGGTCCAACGGTTATTGTAACTGCCACATCTTTTGTTCATGACATGTGTTGCGATCAGTGTTGTAGTCAAGACCAGCCACAAGACCAGCCACAAGACCAGACACAAGACCAGACACAAGACCAGCCACAAGACCAGACACAAGACCAGCCACAAGACCAGACACAAGACCAGGCACAAGACCACACACAAGACCANGACCAGACACAAGACCAGACACAAGACTATCCACAAGACCAGCCACAAGACCAGCCACAAGACCAGACACAAGACCAGGCACAAGACCACACACAAGACCACACACAAGACCAGCCACAAGGCCAGACACAAGACCAAACACAAGACTAGACACAAGACCAGCCACAAGTAACAGTGTGAAAACTGACCAAAGGAATGTTTCTGTTGCAATTCATTTGAATAGGTTGTGGCTTGAATTCAGACTGGAGGTCTTGTGTTGGTCTTGTGCTGGTCTTGTGTGGTCTTGTGAAGGTCTTAAATGGTCTCGACTACAACACAGGTTGCGATACGTATCGTGTTGTGACAATAGTTACACACTGTTTATGCTAAGATGAACATTTATATCATTACTTCCCTACCACTGACCCCTGTTATCCGTACCTGAGCAAACAGAGGTCCAAGGGGGGTTCCGACGCTGTCTTTCTAGTAACTCGCGTCCTTTTCTTTCAGGTCCATATTAATTTCATTGTCTGAGTCCTTCACTTCACTGCAGAGGAAACAACAAGTTAAAAAAATCTAAGGTGGTGGGGAATTTGCCCAAGCCTTTTGCAAATGCACTGACTTCAAACCTCACGATAACATTCCTTGCATTTGTTTTCCAGAATGATTGATTCTGACCCAAAAGCACGGATATATTTGGTGCCCTCTCAAAGCAGTATTGATATTTGATCGGTGTTGAAGTTAGGGATGCTTTTACGCTTAAGTTTCCAAGTTTGCTCTTTGGGGTTCTTTATTGGTGATTGGACTGTGAATTTTCGGATTTGAAGACCATACTTTTTTCTCCTTACAAATCAAATCTATTCTAGCGAGAGGCAAAAACTGGAGAATGTAAACTTTAAAGAGATGGTAGCTTGATGTTTGCTTGAGATTTGAAAAGGTAAAAAGAGTTTGTGGGGTGCTTCCAGGTGAAACCTCAAATAACCACTGTTTCATAAGTACCTGGGACAGTTTTCTATTCCTATTGGTCAACATGCGTCACGTGACAGTGCATAAACATTTGATAACGCCAGCTGCATAAATCAAGCGCTGGCACCTGGATACGAGACAGTTCAATCGGGTCTGATGGGTCAGGAGAGTGTGTGCAGACGACACGCCACGCACACAGCAAGTTCATCGAAGAGGATTCTATTGGACAACTTTCAAAAGGAATATACCATAAAATGGACGGGGGTGTTTGGGAAAATGAAAGTAAAGTTTTAGAACAAAATCGTTGGAAATCCATCACATGTTGACTTCTTTTGACTCGCTGAATAAAAAGGTATTTATGAATGGGAATAAATATTTGCTTGGAAGTTGGACAGTCTTAAACTATCTCAGGAGAGTTAACCTAACTCAGGTGAACGAACGCTGATAATTCCCTCACCTGTGGCTCAGGCATTAGTAGCGTCCATTCTCCTGATCTGGTCTTAAACGCACATTTAAGTCCGGCCAAGCACATATTTATTCCTTTATTCAATTTTGAATTTGTCCCTAATAAGAGGCTTCTTGGCTGCTCGTTGTGGCTTACCGCTCCTTTTTCTTCTTCAACCAATAGGCAATCCCGATGACAATGATCAGAACCACCAATACACCCACAACAACGCCAGCTATAATTCCGACTGTATTGTTGGCCACTGGGGGCGGAACTGTCTTTTTAGGGCCTGGTCTCTTGGTCGGTGAGGGTGTCACTGGCTCAGGCCCCATTGCTGTGAACAAAATGGCGATAAAGCATGCCAATGAACTGGGCGGTGTATATGGCCAGTGGTACAGTGTAGTTGAGATCATCCTAAGTCCAAAGACCAGTCACAAGGAACAGGGTGTACCAAGTCAAAGGAAAGCTTTTGTTACAGTTCATGTGAATAGCTAGTGACTTGAATTCAGAGCATCTCTGAAAACAAAGCAAGACTTATAGTTTTTACATCCAATAAATGTGACCGGTGAAACTGTATTGAGATTGTTGCTGTAATGTGTTCACATGCTCGACAAAACTGTGAATTCCCACAAAACATGGACGGGGTTTTAGAGCAGATCTTGCCACTCACCTTCATACATCAGCGGCTCGCTCCAACTAAGAATTGCTTCCTGAAAGAAAATTATTCCATGATCCATTATTGTTTCAGTAAATTTATCTCTCCATAAGTAGGAGACTTATGTATCTATGGCAATACTGGTGATGCATGGATGTGATGAAATTAAGTACCGTTCTCCATGCCATCCTAGACCTGAAACCCCAAATCTGTGTCCTTTTCAGACCGAAATAATTCATTCCTTGGTACAGTGCACTTTCAGAAGTCTCTTAAAATACATGGCCGTTCCTTGGGATTCATTTCACAAAACACTTAAATTTGCTATGAGAGGATAATATTTGGTTACCAGCGAAAAATACCATGTAATTGTGTCTTCTGTGTGACAGGATCTTGGCAGTATTCTGCTAAGCACAAAAACCCAGTAAGCAGTATTTCTGCATAGCAACCCTGTAAGACCGGCCCAGTTTTGTTTACAAGTGATGAGAATTATGGTGCCTGTGGACTGTGCCATTTTCATTGGTTAAGCAAGGACCAAGTTTGATCAACGACCACTTCGTCAATCACTAGCTGGTTGATTTTTGCCTGGTAGCCTGTACACAAAAGTGTATACAAGTACCAGGCACAATGACTCAAACACTCAATACAACTGACCACAAGGGAACCTGTCCACCAAATATAATCAGGGTGCCAGGGCAATGTTCCAACAGTTGATTGACGGTCAAGGAGTGAACCTATCCCCTCCCCACTCACCGAGTCTGCTTCACTCTTGGCACCGACCCTCACGCTGTAGTTGCCCTTCCCCAGTGGGGCATTCTGCCAGCCCCCATACATCTTCCCGTCTCCGACCAGAAACCCACCGTTGTTCTTCTTTTTTTCAACCTCAGCGGCGATGTAAGCGTCTGGGTTCTCACTGTACGTGCCATATGACTCCCCGTCAATCACCACGGCCGCCCGCTTTTGCCTTGCCAACATCTTCCTCACAGCGACAAGAAAGGACCTGAATGACAATGACACCGACCATCTTTCTGTAAAGCTTTGATTTTGGACTTTATGGGCGGCATCTGGTAGAATTTCCTGATAACACTGCCTCAACCCAAAAGTATAATCTGCTATACTTGCACAAAACAACAGTTATTATTTATAGAGTGTATATATATCCACCATTAATTTTGATCAAGGCATTGTAATGTTTATACCCCTGCTGATCGGGCCTGTCAACATTCCAAAAACTATGCTCCGATAGTCTCTCAGGCCAGGACATGTACTTACGTGACATAAGTGGGGTCTGTGCTGTGAATGTAGATATAAACACTGGTCTCTGACGACCTGGAAGGGTCATGTGGAGGTGTGTCTGGCTCGGGAATATCTGCGGCCAACAAATCAAAATGGGGCGTCAACAAGAGACGTCGCTTTATTTTTTTTATAAAAGGTTTTTTACGGTATGCCTACTGTGCATACAAATCACTTTAGTGCTTAAGATGGACCCTGTGCTGAAAATTACTTGCCACATCCGCCACATGCTCCATGTTAACGTGAGCGCCATACAGTTTTGTGCACATTCAGATGAAAATTGATCTGTGAGCCCTTCCTGAAACTGCACAACTGGGAGGATTTCTGTTAAGAGGATGTTCTACATATGGAATTTGGATAAAAATAACGGCAAATTTACCCTCGAAAAGCCTGGGGTTTTTTTTGGAGCATCTCACAGCGGGGGGGGGGGGGAGATGAGGTGTACGTATGGTTTTGTTGATATGGTCAATGAATTTCAAGGCTACAAGCCCCATGCCTGGAGCATGCCAGTGAAAAACCACACATTTTCTGCTCTGGCAAAATGAGCTTCGAATGAGAAAAGTACGTCTGTTTTTCACAATATAGGTATTGGCACCAGGTATTAATAATTAACATGAAGGCTTGGCACAAGAAAAACAAATATACTGCAAGGATATGGGAGCAAATGTCAATTAAACAAACAAGATTCAGTTGTTCCATTTCAAAATCAGAATGAAATCTTTAACCTGTCTTGGGTTTAGTGAATGCCTCGTGCATAACAAACTCCCCTTCTCCCGGTGACGTCAGGGCGGCCACACGAATCCTGTACTTTGTGCCTGGGTCCAGAAAGTCTACCTGGTAAGCAAAAACCGCCGGTCCGACAAGCCCCGCCTCGGTGTACATCGTCGGAGGTGAAAAGGTGGGATCGTAAGGTTTCTCAATGGCTTTGTACTGGACCTGAAACAAGGACAAATTGTGTCAACAGTTTGATTCCCCAGTCACATCTCTTGAAGAACACAGCTGGATGATGGAGAGAAGCTCATTTTTGTCACCCCCCGTGGTCACGGCCATTTCTCCTCCCCCCCCCGACTGAAGTAGCTATAGGCTTGAAAACCTTAAAAAAGTACATTCCAAACAAACAGTGCGGCATGTGACCTGATGAATCAATTCGAATTGTGTTGAAGGTAATGCCTTGAGAGTGCTATTTGTAGCAGGTATTTTTCCCCATGACTGCTGTGGGACCTGGGATGTCTGGGGGGGGAACAAAAGTCCATGTTTTTCCCTTCAGTTTCAACAATAGTACCAGCAATTGGCTGTGGACTTCGGCAGAGTGAACTTTGGTAACTTGCTCCCCTACCCATGACTTCTTGATACACCACTAGTGAAAATGCACTATTTCCAAACTGGCCAACGGATCTTACAAGCATGCTTACACCACAAAATTCTCACTTCCCCACCCCTGATATTATCTTTCTTCCGCAGTGTCTTACGGTATAGTTGAGGATGACTCCATTGGGGGTGGTTGGTGTTTCCCAAGCGACGTCCAGCGTCGTCTCTGTCTTGTTTGTGACGGTCAAACTAGCGGGTGGTCCTGGAACTGTGGAGCAAAGAGTACCAATTAGCTGTCCATCCTGAAATCCTCGGCCTCTGAGCTAGGTAACTTCCTTTAACTCTTCCACTGAGCACAACAGGAACGGAACATCATACTCTAGGCTTTCATCAAGGGCATCAAGCCCTATGTAACGGACCACAGGTGGGATCTTTCTTACTCTTTCAAATTCCTTCCAGAGAGATTTTGAACAATCTGGGAGAGAAAGTATTCGAAGCAGGCCTGTCAAATGCGAATTCTATTGGCGGCAAAGCTAAGGTGTGTATTTCATTACCACTGGACAAAACTGGAATATCCAACCTACAGCAGAACCAGGAATCAGATTTTGGACAAATTGAGAGGAAGCCAAGAATGGATGAGAAGGGTTCATACAGTCATGAACATGCACCTGAACAAGAACATTCTACCATCCAATGACCCAGTTCTCTTTTCTGACTACAAGACTACCTTCGAATGGTGTTACTGCGGATGGAGAACGTACCATCCTCAGAAGTTCTGGCCTCGACGGGAGTACTGAATGGTCCATTGCCCGCTTCCGTCCTCATCTGCACCCGGAACGAGTACCTCGTGTAGGGGATCAGGTTTTCGAACCTCACATAGGTCCCTATGTAGTCATTGACAACGGGCTGGCTAGTGTTGTCCACATTGTCCAGCCTGTAGCGGTAATCTATCAGGCGGCTGGACCAGGAGCCCTCGCTGCAGTCGGCTCGGGCGAAGGAGAAGTGCAGCCAATTCTTTGTACGGGACTCCACGGTCACCCGGATCGGGGCATCTGTTGGAGCTGAGAAACAATAATCACAGACAGCATGACGAACTTGGCGAGAATCTTCTCTGGAAGTAAGGCTAGGTCTTAAGTCCCTGGCTACGGCTCGAAATCATTCAAGTGTGCATGACAGCCGCTGGCTGCTGGCAAAATCCGTTTCCAGATATGCTATTGCTAAGCCATGGCCAAGTTATTTGGATGCTGCATAGTAAGGAAGGGCACCCATCACATTATGAGGTCTAACGAATGCTGAGGTAGCATCCTTCGTATCTACTAAACAAAGTCACTTTATTGTGGGGGGGTTCCCATGGGAAAGCCAATTAATTAGGCAAACATACCTCTCTGAGCTGTGTAGAAGACTCCAATCCTACCGTCGCTATAGCTGAAGCCAGCTTCATTATGTGTCCTCACGTACAACTTATAGGTTGAGTAGGGCAGAAGTCCTGTGATGGTGTAGTTCATCACGGTGGTGTTGGCAGCCACAACTTGTTCCCTGTTCTCATCATGGTCACACTGGAATTTATCCAGTAGGGAGTAAGACACTTGGTAAAAGTCGACCGGGCAGTAGGGGTTGTCAGGGTCCTCCCAGGTTACCAGCAATGCACTGGTGTTGTCGTCAATGGCTATGACATTGTAATTGGTGACGATGGTTGGGACTACAAAGGTGATGGAAAACAAGATCAACTTAAGGGACCAATGCATCTTACATACAGAGAAACCATGATTGTTTGGGGACTGACACCACATGACACTATAAGGCAGATTGTGAAGAATTTTTTTGACTTACCATGTTCAGTAGCACCCAAAAAGGGTGATCGATTTAAAAAAAAGCCCAAAATGTATCATTCTGGTGTAATATTCTGCATGACTGTAATACATATTACAGATGTACATCTGTATCATGACCATCATTCCCGTAATTTTTTTTCTCACCACGAGAAAAATTGGAGGGGAGGGGATGATTCGATTACCCCCCCCCGTCAAAATTGAGGAGGGATATACATGTATGTCCCCATCCCCCATGATTTATACCCGTGAAAATGTCCATCTGCAATTCTCTTTCTGCACTGCACCTATGAGGTCACAGCAATACACTGACGCCATGACTTACTTCGTGACAGGGTGGTAAATTGCATTTTCTCACTCCGCGGTCCATTGCCTGCTCCTGTCACGACGTAGATCTGAACGTTGAAAGTCATGCAGGGATTGATATACCTCGACGACAACTCAGTGATGTCAATGTTGGTCTCACTTTCATCAAACGTCTCTCCAGTTTGATTATTGGTAAACTGGAGGGAATAATACCTGAAGTTTCCGTGTACGTCTACGCAGGGAATACGGGTCCAGTTTAATCGTGCCATGTGTTGGGTGACCTCTACGACCCCAGGTGCTGGCAGGGCAATGGGCACTGTAAGTCGCAGAAAAACAGACAGACAAACCGACAGTCTCTGATAAATGGAGTCAACACCTGTGCAGAGTTGCTAAACACAGAAGCTTTTCGTGCAGATAAAAGAGGCCATGTTATGAATATTGCGTGTGACCAGGTTACCTGCTTAAGTACGGTAGGCAAAAGCTACACAAAGACTGTTGACCGCAGCATATTTTAGCCAGGGTCCTTTCACAGTACGGTATCATTCTGAACAAACTAACTGATAGATCTACAGCAGAAAAAGAATAGTTGCCACAAATAGATAGTCTTCAAAAAAATGGAATTGGAGGCTTTTAATCCAAGTCTATTGAAACTTTTGTTCATGCAAAAACTACGTGAGTACAGGGAAGAGGGACAGGATAGGGGCTGAGGGTCATAACCTTTGACATTGTGCCTCCAAGGTCACAAACTCTGAGATATGACAGGATGGAACCATGAGTGAGCAAGCTTTAAGCATCTAACCTCCTCTTCTACTCTTTTGCATGCTACTCACATGTTTGGCGGGTCACTTTGGTTTCGAATTTGATGGTGGAGTTGCCAAGCTCGTTGCTAGACATAACGGTCGCGTTGTACCTCATATAGGGATCCAAGCTGCCAAAGACCACCCCAGTGGAGGAGGAGTTTACTGGCACCACCATTGTTCGGGTTACTGGCGAATCAATGCGGGTCCCGCAGGCTACCAGTTCAACCGGTGTGAAGGTAACATAGAACTCTCTGATGCAACGGATGCGGACAGATGGATCCACCCAGCGAACACGAAGGTCTAGCGAATCGTCTACATATTCAATGTAGACAGAGGCAACTGCTGGTGGCTCTGTAATGAATGTTGGAATAGATTTCTGTCATCAGGCCGCTGAAACAGAGTTACAGTAAGCTTAACCAAAGTTGGCAGTTGAGTGGATCGGTGATTTTGGCTAGGTGCAAAAAGCCACATAAAAGTTCAACGAATGTATTCGTGCTTGCACAAGCAAGCAAAGAGGAAGTGAATGAACACCTTGTATAAATTACATGTAGCTATGGACTGTCCCGTGCAGTGAGCATCATCAACATTGAGAAAAACAGACAACTCAAAAGCTCCATGGGCAGTTCACGTACCTGTCTTAGGGGTGGTCACATGTAACTCTTCACTTTTTGGACTGGTCAAGAAGGAAACACTTGCGAACCACGCCTGAATGTAATACTCCGTACAAGGTGCTACCAGCGTCAGGTTATAGGAACCTGGCTCTCTATCCACCCACAGCAAAGAGAAGCTGGGCGCAGTGGATTTCTTCCATTCTACAAACATTTTGGGAGCTAGCTCTCCGCAGCCCCAGGTTGATGGGGGAGGTAACTGTGTATAAGAAATTACAGAATGCGACCCCAAAGTTTTGTGTTAAATAGACCTAAAGCATCACCAAGCTTCATTTACATGTGCACTTTCCTACAGGTGCTCAATTGCATTGTAACTGTCTGCCATAGGATGGCATATACATGTACATGTAGGTAAACAAAGCATGAAATCATTATGTTACAGGTCAGTTGTCGAATAAACAACACAGAAAACTGATCAGGTGCCACATGATTAAAAAAAAAAAGACTAACAATGAAACTGACAGGAGTGCGAGTTCACTCTGGAACTTTCACAACAACGTAGCAGCACTGTACGGACTGACACACTCGGCCCTTTCCGTCATGGTTGAAACTGTTTGTCAAGACACGCTGACAAAATGGGATGAAACCTTAATTCTCATTGACACGTAACGTACATGTAAGTGCAACGCTATCAGCGCCTAACCCGCTCAGAGCGAGACAAGATGGCGGTCCCTTGGTGGGAATCCACTGTATGTGCGCATAAGTTCATGCACATTTTACACGAGACACGCAGAGTATACAGAACTAATTTCGTTTGAATGTACAATCTTTGGATGCATGCCTTGCTCGTGCACCAGCCCGCCTGGTATACTTTCATTCACCCAGCCTATCTCCTGAGTGCAGCTGAGGGTGGACTTGAACCTTCGGTAAATGGATTTTGCAATCAGTCCATGAACGAGTGCTCCGCATAACATCTGATGAGGCCGTGATTATTTCACACTGATCTGGATCTCAATCAGTGATCCCATTGCTGGTTCGCTCCATCCATTTGGCAGGTTTTGGTGTCCATGAACCAATGACAAATCACTGATCGCCATCCAGATCCGCGCGAAACAAACAGGCCCTGACATTTCAACCCCATGATTTCTACGGATTGGAAAGATTTCAAATATTGTTCTTACCTCCCAGGTTATTTCAATCTCCTCAAGCTCAATTCTTCTGGCACTGAGTGTCAGTGGTGCTGTTGGAGCTACCAAAAAAATGATAAAAGAAAACTGCACCGATTGGAAAATTGAGCTCAACCAACTCGCTTTTAGGGTGCATAGGGTAAAGTTTAACATAATCAACTTATTATCAACTGTCCTACTTTTATTTGTAATACACTGTACAACAACAGATGTCTTTGTTCTAGACGTAATACAGTGCTCCATCCTGCCGGACCCACTTTGACGGATCAAAATAGGGAAGGAGGAGGATATGAGCCCAGACCTGTTGGTAAAAGATGCAAGGAGAGAGGACATGACATCAACTCCCTCTTTCTCCAGCCCCCCCACCTAAAAACAATTTTGTTGATTGATTCTGTTAATTTTAGCAGCAAATAACAAAGAGAATCTCTGTTTTCTGTGACAGAGTCCAACCACTGATTGTGAAGTTGCCGAAACAGTTGGCATACCGGTATGTACACAACAGGTGTTATGGGTACTCAAACCAGCGGTGAAATTTGACCAAAAATGTGGTCAAGCAAAATGCACCAGCACAATAGATTTTCCTTTGCCTCCATCAGCTTCCATCAGGTCACATGAGAACACACCCTCAAGAATTTAAAAGCCATTAAACGAGTAAAACCACCAACAGGATTACCCATTGAGGGACTTTTAACTGAAACTGCTTCAGACACTTTGCTCGACCACATCTGCCTTTAATTGGAAGCACTAGAAATGGTTGGAAGATGTCCAATATCCAATTGATATCACATTCTGCAAACCACATATATACTAGTACTTGTTCTGGAGTTACGTGATATTTTGCCAATTTTGTGGGGACAGAGAAGACTTTGTGAGGACAGAGAAATGTCCCCACTACTCAGTCCAAATTTTATATTTACCCAGTAACCCAGTGGAAAGCCTATCCACAATTACCGAGCTTTACATTGTGTGTTTCATGCACTTTTGTAAATTTTTTTAAAAAGGAAATTTTATGAAAATGCTTTGCTGGCATGTTGGCATTTTTAGTTAAGAGAGAATTAAAGGCCAGTTTATACTTCAGGTGGATGCAAAGCAAATTTGACACCACAAAACATTTGCAGCAACCTTTACTCAAGTGAAAATGCGTTCAACTTTTGCAAATTCACAGCAGAAAATTTGAAGTGATGTCAAAAAAATTTCATTTGTGATCACTTTTGTGTCAAGTAAAAACTGGCCCTCAGGACAAAGGGTAAATTAAAAGAATTAAAACAAAAGCACAAAGCTTCACACCTGGGCACAATGTCTTGATGGTCGTTTTATTGGTGGGAGGCCCCGCCCCTCCCACACCCTCCCTCACCACCACAACAGCAAAATCATAATCTGTGTACGGGTCCAGGCCTGTGATCTCCACAGACGTTGTGACATTGGAATCCACGACGCGAGTGAAGTTGTAGCTGTCATCTCCTTCTGTGTCGTTTGCATAACGGTAGACTGCCTCATAGCGCAGGATTGGGCCATCGCCGCCGCCGTTCGATTCCCAGGAAAGCCAGTTGAGGGTGAGTTTTGTCGGGTCAGAGTATGTGTAGGACACCTGAGGGGGTATCCTCAAATAAGGCAACACTGAAAAGAGGAAACATACATTCAAGGAATTCTAAGTAAATTACTTTGAACCTCTAAGCGTAAATTACACAAATCAGTGGCGTAAATCTGCACCAGGAACTGGGGATGGAGGCTGACTTCATATTCCTCAGCCACAGAAATTTGAGAGCAAGGGGGAGATGGTGGACAGTGCATGACATCAGGGGCTACTGTTCATAATAGAGATGTACATGTACATCTTATGGTGTATTTAAAGTGTTATTTTTACTCAATTTTTTATTCACTTTTCACGACATTCCAGAAATACCTCCAAATCTGCCTATTTCCAGTATTACAAAAAGTGTAGGACATTAGCCAATAGCCAATTCCTCAAACGATCAAACTTTAAGTGGGGATACATACATATACACTGTATGTATGTACTAGTACCCAGCCCCTTCCGGATTTATGCCCGGTACAAATCATGAATGTGTGCAAAAGCAATGGTAAAAATGACTTCAAGAGGTAGCAGACTTAATAGTGTTTCACTCAGTCTGTCACCTCATGAAATAATTCTTACCATTGCACAAATGTGAAACTTTCCTTGTTTTATGCACTGTCTGAAGAAAACAAGTCACTGTTTTACTTCCTTGGCTGATCAAAAAGCTCCAACTGCACCTTCTCTGCATGCGCATGGTGTTATTTGCCTGTGTGGACAGCTGCTATTAAGCGTGATAGTACGGTATCTAAGGTGCGTATGTTAAACGGTCCCATAACTGAGTATAAGGAACAGGTCAATAACACATGATCCACGATTGCCAATCAGATCACAGGTATTTCAGATGTTGTGTTTAAAATCTTTTGTTTTCCATTCCTGCTCACTGTCCTTTGGCTCTGTGTCTTGATCGGATGGCTACGGCTTCAGTTTTGGCCCATGGCACCCAACGGTGAACAGCCATATACATGTGGCCCTATAGATGATTCCAGTTTCCAGAAATGGCTTGGACATGAATAACAGCAGAATGCACATAGATGAGCTGGGGATACCAGTCCATGCACATGCATTGGGATCCCCAGCAGGAAACCACGTATTATTAATGCACACATGTACTGTATGGACTACACGTAGCATGACTGAGGTCACAAGTGCATGTCTACACACCTGAGGGGTCTATCCTAATGACCTGTCATGATAGAATCACATCAGTGCCACTTACAAAGTGTTGTTCAGTTACATGTGCATGTTATATACGAAATAGATGTGGGATGCGCAAATTCTGAGATAATACCTGTACAGTACAAAAAATCTCATAGGGTTTTCCTTAGGGGCGTGGCTAAAGTTCACAAACAGTGATAGGCCAATGGCCAAGGGTAATGGGACCTTCTTCTGGCCAATCACAGGCCCCAGGCATGTACATTGTAAATGTACATGTACAGTATGTTCACCCAGCACTGCCTATGTGTCAATTTAGTTAACACATATGGGACTGTATGGGGTGGCACATGACAGGGGTTGCCATAATCCAGTCCTGTCTCCTGCGACCACGGCTTCAAATTTTGATCAAAAGAGGCAGCGGTGGAGAGCCGTAGCCAGTGGTCAATACTTGTGCACGCTGTAGTCCCACAAAGAGATGCCGCACCGCGTGTTGTCAACATCATGTGCAACATAAACCGTTGAAAATATTTCTTGTTGGGGTTTTCATGAAGATGTATTTTAGTAATTATAGCCTCATATGGATTTTATTATAACAAAGAAGGAACCAGGCCATGAATAAGCATTTCGCTTTCTGTCTAGTATTCGCCAATCATCATCTATTATTTCATTCAGTAATAACATTGTTTCTTTATGTTCGAATTATGATGTATGGAAATAATTTAAGCTAAACCAAACCAAGATGTACCCCTCATAAACTGTATATTTGCAATGGGCATTAATAAATGACGCAACACATGATAAAGCCCAAAGTAGAAGAGTTTTTTAAAGTGATATTGAGCCATTTATGCAGCATCTTCATTAGAAGCCAGTATCGATCCTTGACATAAAAATCTTTGACATCATAAACTGATTTTTATCGACACCATTAAACCCCAACTAAATTCTACACTATTCGAATATCAACTGGAGTTTCGGTTACGCAATAAATCGCTGTGACAGAATAAAATTACAGCAAACCAGATTTTTAAGTTCGTAAATCTGGCTTTGAAAACATTTCTAAGCTAATTACCATCAGGTTGACCTTTGGTTCAATGCTGGCTTCATAATGTGTTTCACATTCTTGTGAAAACCCCGGTTGCAAGAATATATTGATTTGTTTTACAGGAAGAGAGGAAATGAACGAATTTTCACTGCTCAAAAAAGGCTACTGCATATTTGATTACATAAGATCATTGACTAACAAAATAATCCATCACACGTCTCATTTCCATCACAAAAGTTCACTGACGTTCCAGGTATGACCCTGAACAATAAGCAAAACTAAGTTGAGGAAGGAAACATACGTGCAGGGGGTGTGGACATGCATGAGTGACAGAATTACTTGTGCATGTACACGTATGCCAGTCCACATGTGTTTTTATCACACACAAGTCCTTGTCCAAAATGTAAGATAAGAAAAGTAGCTTTGCAGGGTGTACAACTGACCTATTTTAATTCAACAATTTTCAGCATGCTTTCACTTTCCCTGGATTCTTAAGTTTCTGACATGTTCACTGTTCTCGTCATGGGAGGGCGATGTTACTAGTCACAAATTCTGAGTCCAAGTCCAAGCAGGCACTTGACAGGTATGTACACGTACTCCAGAAATTATGCATGCCAAATGTCTAACCGGCACACGGCCAGTTTTTATGCAAATTTCATTCATGACCTATGAATTCCTGAACCCCAAAAGAGCCAACCAGGACAACCAGCCAACTAGAGGGTCGTTATCATACACAAATATTGACTGCCACTTGAGTGGTTTAGTAATTCAACTCTCCAACAAGGGATACAACTGTCGATATCTCTCCCATACAAGTTGGTCTTGCTCAATTTAAGTGATAACCGATTGATTTAAATACAATGAAAACGTTAACTCTCTTTGAAATACGAATTTGTTGCAAATTCACTGGTACTTTTCCATACTACCCCCGTACAAAATTTTGGAACCCTGCTCTTAGGAATACGTGCAATGCGCGAACACCCATTGCTACGTGTGGGTGTATGTTTACATGGACTTTGGTTACCATGGGCACTCATTAGCTCTTTTGGCTGTGCACAGTACAGCAAGATAATGTCAGCGAATGCCATACGCGATGTGATCTGGCGAAGTCCTTCAAATTCATATATGTATTTGTCATTTTTGTGCTATTGTCAAAGCTCTTCTGTTCCTGATTCCAAGGTACATGTATGTCTACCTGAAGTACTGGAATCAGGCTGTCACAAGCAGTCTTTAAAGTTCCAACATTTTATTGAGTTTGCCCAAAAAAAGGGAAGATTGCAAATCTGTATTTGTAAATTAATGAAATTTGTATAAAAAAACAGAAAAAAATGGCAGCAAATTGTTAAATTATCCAAACACATCTAAAGCACCATTTTTCCATCCTTTTCACATTTGGTGAGGTGATTTTGTTGAAAATAGTTTTCACAGTTCATGTGACTAACTCTTGACCAATCAAGAATCTGTCGGCAGGATGTTATAATGGCTGTCAATGTTTTTATCAGGGTGCCTATGGCTTCAGTTTTGGCCCATGGCATGCAATGGCTAACAGCCTTAGTCTTGCAGACAACAATGTCGTTTTCCAGAAATGGCTAGACTGCAGAGCAAATGAGCTACATGCATTGGGGCTCCGAAGTCTGCTATACACTTATACAGACTGAGCGTTCATGCCATCGGCAGAGAGGCTTTTAGGGCTGAGTCAATTTGATAAATTCATAATTTGAATATTCAATCTTTGATTTGATCGAATATCCAAATATTCGGTCTTACCGACCGGCAGATTGTTGATGAACAAACCATATATAGTTGCAATAACATGTGTACACAATTGTACATTATGATCAATAGAATAGCTTCTCACAACTAGGAGTACATGTATCTCCAGCCATGATTTAGCAAGCTTTCACAGATGAACAAGATTCTTGCCCTGTTGAAAATTTCTACTCCTTTTAAGTTGTCTAAAGAATAGTTTACTTTTTAAATTGTAAGATTTCTGATGCTTTTCACTTGAATCTGCTTGAAATCAGCCTCCATAGTGCCATTTTTCTCATTTAAAACAAGAAGAAACTTTTCCCTCCCTTTTCAAGAATTGTGCATTCGAGTATTTAAATTCTAAAAATATTTGAATCTTCAAAAATCGATCAAATATTCAGTTATTCAGCACAGCCCTTAAAACTTTCGGGCAGTTTTCTGCACAAGACCCACAATTTGGACCGCAGCCTAGTACCTTTACCGGCTTTGCCAGGCCAAATCACTTGGCTAGCACTTGGGGTGAACATGAAACCTGCTGGCTGGCACAAATCTGGAGACTACATTATAAGTACAGCAATTTTGACGTTCCGATAGTGAGAAAGAAATGCTCAGACAACAACGAAATTTAGTACTGTCTCACTTTCCTCCATTTCTCAATTTACCTGTGTGCCGCATATTGCTAAATTCTTGCAACAAACCACTACGCCAGCACAACCAGCCAACAGCAGGCACTCACCAGCAGCTCACATTTTCAAGCTTTAACCCTGCTCACGTGATGCAACCATAACGGCTTCATTAAACCCTCTTGCCAGGCAACGGATGATGTACATTTGTACATGTAGCTTTGGATGAATAAAGTGACGCATGTAAGGCTGGGCAGTATTGTTGACAGACGTGCAAGTTGTTCAAATGGACGTGAATCATGACCCACACCCAAAATATGTTTGACACGTCTATGGGCAATTTGATTTTGACTCTACAGGGGAGGAAAAACATTACGTTTGATCAGAAAATTTGGAAACTTGGAAGTGTAGAACTTACTGATAGAACAATTTGTTTTGTACACATTGGTGGAAATCATGCATACCAGCAACAGTATTGGTACACATGCCTGTGTGGAAGCAGTGAAATGTTAAGCATTTCTACATGTATTTCAAGGCTACATCCCTGAAGGTTTACGTGACGGTTTCATTGGTTATTCAATGTTGGGCTAGCATTGTGCAGTGCACAAACACACACTGTACCCGTACGTGATCTGTACAACTTTCCACTCATTGTTGCAGCCAACCGGACAAATGAATTGAATGTGCATCAGTGCATCACGTGAGGCGGTAATTGGTGAAGTGCTAAAGGTCACACAGACAATGTCGTTAAAACCACAAGTAAGGACAAGCGAAGTGAGAAATCAGACTGCATTGTCTGGCTCTGGGAAATCAAGGATGGGGAAAGGGAGTTAGAAGCTTATTCACGCTAGAGTTACTCCACAAGATTTGTGGCACCAGCGCGTGCTGCTATTGTGCACATTTAAACTGTACAACTGGTACCTCTACATTTACTAGTACATGTATGATGTGTACAGTATGTGTAACATGTTGTAGCACAATATGATTGAAAGGGTGTGTGCACACTGTTACGTGCATATTGGAGCGTACGCTTCAGATTCATTTCAAAATGGAAATTGTAAAAATGCCCTCTCTGTGTGATAACTGACAATCACAGGGCACCAAATTCCATGGTACACAGGCACTGGGTATTTTAATTAGTCCACGAAAAGGTGTCTTTCTTGTAAAACATGTAAAAATGTGTTTGCTCTAATTGACATCTATCATACAGACTCCGGGTCAAAATTCTTGTGGGGCTTCTCCGTCCAGATGATGAACAGGAGAATGAAAAACACTAAAAATTTATAAACTCCTTTAATTAAGGCTAAAACATCTGCTTCCTGTGGGGCTCAGTGTGCGTGACATTGTGAACTTGCCCCAACTACAAACCTTTCCGAAACCCCCAAATGACGCATTTTACAAAACTGCAAAGAATGTGCCAATGAGCATCAAGTAAATATTGCGATATTCTATTGAGAAGAAGGGCCGATCGAGAATCAAACTGTCGGGGATAGGCCCAACTTTCTTTGGTGGGTGCCCGAAAATTTGAAATTTCTTGATCTCATCCTGTCTGTGGTTTGAGGCCCCATGCTAGGGTAGTTTACTCACTTAACCCTAACAGCCAAGCATATTGTTTGGCTTACACTACACAGTAATACAAAATACATGTACATGTACTAAGTAATAGTCTGAGCCTGAAGGACCTGGCACTACAGATTACTACTTCTGGCTAGGGTACTTCCATTGTTACTCGTACAGAGAACAATAAAACCATGCATTCATAGTACCACAGCACTGTATGGTACATTGTCTTATCTATTGTATGTTATGGCTCCAGAGAACAATATCGTCATGTCCTCTTACAAGCGGCAGCACTGATTACTACATTTTACTACAAGTAGTAATTTGTAGTATTATGTAGGGTTGGGGTTAATGCAGGGAAGCTCAATTGCACTTAATTGTACCAAAAGTTGTCCTTTTCACTTTGTGTTTAGAGAGACAAATCGGGCTCACTTTTGACTGGGGAGGAGGGGGTTTATTTTGTTTCTCCCTTCCCCAATCAACACTGCTGATGAAAGAACAGACACCCTCTTAAATATTTATCCCGCAAATCCTCAGGAAATTTTGTTACAAGCAACAAATGTGCTTTCAATGCCAAATAAAACTTGTGAACCCCTGGGTGCCCCGCCCTCACAGAAATTCCACCCTTGTTGAACAACTCTGGTCTGGCCAGAATGCAGGCACACCTGCACACCTCAAGAAAGAAAAACTCACCAAAAGCATCAACGTTGATGGTTGTCTGGTTGAGCACCGTGGTCCCATCCGTATCCAGCAGTGTGCAGACGAACTCGACGTTCGGCTTGTCTACGGTCACTTCAAAGCTGGTGGATCTCGTGTTGTCCACGACAGACGTGTTCATGGCTGTGACGCTTCCCTGCGGACCAGTCAGTGTCAGGGCATCTGGGCCTGGGGGTGATGATGAACCATCCGCCTGGCAGACCAACGTCACAGGCTGGCCAGCATTGGGCTTTGACGATTGGACCAATGATATTGTCCCACCTGTGATTTAGAATGTCTAATTTAGAATTACATGTACCGGTAGCTTAAAGAGGGGAAAAATGTTTTAGAACCTTCCATGAGATTACAATCAGACCCCTTTTTCATGTACAAATATTTGCCTACGACTTTGATGACTGCTTAGAGGCAAAAATGGTGCATCTACCATACATGTAGCTATCTGTATAGCAAGGAATGGACCGATATGTGTGTAGACCATTATTTTTTACTGAATAGTCCCTCATTTTTTTCAATACCCATAGCCTACACTAAGGTACATGTAAGAAAACAGAGAAAAACAATCACTTGAATACACTGACTGCATCTGGTATTTGGCTACATTTGGTCGGCCTATTCTTCAATTGTTGAAGACCTGGGCATAGTTCTCAGTATATTGTACTTGGCTGGCTTGAGTTACTCTGGCCTTTATGCTCGTGACATCGGAAAAAATGCTTATTTCCAGATATCATAAGAATTGTAGAGTTGGAGTTCCTTAAGCTACAAGACCTAAATATCTTGAATTTCGTAGATGTAAATTAACTGAGTATCCAGTAATGACCTTGAAAAAATGCAATTGAGGTCACTCTATAAAGTCGGGGTCCAAAAGTGTGACATTTTTGTGTCCAGTCACACCTGACCTGTGTACATGTACATGTAATTTGACCTGGATATCACTGAAATTGATGTCAAACCATTTCTATGTGTTTGGCAGGTTATTTGCATTAGTTAGTTGCTCTTGGAAATTAGTCTTCTGAATAACAAAATCATATGTCAGACGTGACAGGGACACAAAAAAATTGAACCCCTTCCAGTTTATGGAATGGCCCTAACGATAAACATGGCCAATAGCATAAATGTAAGTATGGTGGAATGTGACTCAAGTTCCAACATCTCAGATTTTGTTTTCCAGTGATTGGGTGAGAATTTTGCCTTTTGCCTCATTTTTCCTGTGGTAAAATGAAAAAAATTGTATCCATGTCTTGAACAGAGGATTAGGCCTATCAATCCATGTACCATTCGTAAAGGTGGCCTCAGCCACCTCCTCAAATTAAACAAGTGAAAGTGTCAGCGCAATTTATCTTGAATCCATCCTGAGTTGATCTGGCTTTCAAAGTTTGAACAAAAGAATTGTTTAGTGCTTGTACTTGTAGCTACCGAAAACACATCTAACTCCACGCCTTGCCCGGGTTGGACGTTGTCTTCATTTCATTATGTAACGTAGTACGGTCAGGGAGTCCACCTGGGCTAGCTCCACGCCCCAAACTAATCCTCAAGTTGGCGTGATGTTTCCTGGTGGAGGTTTTGCCGACTACATGATTCAGATGAGTAAACTACAATAAATTTTCGCGCGTCAAGATTGTGCTGAACAAGATAGACTCTAATCGCTTTTAGTTTCAGTCAACCAATCTGCATCGAGGGAAACAATTAATTCACATGCTTCACTAAAGCTGAGCTAGAATTTAAAGTTAGTATGCTTACCCTTTACTCCGGCAAACAGGAAAGACAAAATGACCACGAAGACAATCATTTCAAGCTGTATCTGATATTCCACTCGGTGCACCTGCCTTTGATGTAGGTCTAACAACGCAGTGCCGCGTGATAAGCACCTGCAGGCGGTACGCTTAAACTGTTCCAGCACTCGCTCTGGCTTCGTAGTACAGTACTGGTAGTGGTACTGTGACTTGTCAGGGCTGTCTCCACCAATCAGTCTGAATGACAGGACTACGCAGGATTTAACATCGATAGCTGGAATGTTTCAGACACGGTCTGCCTTTCACGTTTCACTTGTTTGAATAACTAACATTACCCGATGACTAACATTACCCGCGATGATCGCCCAGCCGACTGCGGTGCGGTAACGTGGGAGGGCAAGGACGCGTTCGTTCATCAAGGCCATGTTCCTGTTGTCTCGATCCTCACTGCCAACCCTGGCCAATTTTGAATGCATGGTGGCGCTAAACGGATAACTGGCACGCGTCACGGGCGACGCCTGTATCGGTCCTATGTGGCTGTTGATTGGTCGGAAGTTTTCACGAGGTTGAATCATGGCAATTAGCTGTGAGAAGGCCGGTCACTCTGACATGTTTCTTTCCTTTTCTTCTCCTTTTTCTTCATTTTAGGAGCCTAGGAAGCTTACCTATTGCATGAAATCATTCCTAAATGGATACTTTAACCATTTCCTGAGTCAACCCACACTCCTTCAAGAGTCCTCCGTGTTGGGTTTGTAGCTCTATGGTCAGCATTATCGATATTATACTTCATTCTGAACATTCAACTTCATATCAATGTCTCGTTTGGACCTCATTATTTTTTCACAAGAATGTTCTTCGTGTCCTTCGTTTTGTTTTCCCTCTTTTATTACAATGCATGGAGGGCTTGCACGTGGATCCCACACATCGTCCACCTCTGAGACATCTCTTCGCTGGCAATTTTCATTTCCCAAGACGGGGCATCGACTATGGCATCGTCTCAACCATGCAGTGTGAAGGTTAGAACAGCAACACTCTTATTTGTTCATGACCTTCTTTGCCGAGATTGGACCATGAAGAGCTAGTGGTGTCTAGGGTACAGTGCAGACCAATTGATTGTAGATTTCTGGGATTAATTTCAAACGTATAAGAACAAATCAAGCGTTTTCGCGCGTATTTCCACGACTATTATTGCTGTCTTAGCATTGATTCCAATGTTTTGGTTTGGTTAGTAGTTAGTATGAGTCATAATATGCTTCAACTTTATGTCTCATGCCACCAGAGTTGTAGACACGAGTTACATAAACTTGGACTCGAGTCAGTCGCTATTGTTGTGACTCGTGACCTGACTTGTAACTATCAGTTTTTGACTTGTAACTTGACTTGGACTTGCAAAAAATGAGTCGTGACTTGACTTGGACTTGCACCTTATGACTTGTAACCATTGCAAGTCAGAAACCCACTCAATCGAACCTAATGAAGTTCTGAATTAGGCCTGTCGACTTTAATAGGTCCGCGCCTTGCGTTCTTACAATAATCAGGATAAGACTTTGTGCGGCTCGCGACTTAATTGATTCTCCTTTTCCCCCCAGGGCCACGACTGAATCACTTGGTTGTGGCTTGAAATCACACATTGCGCGACTCGACTTGTACTTGTGATTGTACAAAAAGACTTATGACTTCAACTTTGCTTGTTTGTTGGACCAAATTTGACTTGTGACTTGACCTGACCTGTAATCAAAATGACTTGTGACTTGACTTCCACTTGCTACCACCTCTGCATGTTACATTACTCTTCAAATTGTTAGTTGTGTTGAACCTGTTTTTAGCCACACTGCAAAGCAGTCTGGAGTTTCTATATTAGTTGGGTTCATTTATATTACACAACTAGTTTGATCTATGTTGCATGACTGAGTGATTCCCGGAAGAGCCCCCGGGCCCCGAAGGGCCTGAAAGACCACGGCGGGAATCTTTGAGTTCACTGAGTTAATAATGTACCTGACTTTTATTAATTTTTCAAGATAGAATGACTCCGGGAAGACTCCTGTGTTATTAAGGCACTCGAGCTTTGTTTCACTTTTCATCAATGACAGATTCCGAGGAACACTGGTGTCAATTAAGCGCCCGAGATTTGTTTGATTTGCTGTGATTAAAGGATTCTGGAAAAGACACCCAAGAGGGATTAGAGGGTCACAATGGAAGAAATTTCAGTTGTATACTTGTGTTAACAATGCATCCAAGTTTTATTTCGTTTTTACAGTTGAAGGATTCCGGTAAGACACCCTGTATGGCTTAAAGGGCAACGATGGAAGATTTTTTTCCATTTAATTTGTCAACAATGCCGCTGCGTTTTTGTTTCAATTGTCATGATTGAATAATTCAGGCAAGACACTGGTGTTAATAATGCCCCTGAGATTTTCAAAACTTATAGAAATCTTTTTTTCATTTTGTACTGACGGCCAGCATTTACTAACCTTGGGCAACAATTACTCATTGCTAAGGTATACGGTTCCACTTTTCCCTTTTGGGGGGGGTATGGACGTTCACAAACAACCACAAGCAACTGTTCAGGTGAGAATTAACTTGTTTTATTCAACGTTTCGACAAAATAAATGTGTTAATCGAAAGGATGAGCTAGTTTTATTTGGTTGGAAGATTACCGCGCACAAAATAATCAATCGTCATTGATGTATTGGTTTCATGTTTTCAATTCAGTTGGGCATAATGCCCCGCAGGTTCTTACGGCCACATGATTCAGAATTTTCTGATCACTCAATTTTCATGTTTTTGTTTTACAATGCTCTTACATTGAAAGCTCCAGAATAGTTTACTCATTGGTTGAACCAGTTTGTATTTAAATTTTTGCGCCTTTACTCTCAAACGTAATGGTTGAAGCATTCAGCTCCGCTGTGAACCCCCCCCCCTTCCCACGCGCCTTGTAATAACCCCTTGAATTTCATCATTGTCTTCTGTGGGATCCGTTCAGCCTTAACAACTTTTCATGTGGATGAGCGCAGCGAAGGAGCATGCAATTAATTTCTTGACTTCCTTTCTGGTTGGCCAGCTGTCGCGTATGATGAATGGTTGGGACCGAAACGGATGTCAGTTGCTCAGTGATAACTCCTTATAGAGACCTGCTAATGGCAAAAGCAAGCAGTAGGTAGGCCTATCGGTTTATATCACAATCGTATCGGACGAGCGGACCGCCAGACCAGCCATTTATTCTGACAACTGAGGGAGCTTATTACGACGTACTTAGGAATGTTTATGGCCGTTTTCCAATACTCAACTTGGTCTCCGTCTCAGGCTTCGTATAGGAAACCAATCTCTGATTGTGGGCCGGAAGCGTCTAAGTTAAATTGAAATATTGTAATGTTTGGCTCTTTTGCATCTTACTTGATCTTTTGTGGAACTATCAGACTTACGATTGCGCTTACAACCTCAAAGTCAGGAAGTGAAAAAACAGCTGAAGCCTAAGACGGAGCACAAGTCGAGTATTGGAAAACGAACTATGTAGAGAGTTGCGATATCAGTGTCTCGATTATTGGAACCAAATTGGTGGATTATGCCTCAGTTTTTACGCCGTTTTTTAAAAAAAAAAAGCTGTTTGGAAGGATTAGTATTGCCCAAAAAATTAGTAACTCAAAAATAAAAATTGGTTGTCCTATTGGTGCCTTCCAGGTAGCTTTCTTCCTTCTTTTTCACAAACCATCCAGTTCAGGCGCCACGAAAGGTTTAAATACCGATAGCCAATCACGACCTATTTACTGACCTGCAAGACTATAAACGCAAGATTTGGACGCCAAAATCATTCACGGCAGTCATCTTGAATGGTTTGTAATACTTCGTTTCCTAGGGCTACCTAGGAATCACTGATTTCTCATTACTGGCGTCAAATTGAGATCAGTGCTACAGACGGGCTCTATACATGTGTTTTTACGTGGTGCCTGAATTAGATAACGAATCACCATCGAGAATGATCTCTGTTACATAAATTATCGATTTATGTCAGTAAGTAAACGAGGAACAGCGAGAACGTCTGTGTGTATCTTCCCTGCCGAGCACTGTCTGAATGATATCCGTCAACCGGAGAGACGGGTTCAGCGAGCACCTCCAAGAAGTCCCTGACCGTCACCTTGTCGTCCAGCATCGCCCACTCTCGCAGCAGTTGCTCGGTCGGGTTGGCGACCCGATCGCTGTCCAACACGGCCACGGTCTCCACATCTTTGCCCAACGCGCCTGCAAGGTTTAAAAGACAGGTTAACGCACATTACGAAGAACCCTGTGAACCAGTTTTATATAAACAACCAAATCCCGAAATCAGTTGATTAGGAATACCCCGCTGTAAGACCTCTTGAGCTCCTTGCTGGACATGCCTCCAACAGACAAGATTGACCATGAGTAATGTGGGCACTTCAGATTAGTAAATTTTGAACTATGTTGTTGAATAATAGCCGCAGAGAATTACCCCTTCGGGTAAAATTTGAATGGTTGCGACAACGTCATCGAAACTCGAAACGCTGCATTTTTGCAGTAAAACTCTCCAGGTGCACGCAACGTGTAGTGGAGTCGCTGCAGGGGGTGTGTGGGGCGTTACAACCCGTTTTCAAGTTTTGTCAGCAAAATCATGGTGCTGTCAGCAAGAATGGAGACGAAAAGGGGAGAGGGTGATCGTGTAAAACTATCGTTACTCGTGAATTTTGCCGACGGTCAGTCGACTTGGAAAATTACATGATGGTAACTTCCAATATAAAATGGTCTAGCTAAACGCCCGTGAAAACATTATCCTTTTTACCCTCACCTGCCGAAGTTTTCCAGTTCCTGTGTCTGTTGTTGAGCAGCGCACAGACTCGTTGAAAGAGGTCAGGTGGTAATTTGGTAACGGGAGTGTCCATGCCATATGAAAGACGTTGGGTAGGATAGCTAAAGCTACGCCCGACAACCTGAAACGACAGAAGCAAGTCTAAAGATGAGGCCTTGTGTGATGATAAGTTAGGTGTAGGCGAGTGTGTCGTGTGGAGAGAAAAAGGAACAGCATGATCCGTACATAACACCAAAAGGAGGTTTGGTTAGGATGCACTGATTATGTTACCGAGTCTGACTCATTAATTGATGAGCATTTTGTTCGTTTGTGATAATGTATTACGATACAAACATCAATGTGTTGATGAAACAGCAGCAGTATGAATCGCCCGATGGTAAAAATGATAAAAAGGGTACGAAAGGCAAACCCTAACAAGGGCTTTGCTTGGACATCCCAACAGATGCAGTTCGTGTCTCCTCTGTCCACAGAACATTACAGCCGGTGACCTCGTGGGGAAGGCCTGGTCATTACCGGCCATTTTCAGGACGTGAATGGCCTCGTCGGGTGTGTCGTCATTTTGGCCTCCGTCGGTGACCCCGTCCCCGTCCATTTTTGAAGAACAAGATTCGACTGACGGATCTCAGAAGGGACAGCGGAGACCAAAGATGAAGTGGAGATGCGGATAGTCCCTCATGATGATGCTCCTTACGGCTTCAAGCAAACACCGAAGCAGCTTCGTGCTTGGTTTCTCGGACTCAAATTCAAGGACAGTCACCGATAAAAACATCTGCTGACAGGATCGCCTCTCAAGCTGCACCTTAAAGATGAAACTAGTGCCAACATGAAAGCGACATCTGTCTGCAAAGGTCAACGGGCTGGAGTCGTTGGCATTCACCTTGTCTGAATGACACGCAAGAGTCAGGCATCGGACCAACAGGCAGTAGTAAATGGTCCTGGGCTCGAAGGAGCCGCAGTCGAGGTAAAAGACCTCCTCATCGCTCATGGACTCCCAGAACCTCTCTGAGTTACCTTAGTAAGGAGGCAGTACAGCAGGTACAAGAAACCACCTCTCGGAGCAGCCTGGGTTTGCTCTTCGATTGACCGGACACATGAGGTCATAGGCTTGGAGAAGATGGATCAAAAGTGGGACGAGATGGGACATGTCACCGTAGATATGTAACAGTAGACCCTCAGTGATGATTCCGCTGACTTCATAGTTCATCCACTCCAGGGCGAAGCGGTGAGATCGTTTGAACGCACGGGGGATTTGCACCAACTTCTTCATGACGTCGACCAGGAACTGAGGGTCTATCACAACATGTTGTCTCAGAACCTCGTCGTCATCTTTATAGATGATCTCTCGCTGAAGAATCGCAACATTTTCTTCACATCGTCTACTTCCGTCACACAGCAGGTCTTTCTGGCCAGGTCATGTACCTGTGTAAATGTCATCACGCTCTCGGCTCAGTCTGACTCAGCAACTTTCCTATAGACAGCAGTGATAAATCCCCATACTTCACAAATATTTGAAAAATTGTTCAGGCTGGACAGAAAAACGATGTTCGACTTTTCCTCTTTCAATTTCCTTTTTATCTTTAGTGGGTTGACCCATGAATTTTTAGAAATTCTCACCCAAACTGCAGATCACCCCTGACAAAGGAAATTTCACAGCCTGTAGCCATTTTGAAAATGCATCCCCCTGCAAAACGGCTAGAATAGTGCCAATTTCCGACCCGATTGCATCCAAATGGCTCAGAGGTTCAGTTTCATATTTCTTCAATTCCCCAGTTCCATGGCTCTCAGCTCAGGACCCGCTAATATGGAATATTTTGAGTATATAACTTTTATTAATGAGCCCGGCGCACATATTTCTGGCCTACATACGTGGGTACACCCCAAAATATAGTTCTATGTAGTTCCCCTAAGTTTTACTGCCCTGCTCTTAATTCTGCGTCAACCTTTCACACATAGCCCATAACAACTGAAAAGTCATTGCTACTCGGTTTCATGAGTGTTTTGAAATGGCGTTCTGAAATTTCCCCACAGTGTACATTCCCGTACCTCGGGGTACCAGGTCGATAACACGATAATGACTTTCTGTTTTGTATCGCTTCCGCACTGTGCCAAGAGTCAAACGCTTGTTATGCCTCAAACTCGACTGTAAACCTGTGCACCGTGAAAGCGTCTTATCACCGCATGATATGACAAAGTTATAAGCATTAATCCTGACCATAGTGGTGACATTGGGATTTTAAACCTGTCTGCCTTGCTGTTCCGCTAGGTGGTCAACGTCACCGTAAAGACAAGCGTTATCGAGCCCTTTAAGCGAACGTGAGAAGTTGAGTTGAATTCTTTCGACTGTTCAAATAAGGTAAGATATTGTCAGTGTGCTGTAGGGCCTCATCGCTGGCATCCAGTTAGATTGAAGGCAACTGAAAGATTTCTAGCAGGTCAGGAGTTCGTTATATGATAATCACGCAGCAGGCCAACAGCAGAGCGTGTAAACAAATGGGCTTATATGAGCTCAAGCCAAGTGTGGAGTTAGAGCTATGTCTCCGGGAGAGGGGGGGAGGGGCAAGAACAAGGGCAATTTCTTCATTGCAATCTTTTTTAGTCTTATACTGAAGTGTGAGGTTACATAAATGTATCGGGGAGATTTTGCACCTTTTGAGGAGGAAAGGGAAGAAAATTATACGTACAAGTACCCGTCCTCTTTGCAGCAAATCTAGCTGCGTGGCTACTTTTGGCAGGTCCGGACCCTATTCGCCCCCTCCCTTAGATCAGCTCGTGCTGAAAACACTCCGCTTTTTTGTTTATATCAAATAAAATTTGAAAGAAATAAATTTAATTTAATTTTTATAATTGAAATAAAACGACATTGAAGAATCTGGTACAAACCTCTTGTTCAATATCGGCATTAAAGAACCATTAGGCCAGCCAACATGCAGTATTCTAGCTAACGTCAGTGGCAACTAACTAAAATGGCGGACCGAGGCGAATTGCAAAGCTGAGAAAAACAATATCCCGAACTACGTATCAAGTAGACCGTGCATATGGAAACAATATACCCTGGTGTGAAACTGATATAAGTTTTGTTTCAGGTAAACAAGTTTCAGTTTATACTAAGGACTCTTTTATAGGGAATGTATTGCAAATTATATACAAAGGCGACTCGAATCACTACTGTTCCTTGCCAAGAGCACATTTTCTTGATATCAGGACGAGTATATACATGCAGTTTCTTGTATACCGTTGTCTGTGCGGGCACGCTTTGCTATGGCAAAAGTAGTTTACACTTCCGCGTCTGTGTTGACACATGACAACGTTGCACCGTACTACGGAAGTGTATCGCTGCCAACGAAAAAAAGTTTCATCTCGTTTAAACGATTTATTTATCACGAGATAATAAGTCGTTTAAACGAGATAAAATAAACTTTTCGCGCTTGCAGCAATACTCTTCCGTACCTTCCTTTTTGACTGGCCATAAGGATTAATATAAAGTATGTTTGGGTAAATCCTTTTTGCATGACGGGTCCACTCTTTTTACGTCACAGTTATTGTTATTATTTCTCATATTTATCCAGGGTAGCTTATTCATCAAAACGGTGGCCTTCCATAAGGCCCTGTCATACCACTTAAAGAAACTCAACTTTAAAAGCTACATTAAAATGAATGAACTTTTAAAACAAAATACTACAATAATAAAATTTTAAAAGATTACCACGGAATAAAAATAAATATTCAACAGGAAAGTAAAATTAGTAAAACAAGACAAAACAAAACAAACACATAAAAAGTATAAACAACACATACATTTTAAACAAAACACCATAGCAAGCAGAAATACAGTAAAAATAAATGTTCAAAATATATGTGTTTTTCCTACAGGGTTACTGCTAAAACTATCCCTGGCCGTCAGTACAAAAAACTGGAACTATGAAATAGAAAATATTTTTGTAAATGTCACTTAAACCATTGAAATTGTACCTTTGGCTTTCAATTGGTTTTACGCTAATGCATTTGCATATTCATGAGCAGAACTTTGATGTCATCCAAGGCAATGGGACTTAATGCTCCATTGATTTGTGCACAGGAACTTTTTAGATGTTTTTTTTGAACACTGAAATCTTAGATTTCATTTCCTTTGACAATTTATCGCTGTGTGTGATTATGGCAATAAGCCAGCAAGCATCCTTTTCACAGTATTGCTTTCAGATAGTTTTCTGATGGAGTTCACCATGAACGTGAAAACATGCAAACTGAACCACATCTTCCTGGATTTACATCAAAGCAAAAGCGCCCTCACTTGTCCAGAAATGCTTGGTCAATTTCGAATGTAAAAAAAGTGCTTTTTTAAGCTCACTTAACTCAAAAACGATGTCAGACTGTCTTCATACATTGGACAAGAGTACAGAAGTACACAAGAAGCGATTCTAAAAAAGAAAAAAATATTTCACGGATCCTTTATGTGTTTAAAATCCCACACGGCTTTCAAAACACGAGATGCTAATAACATGTACCACTAAATAATGAATTACAATTCGACCCTCTTGAGTCAAATTTACATTTCGCCTAAATTTGAGGTAAGATCCAATTAAACCAACGGTCAATTTTTCTGCAAACTTTGGCCGCCCATTAAAATTGCAGGCAAACGGAGAGTTGTACTATAGGAAAAAAAAAGAAAGCTGAGTATTTAGTGAGAATCAACCAATAACGATAATCACATCGCTTCAATTTTTAGATATTTGTAGCATTATCTACTCCCTCAAGTTTGGAGTCGATTTCACCTTCTCCAATAGATATATTTAAATTGTACTTTGATGAAATTAACATGACATCACTTCACAAAAATCTACCCATGCAGTAAATTCTTGTTCCCTGATCGTGATTGCTATTCCACAAAAGTTCATGAGAATTCATCCATAAAGTTTTAAACAGTATGTATCAAGAAAGATGGACAGACGTAGTACAACTGATAATCTTCTTCGCAAAGGTGACCTAAATCGAAGAAACAACTGTGTCGTAACTTTGCCAGACAGGACATCTCGCCGCCTAGGCCAAAAAGATAGTTGGGTGTCAGGGGTGTCGAAAATTGGTAACAGATTTGTAGAAAATATCGGGACACCGTAGTGGCGATTCTTATTATGTTCTGCATTAGGGCACCCTTATTAAATTCTATGGTTCTCATTTCTTTTACCACTTGAGATAAGGTCGGTTCGTGTTCTTATTGTTACCCGAATCCACAAAACATACCGTGTAGGACTGAGGAAGTCTAATGCTGCTGGTCGGTACCATGCTGCTCACATTGAAAATCCCCTTATACGAGTCCGGGTCAAGACAAATGTAGAGCCATGCATGAACGTCAGTGGGCTGCGCCACGGAAGGGTGCGGTATACCGTATGTTCACGCGAACGCCGACCGTCGCTGTTGGTCGTTTGCGAAATCGTAAGTTTTCAGGGCTTTTATTTTCAAAGGTCATGCTGGCCAATTCTTTTCCCTTCAATTTGTTTTTGGGTTAAGGTCTTTTTAGCAGGGTTAGCGGCGAAAAAAATATTTTTCCCGTGATTGGGAGCCCAAGATAGGGTCGGTCAGAAACGAGAACCATAGAATAGGGTGCCCTTACGGCGCTTTAAAAGAAAGACGTGTCACCTCTCCTAAGCAGTGTCAATAATAAGCTATTATAAGCACCGAGCTGGACCAAGAGAGTGCGCGATTTTCCTAGCAACAGAGCCCCCCCCCTTGACGGGAACTAGATTTCGCTGGTTCACAAACGACTATGAAATGCACACACATTAGGGCACATTCCACCAAATTGTTGTATTTCTGCGCGTGAGCTCATTAACATTTCGTGATCCCACGGGGTTTTTACAATAAGACATGCCATAATCAGGAGGTGTCATTGAAATATTTCTATGAATCCCGAATTTGGGACTGACAGTTTCCAGTTCGGGGTATTTCCTTCACAAAAAACCACTAATTCCGGGCCTGTTTTGGAAAGAGGCAGGCGGCTACGTTCAGAAATGAGGGCTTAGTTTTACTACTGTTTTGGGGGTACCTTCCTTGAAAGGCGAAAAAAAAAAGATTTTCGTGGCTAACCCCCATGAAATTGAAACGAAAAGTGATCTTCTGGCCATAATCGCGAATTTCCAGTTAAAAAAAACCGAGGCCAACCTCTTCACGAGAGTCAACAGGCGGCGCTATTTCGGTCCGATTTTGCACTGTTTTCTATCTGCGCGTATTTGGAGTAGTGCAAACATTAGGGTCGCTACCAACATATTGAACACTGCACTCCCCCACCAACATGGCTCTCTAAAACCGATGATGAATGTATCTACTCATGACGGATAGACTGATGAAGGAATATATTCAAAAGTATACGCAAAAGCTTGTTAGTGGCTGATGCAAAAGATTCAGGCACAACTTATTCTCAAGCGATAACCGAATGGGATTACCTCTAAAAGCATAAGTCAGTGCTTGTGCCAAGAGACTGGTGAAATCAGTTCGAATCACTGATTAAAACAGACAAGAATTTGACACTGATGGACTAATTGTGGCATATGTTCCCCTAAACCTTATCCGTTTACAGGACAAAATGAATCCTGGGAAAAGAAGCTTCTACAGCGGAATCGGAACAAGCTTAGTTGAGAAAATCTTGTCAGGGCTGTCGGACTTCGGGACCAGAAGCCTGAACCTTAGCGTGATGGTGAACGACCCGGAACTCAAAGAAGCCTACACGGCTGCACAGACCAACGGTCAGCTCCCATCCAATCGAGCTCGGGTCCTGATCCTCGGGGAGCCTCGTGCAGGTAAAACCAGTCTGCTGAACCGTCTCCTTGGCAAGGAGTTTGACCGCCTCGAGCAACCCACGCACGGCATAGAGACGAGGATGTGTCACGTGATTAATGTGGATAAAAAGTGGAACCAGTCGGATGCCGCCAAGGCAGACGACATCCAGGAATGTGCTTCGGCGGTAACGATTCTTGGCGAAACTTCCTCTGCCAATATTAAGAAAGGACGCCAAAATAACAACTGCTTCCAGTCACCGATGACCCGAAACTCTCAGCCAACCCCTCTTGGTAGTCAAAAAAGTGGTAGTGACGCTGTGAAAATATTCAAACTTTTCCAGCTTTTTCTCGCAATCGCCGTTGTCTACACTCTTAAGATGTTCCACTACGGCTATTTTCAGTTCGTCTTGTGCGCTATAATCGCAATGGCCACGATTCTAGACTACAACAATGCCTACCGTTTTGCAACTTCTATGTCTTTCGTTGCTGTCCTCTTCGAAGCCTTGATCCGCATTGACAAGCCACTTGAGGACCTAGCCTGTAAAGCAAATGACAAAATCTCTAATCGAGAACCTGTCGACTTCGTCACCAACATTATCTTGGTTTCAACAGCTACGGTCCTTGTTGGCATGTCTACAGGACTTGGCTTTCGAACAGGCATCGCTGTAGCCCTCTCTGCCTGTGCCCACCCCTCTGAGACTGACACCAAGGCGCAGACTGCTTTCGAAAATTTGGAGGCATCTTGGATTACGCTCATTCTGTGTGTGGTGTTTGGGATAGGAGGGCTTATAGGTTTTGCTACCTACAAGTTCTGCACAGCTGATGATCGGTGGCATAAAAAGAGGATGACTGTGTCGGTGGCTTTAATATCAGTTATAGTTGCTGTTTATTTAAAGAGCGAGTGCCGCCTCGCACCCTATTTGTTTCTATGTCTAACTGGCTTTTTGACGGTAATCGGTGGCGCTTGGGGGACCATTTTTGGTAGACGAGCTGTTCTGAAGTATGGCTTGGAGGCCAGCTATGCCACCAAGAAGATCCTGGGATTTCTCTTAGGTTTATTCATTGCACGCATATGCGGATGGACACTGAGGGTACCAGACGCTTCGTTGCCCTCTCTTGCCTTTTACACCCTGTCTGTCACCGCACACCCACTTTTCGATCTCTATACTTCTTATAAAATATGGCGTGCAAAAGCGGTCTTTCCAATTAAGCTTATCCGGAACCAGATGAAAGCCATTGTCAAAGGGCAACCACTCTTGGAGACCAAGTTGAGTCTGTGGGATTTCGCTGGGGACTCTCTTTACCACTGTGCACATCACATCTTCATGCCAGACCGAGCTTTATACGTCATCGTCTTCAACTTACAGGCTGCTGTC